GTATATGCCTCATTTTTGCACAGTAATTTTAGCATTTGCAATTTTGCCACATTGACCATTTTGCGTGTTTAAGAACAAGTAACACTGACGAATCAGTATACTTCAGCGAGTCACACTGAAACGGACTTGACCGCCCCGGGGGGGGGGGGGGGGGGCGACGCGTCTACAGACTGTACCTTCCCACGAAACCCCACCCCACCCACACACTTGGAATCTTTTCACATGCGCTGTATTTACAGCATGTGCGCGCCGAACCGTTTTGCCTCGCTGGAAGCCATCACACCAGAGTACGATGAACCTAGTTCAACAACTGCCTAATGAGAACACAGACAGCACACCCATGCTGGCACGGTCCACACCAACACGCCATAAAATATGGCGGTGGGGTGGGTGGGGGTGTTGTCATCTTGCCTGGAAAGACGGAAACCCAGGACCACGATCCCTCGCCATGGCAGCTCGGGAGAGGGGGTACCCCCATCTGCTCCCTCATTCCGTTCCTGCACTCATCGTGAACCCCTGCAGGAATTGACGTTCGAGCTCAACCTGGCAGTAGCTTCCCTCTCAAGCTCGGCACGCTCAGCACAGCTGAGCAGCCATGGCGGATCCAACGCCCGCAAGTGACAACCCTGAATCCGTCCCAGCCACGAAGCCAGCCGCCCTTACTGGCCTAGACTTCTTACGACGAGCTTCAGCTGCTCCCGTGTTAGTCTCGCCATCAGCTCCTACCGTTGTTTTCCCTTCCTCGGGCCCCGAGGCACCTACCATCTGGACGCAGGGCGAGTGTTCGACGCATGCTGGCGCTGCTGCATTACCTCGTGTCGCTGCCGCATCAACTCCTGCCGCTGCCGCATCAAGTCCTGACGCTGCCGCATCAACTCCTGACGCTGCCGCATCAACTCCTGACGCTGCCGCATCAACTTCTGACGCTGCCGCATCAACTCTTGACGCTGCCGCATCAACTCCTGCCGCTCCCGAACCCACATGGAACCGTCATCCTGTCGCTGCCGGAACTACTCGCGTTGGACCCCGTCTCAAAAGGGGTATCAAAGTGACGTACCGCCAAACAAAGATCAACTGGGGTGCCAGTCAAGCTACGCCAACGTCTGGTGTGGGAAACTCTTCCCCAGAGGCCCGACAACGTAAACAGAAGGGGAAAGCGGTTGAGGTTACCTTCGAAACAGAACTGCCCGACATAGCCGAGGGGAAATACCAGGATGCCTTATTTATGTTCAACAAACAGTGGTCTAACGACTATCCGTGGCTTATTCTGTGTCAGACGAGTGCAGGATTCCCGTCAATCAAGTGCTCGGTCTGCATTGCGCACGGCGGTGTGGGCACGAACTTCGGCGCCCAAGGAGAAGGGGTGACCGATGTGCAAACCCAGGCATTGCGGAAGCATCAACGCACAAGGAAGCACCGCCGCACTCTGCACAGACAGAGGACAGCCGAGGCGGCGCTCAAAGCTAACCGCCAGATTGACGACAACAAGAAGGTGAAAGACATCGAGAAGGAGCGCCTGCTCGCGCTATTTGAGACGGCACTCTTCATTGCTAAGTCTGACGCCCCGATCGAGATGTACGTCGACCTCGTCCAACATCTAGCGCAGCGTGGCACACCGGGCTTCCCAAAGAGCAGTTATGGTGCCTACTATACGACATAAGTGACACTGCTCTAGTACATATCGTCGGGGGATGTGATATACATGAAGCTATCACTAACCACACGCGTTGATGCCCGTGCAGGTACGGATTTGAAGAGATCACCGCCGCAATAGCGACATACCTTCGTGCGCGCCAGAGAGAATTCATTGATTTGAGTCCATTCATTGGTCTGAGCTACGACAAGAGAACGGACCGCGTCAAAGGGAAGCACGTGATTGTGATTGTAACCTTTCTGCATGAGCATGCCGTCACCACAGAGTTTCTGACTAACCTCTCCATCGAGAAGTGTGATGTAGCATCTCTTTATGCTAAGATCACGGGATTCCTTGACAATACTAGCCTGCCGCTGGAGAAGGTGGCGGGTATCAGCACCGATGGGGCTCCTGTGATGATAGGCAATGACACGGGCCTCGTTGGGCGTCTTCGACTGGAGATCCCGCACGTGGTGGCTTCTCACTGCATCGCACACAGGTAAACTGCTGCTGTGGTGGTGTTGTTGCGGTATGAGATGTGCAACAAGGTATGTCGCAGTGCGAATTCTAACACCCCCACCCGTGCATTTCTACCCGTGGCAGGGAAGCGCTTGCTGCAAAGGAGGCGGCTAAGGCACTACCCGAGTTTGGCATAATCGACGCGGTTATCCGTGCAGTGGCGGAAGATCTCGGCAGATCCAGCAACTCCAACTGCAAGTTCAAGGAGCTGCAGGAAGTGTTCACGCATACCAACCTCGAGGTCTAGGGGATCCACAGCGTCCGCTGGTTGAGTCGCGGTGATGCAATCGCACGATTCGTATGCGTTCTGCCTGCTGTCATCGTTATGCTCGAGGAGTCGGACAAGACGATGTACCACTTAGTAACGTCGTTAGTTTCATTACTTCCTGTTCTTCTTGGCAGATGTGCACACGACACTCAACGCGCTCAACCTGCTATTCCAGAAGCGACAGGTGAGTTGTTGAGTTCCGTTTTGCAGTTCTCTTCTTCTCCCAAGTACTTATCTTTTGTTTCGGTGTACCAATTCTCCCCCCACCAACAGGTCGACCTCATTGCAGTGCACTCCCAGGTGAGGCGGACCATCATCTACATGGAGCAGAGGTACCTGAACTGTGGCCAGCAGTTTGGCGGTGGGACCAGCGAGCTGCTGTCTGCTTTCCTCGCGCGGCACGCCTCGCCCGACTGCCGTGAAGTGACTGTGGAAGGGGTGGACAAGGAGGGTCAGCCCCGTGTACACAAGTTCCAGCTGCACGAGGAGGCAGTCAAGGGATACACCACCAGCAGCGGGGACATGCAAGGCTGCTACACCTGCTGCCGCTCATTCGCCCGCGAGCTGGTGTACAGCCTCGAGCTGCGCTTGGGAGACCTGGCGCGCTTGAACGGGGCGAAGCTCTTCATGCCCCCCTCGTGGCCGAGGGGCGTCGAGGCAAGAGACACAGAGTGCAAGGAGCACCTGTATGGCCTCGTCCATCTGTTTCAGGCCAAGAATCGGGACACGATCTTGCCTGGTGAGCGAGAAATAGATCCCCACTGACCTGCGTGTATGCATTGCCGTTTCCGTGGTTGCGTTATTCCCATGTTGTGCGCTTGACTTTCTACCCTGGTTGTGCTCAACCCGTTTCGCAGGTGTCCAGAAGCGTGCGGCACGAGCGGAGCTGCGCACGTTCCTGCCGGTGGTCTCCACTGCCCCCAAGGAAGAGCAGCCCTTTCACGCAGGTTTGAAGGCCATCTTGCAGACCAACGACTGGCAGACCAGCTACCCCAACTTAGTCCGTCTGTGGGCTGCGGTCGCTGTTCTGCCTCTCAGCACAGCCGAGTGCGAGCGCGGGTTTTCCCGCCAGAATGTGATCAAGTCGTGGCGCCGGACGAGTCTCTGCAACGCCAAGCTGGGAGATTTGCTGGCAATGAGTCTGCTCGACTACGACATGGAGTGGGATAAGGTGCTGGACATCTGGCGGAGCACCAGGAAAAGGCGCCCCAGCAAGCGCAAGGAGCAAGCTGCGCCAGAGAAGGAGCGGGCCAAGGCCAAGTTTGTTAAGGGGAGTGGCCGCCGGGTGGTGGAGGAGGAGGACCTAGACGAGGGCATGTGTGGTTCTGCAGGCGATGGCAGTGAGAGTGATGACGATGCCAGTAGCAGTGGTGATGATGCAAGCGTTTCTTCTAATGAAGACATGACATGAGCTAGTCTGTTAGTGGTAGAGTCAGCTAGCATGCGGTATTGGTGCTGCTGTTTGTCACAATGGTAACTTTGGACGCATCCATGCACTATTGCATCAGCTCTGCTTTTTTGGTTTTTTTACACTGCAGGTTCAGTTTAGGAAAAAAAATTACACCAACAGTATCAGTATAAAGAAAACCACCAACGCTGATTTGGACACCTGGTTGGCAGGGGCACGCTGATCCATCAGCATACCCTCAAACCAATCTGAGGGCCTGAACCTAGCCCAACATCCAACCCCATTTTGAGTTGCCTTTCGAGTAGTAGTCTAGCAAGGAACAACTCACTTCTGAAACATATACCAGGGCCCTACCCAATCTCACTGCACCTGTCACCACACCTCTAAACCAAACAGAACGAGGTGGTTCTGCCATTGGTGGTGATGGTGCTTCTGCTGCTCCCACTGCTGCAATTCACTGGTGCTGCCACTGCCACAACACCTGCTGAGCCGACTCTACAGACACTACTGGACTATAAATAATGGGATCAACCACAGAAAAGCTGCAGCTGAAACACCAATAAATAGTCTCTAAGCTACTGATGCTGCTGGCGAGGCGAGCAACTGCTTGGAGGAGGGTGTGGAAGCGAGTGTGTGACTAGTGCGTGACTAGTACATAACTAGTGTGTGAGCGGCTAAGGAAGGCAAGTGATATCATGCTGGACGAGTGTGTGGCAAGCCAAAAAAAACTATTGCTGAAGCATAGCCTGATAAAGAGTGTGCGCACTGAGGAGGAAACGAAGCTTGTGATTGAGAAGGAACTGCATGCAGCTTGTGTGTGAGGAGTAGAGGCAAGTGGTGAGGAAGAATAGAGGGTTGTGTGAGAGGAGGAACAGAGGCGATTGATGAGGAGCAGGGAGGCTAGTGTGTGAGGAGTGGGGGGCCTTGGGTGTGGGACAGGGCTAGTGATTGAGGAGGATTGGGGCTAGGGTGTGAGGAAGAATGGAGGCAAGCGGTGAGGAGGAATGGAGACAAGTGGTGAGGAGGAATGGAGACAAGCGGTGAGGAGGAATGGAGACAAGCGGTGAGGAGGAATGGAGACAAGCGGTGAGGAGGAATAGAGACAAGCGGTGAGGAGGAATGGAGACAAGAGGTGAGGAGGAATGGAGACAAGCGGTGAGGAGGAATGGAGGCTAGTGAGTGAGGAGGAACTGGAAGGTGCTGTTGTCTCGAATGGCTGGTGGCAGCTGCAGCGACCGCAGGTCAATCTCGTGGGTGCTCTTTGAAATGTCCTCCACGGAGAATGGGATGCTGGGGTGGGCAGGCAGAGAGAGGGGGATAGGAGATGTGAGAGAAAGGGGATTGATCTCGTGGGTGCTCTTTGAGATGTCCTCCACGGAGAATAGGATGCTGGGGAATTCAAAGGGGAACAGTGAGAGGGAGAAAGAGAGGAAGGAGAGGAGGTCAATCTCGTGAGTGCTCTTTAAGATGTCCTCCACTGAGAATGGGTTGCTGGATAGTTCAAAGGGGAACAGTGAGGGAGAGAAAGGGGGGAAGAGAAGAGGGGATCAATCTCTTGAGTGCTCTTTCATATGTCCTCCACAGAAAAGGGGATGCTGGGGTGGGCATGGAAGGGGAGCTGGGTGGGGGTGGGGGATAAAAAGGAGACATGAGGAGAGGAGAGGTCAAGGTCATGAGGAGGTCATTCCAATAGATGAATAGGCATTCACAATCCAATCACCCACCTGGAATCATCATCCAATAGGAACGGGTTGCGGACGGACACACTGTTTTCATCGCTCATGTGCCGCCCCATCCCCACCCCCCTCTTGGCACCTGGACTTCTCCCCAACTGTCTGTTCCCCTGTTCCCACCTGGAATCGTCGTCCAATAGGAACGAGTTGCTGACAGACGCGCTGTTCTCGTCGCTCATCCGCCGCCGCATCTCCGAGATGACTTCAGAGGAGACGGTGTGAGTGCCATACTTGTCGTCCCAGTACATGGTGCTGATGCGGTACAGCTGCTGAATGCTGAGAGCAGGGCAGAGGTCCGATGTGATCTCCTGCATGCTCTTCTTGGGCTTCTGGTGAATCACCTGTTGGGGCCCGGCGGATTGGGCGAGGGGGCGAGGGGGGGGCGGGGAGAGGGAGAGAGGGGGTGAGGGGGAGAAGTGGAGAGAGGGAGAGAGGAGGAGAGAAGGAGAGAGGTAGAGGAGAGATGTGAATGGGACGGTGGGAGAAGGAAAATAATTTTGCATGAAATTATTGTCCTGGAAAGCAGATGTCCTTTTTTGGCTTCTGGTATATCACCAACTCAAAGGGGATGGAGGGATGGGAGAGGGCGAGGGAGGGAGGTGAGTACGAGGGAGAAAGCGAAAAAGAGGGCTTATGCACACATACCTACCACTTATCACTTGTTAGAAGAAACAAAACTTGTATGAAGGGAACTTTGTTAATGTTAGCCCTCAATCTCACTTTTGTACTTCTACTTGTTTTTTAATATCCTAATTTAGTGTAATTTGCACTTTGTGTTTGGTTGGGTGTACACCCACATCCCAAACAAACCCAAATGTGATCTCCAAGCAATCTCCAACCCTCCAAATGGAGATTGCCTTGGGATTACCCCCAATTCCCTAGAATTGCCCCTGATTCTCTCCCCATCCTTACCTTGCCCATTTCCGATGTACTTAAAGAGCCTTGAGCTCATTACTAATCTATTGGTTCTAAGCTTAAGTTGTGACAAACTTACCAGGAAGCCCACGGCTTGGCGGATATACTTAAGCTCCTCCCATGCATTTCTGGTGTACTCGTGAGTCGCCTCGTGCAGCCAGTGGTCCAACTCGCCCAGGGCTGGTATAATGTATTGGTCAGCTCACAGAGGATACCTACCAGGAAGCCGACAGCCTGGCGGATGTAGTTGAGCTCCTCCCACGCGTTCTCCGTGTACTCGTGTGTTGCCTCGTGCAGCCAGTGGTCCAACTCGCCCAGCCTGGGATCAACTCTGGTCAACTCAGAACGCGTCTCAAAAAGGGTGCCTACCAGGAAGCCCACGGCCTGGCGGATATACTTGAGCTCCTCCCATGCATTTCCGGTGTACTCGTGAGTCGCCTCGTGCAACCAGTGGTCCAACTCGCCCAGCCTGGGATGATATTCAGGTCACCACAAAACCCCTCTCACAGAGGATACCTACCAGGAAGCCGACAGCCTGGCGGATGTATTTGAGCTCCTCCCACGCGTTGCCCGTGTACTCGTGTGTTGCCTCATGCAGCCAGTGGTCCAACTCGCCCAGCCCTGCCTTCACGTACTCGCCGTTGCTGAAGGAGCAGCACTCCCGACGCAGCAGCAGACTGTGTGTGGGGACGAGGGGTGGCGAGGAGGGAGAGAGGGGAGAAAAACAGAGGCGAAGAGAGGGAAGTGTGTTAGCAAGTGGTCCTACTTGCTCAGACCTGCTTTCACTTCACGTACTCACCGTTGCTGGAGGAGCAGCACTCCCGACGAAGCAGCAGAAGGAAGAAGACCGAGATGCCTAAGAACCCTCTGGAAGCTCACCAAACCCTCTCAACCGCGCCACAAGAGCCCCAACCCCTTCCACCCGCCTGTTAAAGAGCGGGACGTTGATGAAGGAGAAGATCTGAGTGACCAGCTTGATTCTGAGAAATCTGCAGATTGCCTCTGATAAAACCACAACCCTCCCCTCTCCCCGCCGCCCCCGGCCCTCCCCTTAACTCTTACCTGTTGAAGAGCTGCACGTGCAGGAGAAGATCTGAGTGACCAGCTTGCACACGAGGATTGAGCCAAATAACAGCCCCTCTGGACTCCCCCCCAACACCCACTCAACCGCACCACACCCACCCACCCACCTGTTAAACAGCTGAACGTTGATGAAGGAGAAGATCTGGGTGACCAGCTTGCGCACGAGGAAGGAGGGCACATGGGAGTCCTTGAGCGTGGTGAGCAGCGTGGTGAGTGTGGCGATGATGCTGCCCCAGTGCGAGCACACTCACTCACATCCCTCCTGCCCCACCCGCTACCCTCTTCCCCCCACCTGTTGAAGAGCTGAACGTTGATGAAGGAGAAGATCTGGGTGACGAGCTTGCGCACGAGGAAGGACGGCACGTGGGAGGCTTTAAGTGTCGTGAGCAGCGTGGTGAGCGTGGCGATGATGCTGCCCCAGTGCGAGCTCAGCGCGTGCGTGGCCGTGGCCACCGGCGCCCCCCGGTGGGATGAGTGCCGCCCGTATGCCGCCCGGGAGATGCGCGGCGCCTGATGGTGGATGGGGTGAGCGACAGGGGGTGGGATGGGGTGCGTGGTATGGGGGTTGGGGGATGCAGGGGTGTGTGGATGTTTGAGTCAGAAAGGGTGAGAGAAAGAGAAACAAAAAAACATGGGGCGTGAGTGGATGGGGCAGCAGCAGCGTGGTGAGCGTGGCAATGATGCTGCCCCAGCCCAGCACGAGCTCAGCGCACTTTGAGACGTCTCAAAAGACGGGGCAGCAGCAGCGTGGTGAGCGTGGCGATGATGCTGCCTCAGTGCGAGCTCAGTGCATGGCACACTGCACACCACACACATGTGCCCATCAGACACACTCACACATGTGCAAGCATGCAGTGCGAGCTCAGCTCATTGCACACTGCGAACCACTGCACACCACACACATGTGCCCATCAGACACACTCACACATGCGCAAGCACGCAGTGCGAGCTCAGCTCATTGCACACTGCGAACCACTGCACACCACACACATGTGCCCATCAGACACACTCACACATGCGCAAGCACACACCCCACCACCCCCTCACCAAAGCGCACCGAGCGAGGGTGGGCAGGAACACCTTCTTCAGGTTTTCTCAGCTGAAATCTTATAAATCCTCTCCTCCTATAAATCTTCTCCACACACGCCTGTTGTAATTTCATATTTTATACAACATACATAGGCTAGAAGTGTAGCACATTTTATCAATTGGGGGGTTGCTTAGTGTACCCTCCAACCACATTTTGTGGTTGGTTGGGATTGGTCCTTAGCTCAACCAATCCCAACCAACACACATTTGTGGTTGCTTGGGTCACAAGCAAGCTCACCCATTGGCCAACTTATTGGCCAATAGAGTAAGCTTCCCTCTCATCTCTCTCTTGCTCATTGTTTGTACTAAAGAGCCTCTTGGCTCATTATTCAATGCATCAATTCTCTCACTTGCAACATGGTATCATGAGCTAATGGCTCACGCCTTCCTCCCTCGGTCCTTAGGCCACCCTCTCCTCCCCGTTCCTCAGATCTAGCCCCACCCACGGAGCTGCCCTCCCTTCACGCGCCCTTTAGGCGCTGTCCTCCCTCCCCGTGCGCCCCCTAAGGCGCTGCCCTCCAAGGCACGCCCAGATCTGCAACTCCAGCGCCCAGATCTGCACCTCCAGCGCCCAGATCTGCACCTCCAGCGCCCAGATCTGCACCTCCAGCGCCCAGATCTGCACCTCCAACGCCCAGATCTGCAACTCCAGCGCCCAGATCTGCACCTCCAGCGCCCAGATCTGCACCTCCAGCGCCCAGATCTGCAACTCCAGCGCCCAGTTCTGCACCTCCAGCGCCCAGATCTGCACCTCCAGCGACCAGATCTACTCCTCCCGCGCCTAGATCTGATCATTCCGCGCCCAGATCTGGATTCCGCGCCACCAGATCTCCTCCTCCAGCGCCCAGATCTGCACCTCCAGCGCCCAGATCTGCACCTCCAACGCCCAGATCTGCACCTCCAGCGCCCAGATCTGCAACTCCAGCGCCCAGATCTGCACCTCCAGCGCCCAGATCTGCACCTCCAGCGACCAGATCTACTCCTCCCGCGCCTAGATCTGATCATTCCGCGCCCAGATCTGGATTCCGCGCCACCAGATCTCCTCCTCCCGCACCCAGATCTGCACTCTGCCCGCCCAGATCCGCCCTCCACGCGCCCAGATCTGCCCTCCGCGCGCCCAGATCAGCCCTCCGCGCGCCCAGATCTGGCCTCCGCGCGCCCAGATCTGCCCTCCGCGCGCCCAGATCTGCCCTCCGCGCGCCCAGATCTGCCCTCCGCGCGCCCAGATCTGCCCCTCCCCCATAGCATCGCCCTCCTTCTCCTCCACCCAACCCACCCTCCGCTCCTCCCTTCCTCCTCCCATCCTACCAGCAGCAGCACCAGCAGCGGCACCACCAGCAGCACCCTTCCCCCTTGCCTCCCCCATAGCATCGCCCTCCTCATCCACCGTCCTCCTCCTCCCATCCTACCTGCAGCAGCACCAGCAGCAGCACCTGCAGCGGCACCACCAGCAGCACCCTTCCCCCTTGCATCCCCCATAGCATCGCCCTCCTCCTCCTCCACCTTCCCCACCCTCCGCTCCTCCCTTCCTCCTCCTCCCATCCTACCCGCAGCAGCATCCGCAGCGGCACCAGCTGCAGAACCAGTAGCGGCACGGGCAGCAGGGCCAGCAGCAGCACTGGCAACGGTACCCTCACACCATCCTCCTCCTGCCCTAGCCTCGACCCACCCTCATCTCTATGGCATCGTCGTCCGATTCTTCCGTCGACCTTGCCACTGTTGACGCACTCGAGTTGCTGCCTGACAACTCCGCTGCTAATTGGCACTCTTATGCTCATTCCGTCGAGGTGCTCCTCTCCTCTGTTGTGGTCAGCGGCTACAACCTTCGCTCGGTTGTCTTTCAGGAAGGCGGTGGACTTCAGCCCGCGGCCCCCACCGCTCCTACTGGACCTGCCCCTGCCCACCCTGGCGCCGAGCCCTCTCCCCCCGGTGATCCTCCCGCCTTTGCGCCGAATGTGAACGACCCGCAGAGCTCGGAAACCGCCATTCGCACCTACCGCACCAATCTCCAAGAGCACCTGCGCCTGCAACTGCGTTACGAGGATGACAGGCGCATCTATGACGACGCCGCTGCCCGCTACAACAAGTACCAGGAGGACCTGGACACCTACACTGCAGAACTTGCAGACTACACCACGAAAATTACTGCCTGGCGGGTTGCTGATCGACGTGCGCTTGCCATTCTTCTCGCCACCATCCCCTCCTCCCTCAAACGCGAGCTCTCACCTACCTCCTCCTCCCACCTGTGGCGACTGCTGGTCGACCTTTTCGATCGGCAGGACGTTGCCACTCTTTACGCCCTTATCCAGGAGTTTGGAACTCTCTCCATGGATTCCACTTCTGGCGCAGCTGCTTTCACTCGCCGTGTCTTAGACCTTTCTCGGCGCCTTGCAGCACTCGATGTGGTGTACCCGGACACCGTCATCTGCTGCCACCTCCTCGAGGGCCTCACACCTGCCTTCGACGCTCACAAGCTTGCTTACATGCAGCTTATCTCCAAGCACCACACCCCTGCCGAAGTCGCTCAGTGGATTATCACCACCGAAGCTGAGATCCTTCGCCACTCTTCCTCCACAGCCGCAGCAGCCCAGTCGCGCAGCAGCCGGGGTGGCCGTGGCGGTGGGCGTGGGGGTGGGCGTGGTGGTGCGCGTGGGGGTGGACGAGGGGGATCAGTAGGTCGCGGTGGTGCTGGCAGCAGTGGTGCGGGTCGTGGTACGGCAGCTGCCTTTCCTCCCTGTCAGTATCTGCCTCGCTACGGTCCCACTCAGGGACAGCGCTGCGGCCAAACTACCCATGCCACTGAGACGTGCTTCAAGGCACTCAGTGATGAGTGGTTTGCCCGTGGCAACACCGGCACCCCTCCTCGCTGGTCCGCCCTCAACCCTCGCCCCACTCCCCTTGAGGTCCGTTCCTCTCCCCTCTATGAACCTCCCTCCTCCACCCACGCTCACCAGGCCCTCGCCCCTCCCCAGCAGCAGCACCAGCAGCAGCAACAGCAGCAGCAGTTGCTTGGGAATCAGCAGCAGGGGTCACAGCAGTATGGGCAGCAGCTTCTCCTCTCTCAGCTCCAGCAGCAGCTCCAGCATCTCCAGCAGCAGCTCGACCTCCAGCCGCAACTGCCCCTCCTCCCTCCTCCGGTTTCCCAGCAACAGCACTTTCCTACCTGGACTGCTGGGAGTGCTGCCTCTGCAGCCCATCTCTCGGGTGCATCCCCGGCGCCGTCTGCAGGTGGCAGTGTGACCGCTTTCCCTTCCTCTGGTTTTGTTGGTTTCTTAGGTCAACCTGAATCTGTTGCATCTCCCATGTACCCTTCTTCTGCTAATGAAACTTCGTTCCAGTACTCTGTCTCACCTTCTTCCACCATTGACTTCGTTCTGGACAGTGGAGCCACTGACACTGTCCTTCGCAACGCTGGTACACTGCGCCCTCTCCCCACACCAACCTCCCTCCTCGGCGCTGATAGCAGTTTTTCCATCCCCTGTCACAACACCTCCACCCTTCCCTGTCCTCTCTTTCCCTCAGGTACTGTCACCGGTCTCCACATTCCCTCCCTTCGTACTAACCTCCTCTCCCAAAGGTCCCTCCAACAAGCCATGATCACCACTCTCATCCCAGGTGGTGCTAACCATTGTGACCTATACCAAACCTCCACAGGTCGTTTTCTCGCCCGTATTCCCTATTGTCCTCGCTCCCGTCTGTACACCCTTCGGGTTCCCCGCCCCCTCACCTTCCAAGTTGCCTCCCCCCCCCTCCTTCCCCCCCCCCCCTCCCCTTCCTCCCACTAACCCACCCCTCCCCCCCCCGCCCTCCTGACTCTGACTGTTCCTGTCGCTCCCTCTCCCACCCCACCATCCTCCTCCATCACAGGCTAGGCCACCCCAACTTCGCTACTCTGCGCTCCTCTATCTCCTCCGGTCTCCTCCACGGTCTCCCCTCCTCCCTCCCTCCCCTCCCCAAATCCCCTGCACCCCCCTGCACCGTCTGCGTTCAGAGCAAGCTCAAGCAGCAGCCGCACCGGAGCTCCCCCTCCGCTGCTGCGCAGCCACTTGATCTTGTTCACATGGACCTATGGGGCCCTAATCCCTCTCCCACTCGCCAGGGCCATCGCTACCTTCTCGTGCTTGTTGATGATCACAGTCGGTACTCATCCGTCTCTCTTCTTCGAACGAAGGCGGATGCCCCGGCAGCGATCATCGCTTGGCTCGAGCGGGCAAACACCCATTTTGGACGCCCTGTTCGCCGCCTTCACTCTGATGGAGGTGGTGAGTTTCTTAACAACCAAGTCTCCTCCTATTGTCAGTCTCATGGCATCCTTCAGACTTACACCCTCCCTCACTCCCCACAACAGAACGGCGTGGCTGAGAGTCGTGTTCGAGAGATCACCAAAACAGCCCGGTGTCTGCTTGTTCACGCCTCCTGCCCCCCTTCTCTTTAGGGCTACGCCCTCCTTCATGCCGCCCTCCTTACTAACCTTTACCCTCACCCACTTGTCCCCTCCATCACCCCCACTGAGCTGTGGACGAAGGACAAGCCTGATGCCTCCTCACTTCGTGTCTGGGGCTCTAAGGCACATGTCCTCATTCACCCCTCTGACCGCTCCCGTTCCATGGGAAAGCTTGCCCCTCGTACCCTTCCTTGCATCTTCCTTGGTCATAATCCCTCCTCCCCCGACTACCTTTTCCTCCACCCCCCATCCGGTCGTCTAATCCGCAGCAGGGATGTGGTCTTTGACGAGTCCACTCCCTACTACTCCTCTCCCACATCTACTGACCCACTCCCCCCTCTCACCCGTCCCCTTGTCTGGTCTGACACCACCCCTCCCCCACTACTCCCTCCTCCCCCCATCCTCCCACCCCCCCCTTCTCCGCCGTCCCAGTCCCATGGTGCCCCTCCCTCTTCCGGTGACATCTTTGACCCGGAACCTCTGTCTTCCCCTGTCTCCCCCGCTCACTCCTCTCCTAGTACCCCTCCCCCCCCCCCCTTCCTCTCCCTCGCCACTAACCACTCCTCCGCCTTCCCGCACCATACTCACCCGGTATCCCCACACCAGGTCACGTGACGGTATCCTTGGTGCACCGCCTCCCGTTACCCTCTCTACCTCTACCCTCCCCCCTCTCTCCCCCCTCCTTCGTCACTTCTTCCAGGCTGTCCTGCATCAAGCCCCTCATGCAACAGCCCCCTCAGCCACCTCCTCTCCAACAGCGGCTCCAGCAGCAGCAGCAGCGCCAGCAGCCGCAGCAGCAGGACCAGCAGCGGCAGCAGCAGCGGGAGCGGCATCGGCACCAGTAGCAGGACCAGCAGCGGCACCAGCAGCGGCACCAGCGGCGGCACCAGCAGCAGTACCAGCAGCGGCACCAGCAGCAGTACCAGCACCGGCACCGGCAACGCCTCCACCAGCAGCACCAGCAGTGGCACCAGCAGTCATCCGCGCCTTCCACACCTCCCTCTCTGAGGACTCCCATGAGGAGTTCCTTGACCTCCACCTTTATGACTCCTTGCTTCTACCCATCACGTTCGATCTCTCCGGCACACCTGTCTTCGCCTTCTCCTCTGCTCCCTCTATTTTCGTTCCTACCACGTACGAGGAGGCAATGGCGTGCCCTGACGCTCCGCTATGGCTCGCCGCCATCATCAAGGAGCTGGAGGCCTTTATCGGCAACTCCTCTTTTGTCGATGTGCCTCGCCCTCCCGCCCCTACGAACGTGGTGAAAGGAAAGTGGGTGTTTCGCGTCAAGCAGCTGCCAGGGGAGCCGCCCGTCTATAAGGCTCGTTACTGCGCCAAGGGGTTCACGCAGCGGTATGGTTTTGACTTCTTCGATACCTTCTCCCCTACCGCCAAGCCTGCTACTGTTCGCGCCGTGCTCGACCTCGCCGCTCGCCTCAATATGGAGATCCACTCGATGGACGTTTCTAACGCCTTCCTACAAGGCGTCCTCCGCGAGCTTATCTACATGGAGCGTCCAGCCGGCTTTCACCTTCCCTTCCCAGCAGACTCTGTCTGGCAGTTGCGTCGACCTGTGTATGGGCTCCGACAGGCCCCTAGAGAGTGGCATGCTAAGCTTGCCGCCACCCTTGGTGAACTTGGGTTTCGCACCTCCCGCTCCGACGCCAGCCTCTTCCTCCGCACCTCCCCCTCCCCCTTCTACATCCTTGTATATGTCGATGACATGATTCTACTCACCGCCGACCTTGCTGAGTTGGAACGTGTTAAGGCTGAGTTGGAACGTGTTAAGGCTGAGTTGGGTAGCCGACTCAAGTGCAAGGACTTGGGAGAGCTGCAGCATTACCTGGGCATGACCATCACCCGCGACCGCTCCGCCCGCACCATCTCTCTCTCCCAGGGTCATTACTTGCAGCAGGTCTTGGAGCGGTTTGACATGGTCCGCGGTGGCGCCCAACCTACTCCTCTTTCTGTCGGGCACCACCTCTCTCAACCCACCTCCCCCTCAGCCTCCTCCCATCCTTATCCCGAGCTCATCGGCTCCCTCATGTACGTCATGGTCTCCACTCGCCCTGACCTTGCCTACCCCATCAGCGTCCTCGCTCGTTTTGTTGGCGCAGGCAAGCATACGGAAGAGCACTGGCAGGCCGCCAAGCGTGTCCTCCGGTACCTTCGTGGCACCAAGGACTATGTCCTTACCCTTGGCGGCCCCTCCCCACCTCTCCTCAGCGGCTACAGTGACTCCTCCTGGGCTGATTCCCGGCCAGATCGTCGCTCCTCCCAGGGCTATGGCTTCTCTCTTGGCAGCGGCCTTATCAGTTGGCGCTCCACCCGCTCCTCGGCTGCAGCCCTCTCCTCCTGCGAGGCGGAATTGTATGCCGCCACCATGGCTGCGCAAGAGGCCCGCTGGCTCACCTTCCTTCTTGAGGAACTTGGTGCCCCCCAGCGCTGTCCCACAATTTGGTGTGACAATGCTAGTACCATTCACCTCACCAAAGATGCTGTGTTTCACGGGCGCTCCAAGCACATTGAGCTCCGTCATTTCTTCATCGCGATCTTGTTCAGGCGGGGCACCTTCGCCTCGACAAGGTTGACTCGGCGGCCAACCTTGCCGACATCTTCACAAAAGCTCTTCCTCACGCCGCTCACTCTTTCCTACTTCGTCTTCTCGGCCTCACTCCTCCTAAGTCTCCTCCCGCCTCTTGATTCTAGCCTTCTAGCCTTATGCATGTTGGGGGGTTGTGTTGTAATTTCATATTTTATACAACATACATAGGCTAGAAGTGTAGCACATTTTATCAATTGGGGGGTTGCTTAGTGTACCCTCCAACCACATTTTGTGGTTGGTTGGGATTGGTCCTTAGCTCAACCAATCCCAACCAACACACATTTGTGGTTGCTTGGGTCACAAGCAAGCTCACCCATTGGCCAACTTATTGGCCAATAGAGTAAGCTTCCCTCTCATCTCTCTCTTGCTCATTGTTTGTACTAAAGAGCCTCTTGGCTCATTATTCAATGCATCAATTCTCTCACTTGCAACAACGCCGTCAGCTGCTGCTTGAACCGCAGTGCCCCACACATACTCACATCACACATGCCCCACACACAAGCTCTTAGTCCCCTTTTTTTCCCAAATCCCCCCTCCCCCATGCTCACCTGAATGCACTGCACAAGAGTGGGCGAGATCTCCTTCTTGAGGTTGTCTCCAATCATCCCATAAATCTTCTCCACATAGGCCGTCAGCTGCTGCTTGAACAGCAGCGCCCCCCACACACACACGTGCTCCACCCACATAACCACACGCACACTCTCCCCACACACACACACACACATGCACCTTACACCATCCCACGCTCACCTGAATGCACTGAGCGAGGGTGGGCGAGATCTCCTCCTTAAGATTGTCATGGATTATCCCGTGAAATCTTCTCCACATACGCCGTCAGCTGCTGCTTGAACAGCAACACCCCACATGCATACCCCCCCCACACCACACACACTCATAACCCCCCCTTCCCTACACGCATACCCAACCCCAGCCTCACCTGAATGCACTGGGCGAGGGTGGGCGAGATCTCCTTCTTGAGGTTGTCTCGAATCATCCCATAAATCTTCTCCACATACGCCGTCAGCTGCTGCTTGAACAGCAGAGCCGGGTACTTGGCATCCACCTGGGGGATGTGCTCCAGGCCCCCACTCGCCCCCACCACCCCCGTGGGTGTTGTAGGCGAACCTCCTCGGAAGCTCTGAAAGGGAACCGAGTGGGAGGACGGGAAGTGGGAGGATGGGGGGGGGCGCGGGGGAAGAGGAGAAGGGGTTTTCGGGTGGGAAAAATAAGTCATGAAGAGCCGGGTACTTAGCCTCCACCTGGGGGATGTGCTCCAGCCCCCCGCTCGCCCCCACCACCCCTGTGGGCGTTGTGGGGGAACCTTGAAAGCTCTGCTGGGGGGAAGGAGAAGGGCAGAGAGGTGAGGAATGGGAGATGGGGATTGGATGGAAGAAAGAGGGGAAGCAGGGTGCTTGGCCTCCACCTTTGGGGTGTGCTCCAAACCCCCACTTGGGACGGCTTAAGTAACACAATGAGGACAGGGGACGACTACAAGTAATAGGGGGAGCAGGGTACTTGGCCCCCAATCCTCTGCTCTGCTGATTCTCTATCGCCCCACTTCTAAGCCATGGCAACCCTCACACCCAGTGCCCCTGAGCCTTCCCAAAACCCCATACCGCACCTGTAGCTATCGTCTGCTACCCAAACACCCCCTACCTGGGTCATGCGGCCAAATAGAGTCGTCTGCTGCATCCCGCTTCTCCTCCGCTGCGCCTGCGACCCTGGTGCCCCGCTCGCCTTGAGTGTGCGCTGCAGCAGGAACAGCAGGCAGCTGGTGTTGGCCAGCCAGTAGGCCAGCCTCTCGTTGCTCTGCTGGTTCTCGATCGCCCCGCCGATGGTCTGGATGATGCGGTCGAAGACGCTCGTGCGCTCCGCCTCAAACGACCGCCAGTGCAGCAGTGCCTTGTACGTCACACACGCCACCACCGGCCGGCTGCTGTCGAACCCCACCTCGCTCACTATCACCTTCAAGAGAGCCTCCTGGTCTTGCTGTTAGCGGCAGCATAGGGAAGGGATGGCAGCAGGCGGGGGCACCATGAGGGGACAGGACAGGGTCAGTGAGCAAGACACCACCGGCCGACTGCTATGGAACCCCACCTCGCTCACTGTCGCCTTCAGCAGCGCCTCCTGGTGTCTTGCTGTTCAGGGCAGGGCCAAAGGACAGGGTGAATGAACAAGCTACCACCGGCCGGCTGCTGTCAAAACCGAGCTCGCTCACTATCACCTTCAGCAGCACCTCCTGGTCTTGCTGTTGGGGGCAGCAAGAGAGCCTCCTGGTCTTGCTGTTGGGTTGCGGACGGGGAGGGGGCAGGGCAGCAGAGAAAGGATACCAAATTTCACAGTTGTTCAATTCAAACGCTTCAGCTTCTTGCTCTCCACTTCACTATGCTTCACTAGGAATAGTAAGGCTGCCGTGAGGAGGAGACAAGGGTGGGTGCAACATCTCAGGTACTTCCGACATGCTAAGGTTTGGATTATGATTCCTGTGCGCTCATATGATGTGTCTCTTGGACCACTCACCGTCTGCCGGTCGTTCAGGTGCTTCAGCCGCTTGCTCTCCACCTCACTGGGCGTGGCAGGCGTGCCCTGAGGGGACTCTGGCGGATGCAGCATCTGGGAACGCGGGGTGGTGGGCGAAGGGAGGCCGCCCTCCAGCTGCTGACGTGTGTACAGCGAGGCTGGCAAGGGGCCACGTGGCAGCCCGGGCTTGGCTGGCATGGCGGCTGACAGGGCCTGCTGACGCAGCACCTGGTTCTCCTGCTCCGCGTTCTTCACCTGCTCCTCGAGTCTGGAAGGGAAGTGAGGGAGGGAGAGGGCGAAAACAGCGGGGGGAGAAAAAGGGAAGAAACAGAGCTGATGGATTAGAAAACTGCTTTGCTCCGCAGAGGGATTTCAGCAGTAGGACCACACACACACACACACCAACTCGCTGCATCCAACACCCACTCACCGCGCCCAACATCCACTCACCGCACATCACCCATGACCCACTCACCGCGCGCACAGCTCCTGCACCTTCCGCAGCTCCTCCTGCGTCTCCTCCAGCAGGCGCTCCCTCTTGCAAATCTCCTCCCTCACCTCCGCCTCCACCTGCGCCACCCGCTCGTCACTCTCCGCCAGCAGCGCCTTCAGCTGAGCATTCTCCACCGCCAGCTCCCTGCTGCTCGCCGCACCTAACCCCGCTCCATCTGACTGCACCGCATTCAAAGCCGCGCTTCCCAGGTTGAACGACCCGGAGGAGGCAGGGGTTGAGTGGGTATTGGCAGTGGCGGTGGCGCCAGGGAAGGAGGATTTTCTGGGGGTGATGAAGGGGGATCCTGGGGTGGAGGAGGCGCAGTGGGGAGGGGAGGAGCCGGCAACTGCTGCTGCTGCGACCGCGGCACCAGTGGGTGCGGCAGAGGCAGAGGCGGAAAGAGAAACCTTTGCGGCAGAACCAGGAGTAGTAGCAGCAGCAGCAGCAGCAGCAGGTGTGCTGGCAAGGTCGAGGGACTGGGATGCGATTTGTGCTGACTGTGCTGCTGTTGCCAATTCGAGGGATAGCCTCTCGGTCTCTGCCTTAGCTGCTTGGATCTCTGCTTTGGCTGCTAGGGTCTCAGCGTGTGCCTCATCGACCTTCTTCATTGCTCCCTCCAGCTCCTGCTGCAGCTTCTGAATCTCTGCTGTCTTCGCCTCCTCCACGTCCAGCTGATTGGGTGGGAATGTGGGAGGGGGGGGACATCAAGGGGGGTCGAGAACGGAACTGAGTGGTGGGGAGCAGCGAAGAGCAAAGAGACGCACTTGCAGGTGTTCTCTCCTCCCTCCAGCTCCTGCTGCAGCTTCTGAATCTCTGCCGTCTTCACCTCCTCCACGTCCAGCTGATTGGGGGTTGAAACATCAAGAGGGGTTGAGAACGAAATTTTAGCATCACCAACCCGCGCTCCTCCAGCTTTAGCCGCCATGTGAGCTCCTCGCACTGCTTCTCTAGCTCTGGCAGCAGTTGACACAATAGCAGCAGCACCTACCTTACTTGCTAGCACCACTCCCTCACCCACCTTCGCTTCTCCAGCTGCAAAAACAGCTCTACCAGCAGTTGACATGACAGCAGCAGCACAGCACCTACTCTCAGCCAGCAGCACCACCCACTCACCCGCATTCTTTTCTCCAGCTGAAGCTGCCATGCGAGCTCCTCACACTGCTTCTCCAGCTTTGGCAGCAGTTGAGGATAATGCCAACCCTCCCCTCAGTAAACACAGCACGCTTCAGGAATTACCCCAGCAGCATCTACCCTACTGGCTAGCACCACTCACCCGCATTCGTTTCTCCAGCTGCAGCCGCCATGTGAGCTCCTCGCACTGCTTCTCCAGCTTCGTCTTTGCCTCTTGCAGTGCCCCCGTTTGCTTCGCGTCCTGTGGGTGAGGGGCATGGGGTGTGGGGGCATGGGGTATGGGGCATGGTTCATGGGGTTGTGCCACGGCTTGGCATGTATAGCGCACCACAGCCATCAACACTCGCTTGCAGCAATCATTCATCCATCTAGACTCACATGCTTGAGCTTCTTGAGCTCCAGGCGGGCAGCCCTGCCCCTCCATGAGGATTGCAGGACCAAAGCACTCTTCTTCCTCCTCCCATACTCCTGCTGCTGCACGTGCCCTCTCCACTTGCTCTGCACAGCACACGCAATGTCGAAAATGGTACAGCATGAGGAAAAACGTCAGCCTAAAGAAAGCAACTGCAGCAGGAGCAGGAGCAGGAGCAGGAGCAGGAGCAGGAGCAGGAGCAGGAGCAGGAGCAGGAGCAGGAGCAGAAACAGGAGCAGGAGCAGAAGCAGGAGCAGGAGCAGGAGCAGGAGCAGGAGCAGGAGCAGGAGCAGGAGCAGGAGCAGGAGCAGGAGCAGGAGAAGCAAGCAGCAGCACTAGTCGTCTCCATCCCTTATTCCCAACACTCACACCCCCCAACCACACTCCACCTCTCAGCACCACTAAAAAACCCAAAATCAAATGACTTTATCCTCCATCCCAGCCCACCTGTATCTTGACAGCAGCCCTGTTGCCCTGTCTCCACCTCACCTTCTTGCGAGCCTGCTTTTGAGTCGACTCAAAAGCAGCAGCCCTGTTGCCCTGTCTCTGCCTCACCTTCTTGCGAGCAGCCATGCCCCTCGCCCCCGACTGCAGCACCACCACAACCTGCTACACCCCAATCGCCCCTTCTTACTCACAACTCCCAGCCGAATCCCATCGCTCAGCATCGCTAATAAGCCCAGACCCAGCCCCCTTTACCCTCCATCCCAGCCCCACCTGTATCTTGACAGCAGCCCTGTTCTCCCGCCTCTGCCTCGCCTCCTTGCGAGCCGCCATGCCCCTCGCCCCTGACTGCAGCACCACCACAGCAACTTGCCGCACCCCAATCAACCCCCTGCACCACTCACCCCCCTCAACCGAATTCCACCTCTCAGCAGCACCACTAACAGCCCCCCAAACACGACTCCCAGCCCACCTGTATCTTGACAGCAGCCCTGTTCTCCCGTCTCTGCCTCGCCTCCTTACGAGCCGCCATGCCCCTCGCCCCGGACTGCAGCACCACGGCTGCTTGCCGTGTGCGCCGGTACTTGCTCTGAGCCACAAACCGCCGCACGTGCTTCTGCACACGCACTGCTGCCGCATTCCTCCTGATACTCTCGTACTGCAGGCGGGCCTTGTGACCTGATTGGGGGGAAAGGGAGGAGATGGGGCAGGGGTTAGGGGGATAGGGGAAAGGGACGGAAGAGAAGGGGTTGCTGCTGCCTCCCTGTCTCCTTCTCGCCCCTGCCTGCAGCACCACGGCTGCCTGCCGTGTGCGCCGGTACCTGCTCTGAGCCACGAACCGCCACACGTGCTTGTGCACGCTCACTGCCGCTGCATTCCTCCTGATGCTCTCGTACTGCAGGCGGGCCTTGTGGCCTGATGGGGGGGATTTGAAGGGGGGGGGGGGGTGGGGGTAGGACGGGACAGGGAATAGGGGGATGATGGGGGGAAGGGAAGGAAGATAAAGGTTTGTTGCCTCCCTGTCTCCCTCCCTCCCTGCCTGCAGCACCATTGTTGCCTGCCGTGCCCGCCGGTACTCGCTCTGCATCACAAACCACCGCACGTGCTTCTGCACACGCACTGCTGCCGCGTTCCTCCTGATGCTCACGTATTGCAGGCGAGCCTTGTGGCCTGATGGCGGGAAGATGGCAGGGGACGGGGGAATGGGGACAAGGAAAGAAAGGGGAGGCGGCGGAAGCGCCTGCACTTGCAGCACTCCTTCTCGCAGGCGGCGGAAAGAGACGCCGCTGCATCCATGCCTTGAACGCTCTCTGGATGACCTCCACACCCCCTTTCCGCCTCACACATTCCTCTAGTGTGCTACTGCCCTCCTTGCCTCTATCTCACCTCGCCACAGAGCCTGCACTCGCAGCACTCCCGCGCGCAGCCGTTGGAACACACGCCTCTGCATCCACGCCTTGAGCGCCCTCTGGATGACCTCCGCACCCGCTTTCCCCCTCACACATTCCTCTAGTGCGCTACTGCCCTCCTTGCCTCTATCTCACCTCGCCACAGCGCCTGCACTCGCAGCACTCCCGCGCGCAGCCGTTGAAACACGCGCCTCTGCATCCACGCCTTGAACGCCCTCTGGATGACCTTGGCGGCCTCCCCCAGCTTCTCCGCCCTCATCGCATCGAGGTCAGCCATCTGTCCTGCTCTCAGGAACACCTGCGTCTTGCCCACCTGGGTGTTGTGTGGTTGGGTGGGGAGCGCGAGGTAGTCGGTGGAAGGACATGGGGGGAATGTGTGTGGGAGAATCGCGGATTCATTATCTCTTTTGAATGTACGGAGAACAACACACTCGTGGGTTTGTGACAATGGATTCTGAGAAAACAATGACTTCTGAACATAATCATCCTACTGAGAGAATCCATGAATCGCAGGAACAGCCATTCGTGTAGCATACAGCAGCAGTGCTGGTGGAGCCTTTTGAGGCGCCTCACAAGTCCTAATGAGAGAATTCATGGATCGCAGAAAGACCCGTTCTTGTAGCATGGAGCAGGAGTGCTGGTGGAGCGCACCAGACGGACACAGGAAGTGAATTCTGGAAAAAAACAAAACACAACAAACAGACAACCAATCAGGTTGGCCCACCTGGTAGTTGGCAAAGCCAAGCTTGTCCAGAAGAGTCGTGATTGCCGTCTTGTCATCCTGACTGGTGTGCCACATATGCACATGCACATGCAAGGGCACATGTAAGAAAAGGCAAAGAGTAAGATGGTGAATAAAAGGTTACTAGAAGTTGAGATTGCAAGAGGAACTGAGAGCTAGAGGTCGCATGAAATCACGAATGAGAGCAGCGAATTTCCATTCAGCTGCCAGCACAGGCACACGCACTCACTCACTCACTCACTCACCCATCTGCCATCATACCCTCACACTCACTCACCTGCCATCAAAGGCCTCAGGGTCACAGGAGGCAAAACGGTCAAGGAACTCATCTACGCTATTCCCTTAGCCCCCCTCAAAAGCAAACTCATATGAGCTTCTATTGCCTTCACAAGCCACGCTCTCACTTGCCATCACAGGTACTCACTCACTCACATTGGGCACACATACTCGCTCACTCACCTGCCGTCACAGGCCTCTGGGTCCAGGAAGGAGAAGCGGTCCAGGAACTCGTCAAATGTGCGCCGCGTGGGATACCCTGCACAGCTGATTCGGATCGCCTCCAACACACCCTGCGGCACAAGGGTGGGAGAGGGAGAGGGGAAGAGCAAACGGACGCGTTGCAGTGATTGTCAGAGCTGTGGTGTGTGGGATAGCCGGCACAGCTGATTCAGATCGCCTCCAATACACCCTGTGGCACGCGGGTGGGAGAGAAAGAGAGGGGAAGAGCAAACGGGTGGGTTGTGGTAATTGTAAGAGCTGTAGTGTGTGGGATAGCCAGCACAGCTGCGGTGGATCGCCTCCAACACACCCTGTGAGACAGGAATCATGAGAGAAGAAAAGAGAGGAGAGGGGAGACGAGAGGAGGGGAGACAAGGGGAGGGGGGGGGAGGGGAGGAGAGGAATATGTGAAAAGAGGGATGCGCGACAAGACGAGGGAGAGCGCTACACCCAAGAGAGAGCGGCACTCACCTCGCATTTGAGCTGGTAGAAATAGGTTGCATTCTCTAGCAGCTCTTTGTCATGATCACCCAGTGGCCTTACGGAGGGTGAGCACCATTCACTCGCTCACTCACTTGCTCACTCACTCACTCACTCACTCAATCAATCACTCACCCCACATCTGAGCTGGTGGATGACGTTGACGTTCTCAAACAGCTGTGGCTGGTACATGCCGTTGGGCTTCACACAGCGGATGTAGTTCGGTTGAGTCTGGTTCAGAGTGGCCATGAGCTCTGCCAGTTGTTGCTGCGGGGAGGACGGGGGGAGGAACAGGGCACAGGGGGCACAGGAGTAGGAACAAGAGTGGGGCCCAGGGACACAGGTGATGGATGCTGCAGAGATGCAGTTCGGTTGAGTCTGGTTGGGAGTGGCCCCATGATGAGCCCTGCCAGTGTTTGCTGTGGAGAGCAAGAAGAACGGGGCACAGTGGCAGAGGTGTCATAACAAGATTGAGGCGCAGGGGAACAGGTGTTGGGCAGCTGCAAGGGTGCAGTTCGGTTGAGCCCGATGAAGGGACAAGCGGGCAAGGAAGTGAGACTGAGAATTTGCTTCACCTTGAAGCTGGAATCCAGCAAGGCGAACTTGGTCGTGGCCTTGTGGCCAGGGAGGGTGTAACCAAGATGCTTGATTCGGCCAAAAAGGGGGGAAGGTGAAGAGCAGGAAACCGCTGGAAGGAGTAGGCAAGGCAAGAAGGAGGGGTCCCAGCCTCGAAGTGAGGAGGGGTGAGGGGTCGGCTGTACCTTGAAGCTAGAGCCCAGGGACGTGAACTTGGTCTTGGCCTTGTCACCCGCGGGGATGGGGAAGAGGCCAGCCACGAAGGGGTCCTTGGACTCGGACAGCACCGTCTGGTGCTCCATCACCACGTAGTCCTTGTTCTTCTCGAGGAAGAGATCGGTTTGGTAGGTCACCTGGAGAGTTACGGGGAGCAGCAAGGAAGGCATGGGGTGGAAGGAGGCTAAGGTGAATGGACTCTGACAGAACCGTCTGATGCTCCATCACCACATAGTCCTTGTTCTTCTCGAGGAAGAGATCGGTTTGGTATGTCACCTGGAGAGACTGCACAGTAGGAGAGAAAGCGAGGATACGGAGGGAAGAGGTATCACCACGTAGTCCTTGTTCTTCTTGAGAAACAGGTCCGCGTCCGCCTGGTAGGTCACCTGGAAAGAGTGACGGGGAGTAGGAAAAAAGGCATGGTGAGCAAGCATGCTCTACTGTATGACCTCTAGTCACCGTCCGGTGCTCCATCACCACATAGTCCTTGCTCTTCTCAAGAAACAGGTCCGTTTGGTAGGTCACCTGGCAGGTCAGTCAAAGAAAAAAGGGTGAGTGAGCAGGCAGAGGTGACAGGAGGCTTGAGAGAGCATGCTCCATCACCGTGTAGTTCTTGTTCTTCTCCAGGAAGAGGTCCGTCTGACACATGACCTGGCGTGACAGGCATGAAGAGGGAGGATGCTCAACTGAATGAGCCCTGCCCCACCTGCCTAACCTGCCCCACCTTGCCGAAAGGTCGATAATAGTGAGGCAGGTCGTGAGGCAGGTTAGGCTGGTGCTCATTCAGTTGAGCATTGGGAGGGGAGGATGCTCAACTGAATGAACACCAGCCTAACCTGCCCCACCTTGCCGAAAGGCCGAAAGGTCGATAATAGTGAGCACCGGTCTGCTGCAACACCTTGAGCCCTGCCCCACCTGCCTAACCGCCGCCCACACCTTGCCAGCATAGTGATCGATGGTGAAGTCAGTCTGAGACAGCTTGGGCTTCTCAAAGCGCGCGTGGGTTCCCACTGTCTGGTACAGCTTTGTGGCAAACGTCTCGTGGTTCGACTTGGGGAACATGCTGCTCACACACAGAGGGAAGAATGGGGGCAGGCAGCGGGTGCGGGAATGGGGGGGAGGGCATGAGAACGGAAAGATTTTGAAACATGCTTCGCTGAAAAGGTCTCATGGTTCAACTTGGGGAACATGTTGCTCACACGTAGGGGTGGGGCAGGGGTGGAGAGTGGGGGGAAAGGGAGGAGGGGAGGGGGGGCATAAAATTTTGGAACATGCTTCGCTGTAAAAGTCTCGTGGTTGGACTTGACAAACATGCTGCTCACACATGGGGGTAAAGGTGGGGGACGGGCGGAGGGGGGCGGGGTCAGGGGGAGGGAAGTAGGGGGACCAAATGTTTGGAGCATGCTTTGTGGCAAAAGTCTCTATGGTAGGACTTGCTGAGAACATGTTGCACACACGCGAAAGAGGGAAAAAACAGAGACGGGGGTGGGGACAGGTGTGGGCACTGCTTGTACAACGACGGGGGTGGAAAGAAGAATAGGGATTATAAGGAGCAAGGGAGGTGGGAACAGGCTGGGTAGAGGGGATTCAAGGAAGCAAGGGGCAAGGAACAGCTACAAAAAGGGGGTACACATTGCTGTCAGCACCACCACCATGACGCACGTACCATTGCTCGTCGAGGAGTGAGATGATCCCCATTGGCTTCTGCACACACACATGCACCGAGCGCAGAAGAAACATGAGAGGTCAATGGGCGCACCAGGACCAGGTGGTGGCGTCATGGTACAACTTTTGAGGCGCCTCAAAACTGAGGCGCCTCAAAACTAAACATGAGGTCAATGGGCGGACCAGGACCAGGACCAGGTGATGGCGCCATGGTACAACAACGCAACCGTCCACGGATGCATGTCACCAAATAATCACAGAGGCCGTGCACAAGTATTCACGCCACCCCCACTTTTCGATGATCTCTCTCCAGCACGTTTCGGTTGTCCACAAACTCAATGTAGCTCCAGCACGTCTCAGTTGATGATGCACAGCAAGAAGGTCTTACAACACCCCCCCCCTTCCCCCCCGTCACACCTTTTCTATTAGCTCCAGCACGTCTTGGCTGTCAACAATCACCATGTAGCTCCAGAACAGCCTCACCTGCCCACACCTTTCTACACCGCAACAAACCACGCAGTCCCCCCCATCACACCTTCTCAATGAGCTCGAGCACGTCTTGGTTGTCCACAAACTCGATGTAGCTCCAGAACAGCCTCACCTGCCCACACCTTTCTACACCGCAACAGACCACACAGTCCCCCCCCTCACACCTTTTCAATGAGCTCGAGCACGTCTTGGTTGTCCACAAACTCGATGTAGCTCCAGTTGATCTCCTCCTTCTCGTACTCCTCCTGCTCCGCCTTGAACACATGCTGGTGGGAGAGAGTAATGGAAGGGGACAGGAGGGATCGGATGGATGGGATGGGAAGAGGTGATGACTACAAATGAATCTCCTCCTTCTCGTACTCCTCCTGCTCTGCCTTGAACACGTGCTGGTGGGAGAGAGTAATGGAAGGGGACAGGAGGGATCGGATGGATGGGATGGGAAGAGGTGATGACTACAAATGAATCTCCTCCTTCTCGTACTCCTCCTGCTCTGCCTTGAACACGTGCTGGTGGGAGAGAGTAATGGAAGGGGACAGGAGGGATCGGATGGATGGGATGGGAAGAGGTGATGACTACAAATGAATCTCCTCCTTCTCGTACTCCTCCTGCTCCGCCTTGAACACGTGCTGGTGGGAGAGAGTAATGGAAGGGGACAGGAGGGATCGGATGGATGGGATGGGAAGAGGTGATGACTACAAATGAATCTCCTCCTTCTCGTACTCCTCCTGCTCTGCCTTGAACACGTGCTGGAACGGCAAGGAATTGGATGGATGGGATTTGAGGGTCACAAAAGGTGGAGGCTGCAAGGAGTGCAAGAGGTGCATCACACAGGTTGCGATGCATAGTGCAAAGTGCACACACTCACGTGGTTGAAGTGCTGCTGAAGCTTCTCGTTCGCAAGGTTGATACAGAACTGCTCAAAACTGAAAGCGGGCGAGGGAAGAGACAAGGAGTGGGAGCGTTTGGTGAGGGAGGAGAGCAAGCTCTAAGAGAGTGTGGAAGAAACGATTCGGCACAAAGAGAGAAAAAGAAGGAAGGAGAGCAAACGAGTGGATGCCCTTACGAGCTGTCCCCAGAGCTGCCACTCTGACACAATCTCATGCCTTCATTGGAGCGCTGTCAAGGCAACCAGCCACCTGCATGTAATTGGGCGTTGAGGCTCTCCCACCCAACCCAGCCTACTGCCTTCATGCCTCCCTCTATAGCCCAGCCCCTTGCATTCCAAGCTCCCTCTCATACACCACCACACCACACAGACTCTGTGTTGCCACGCCCTGACCGATCTCTGAGATCACCTTTGAGTCGACTCAAAAGCCATTCTACGCTCCCAACCACACAACACCAACACCCACCACACCCCATGTGAAACCTATCACAGCCTGACTGACCTGTTGCACTGGAAGGTCTCGAAGCCATAGATATCAAGCACACCGATGATGGTCTTGGCGTTGGGGTCCTGCCCTATGGACTTGTTCACTTTGTCCACCAGCCTGGGGCGAGGTGGAAGGAGAGGTGGGGGGAGGGGGGGATGGGTGCGGTAAAGCGAAAGGATAGCGTGTCTAGAAGGTTGCACACGCCAATAATGGTCTTGGCACTGGGGTCCTGCCCTATGGACTTGTTCACCTTGTCCACCAGCCTGGGGAGGAAGTTAGAGGATGGGGCCAGGGAGGAGGTGAAGGCAGTTACATGAAAGCTAAGCACGCTGATAATGGTCTCGGCGTTGGATCCTGCCCTATCGAATTGTTCACCAGTCCACCAGCCTGTGTCGATGGGAAGGGAAACTAGAGATGGAAAAACAATGGGCAAGACAAATCAAAAGACTCAGCCAGGGAAGGCAGGGGGGGAAGCGGGGGGGTGGGAGGAGGGCGGTTGAGATGACTACAAGGGTGAGGCGGTTCTCCCAGCTCACCAGTCGAAGAGGCGGGCATAGATGGTCTCGGCTGATGACCGCTGCTGCTGGGACGAGCTCCTTCTTGATGTTGCCGTCTCAGCTTACCACACAAATGGATTAATTAAGCTCAACGTTACAACATCTGTGTGCTGCCCAGCTCACCAGTCGAACAGCCGAGCATAGATGGTCTTGGCGAGCGTGTCTCGGCTGATGAGCGCCGCTGCCGGGTCGAGCTCCTTCTTGATGTTGCCGTCCCTCGTCACCAGCGTGCGCGATATGAGCGACTCTCGTAACTGCTTCTTGTCCACCCTGTGGGAAACAGTGGGACACGAGGGTAAGGAAGAAGCAGGCACGGGTGGGTTTTCATTTGGCTCTAAAGTGTCGGCTTGAGTAGCGAAGCAGCGGCCTCCTGGTGGTACTTGGACTCATTGCCAGACACCTTGGCGAGTGCTTGCTTCCATTCCTTACCTGGGTTGTGATGATCCAGACTAAACCATCCCCTCCCCCCTGCATGCTTCTCGCTTGAGCAGGGAAGCAGCGGCTCCCATGTGGTACTTGGACTGGACTTGTCCCCAAACAACTTGGACGAATCAGACAAGTCCTTCCCGTGCTTGCATGGGCGGCTGGTTGTGACCACCAGAATATACACACCTAGTCAATTGCACTACCTACACTCTAGTTGCTTGTGTCTCACCTGAGCAGGGAGGCAGCGGCCTCCAGGTGGTACTTGGACTTGTCGCCCGACACCTTGGACGAGTCGGGCTGCTTGCCTGGTGCAAACGTGATGTTGCCCAGATGGAGAATTGCCGCCACCACCTGGAATATCGAGTCCTGTTGTGTGTAGATGAAAGAGGGGGGGGGAAGGAGGAGGGGGGACAATTTTGTGAGGAAACATGGAATTCTGGCTTCTGCCATGAAGATCAGGTGAATGGGGGGAGGGAAGGAAGAGGGGTTAATAAAGGGGAGAGAGAGAGCAAGAGCGATGGAGAGAGGTTATTGAGAATCGTGACTATGCCCAGACTGCTGCCAAATTTGGGGCGCTTCACAAGTCGTCTCTCAACCATTATTCGTCTCGTTCCCAGGCAGCCCGATGCCCCACCTGTTCAGTCCCACTCATCTGTTCGCTCAACCTCAATCCACGCGTGCTCCAAACCACATACCCCTGCACTATTAGCCCCACCTGTTCCTCAGGGCTGAGCCCAACGACGTCCATGGCCCGTCTCGTCTTAATGTACTCATCCGCGTTTGTCTCCTTGCCCGGCAGCTCGAAGCAGTTGCTCTGGTTGAGGTAGTGGAACGTCTCTGCTGGCGCCAGCTTCAGCTTCTCCACCTCCTGTGGGGGTGGCACATGGGGGCACATAGGCACATGGGTGCTTGGGTGTTAGAATGGGTGCATGGGTGTGGGGAGAACAAAGCAGCTCGAAGCAGTTGCTCTGGTTGAGGTAGTGGAATGTCTATGCTGGCGCCAGATTCAGCCTCTCCACCTCCTGTGGGGCCAAAGGGAGCTCATACGCACATGGGGACATGGGTGAGATGGGAAGGTGGGCATATGGGGTGGGCAAGGCAGGTCGATGCAGCTGCTCTGGTTGAGGTAGTGGAATGTCTCTGCTGGCGCCAGCTTCAGCCTCTCCACCTCCTGTGGGGCCAAAGGGGGCTCATACGCACATGGGGACATGGGTGAGATGGGAAGGTGGGCATATGGGGTGGGCAAGGCAGGTCGATGCAGCTGCTCTGGTTGAGGTAGTGGAATGTCTCTGCTGGCGCCAGCTTCAGCCTCTCCACCTCCTGTGGGGCCAAAGGGGGCTCATACGCACATGGGGACATGGGTGAGATGGGAAGGTGGGCATATGGGGTGGGCAAGGCAGGTCGATGCAGCTGCTCTGGTTGAGGTAGTCGCAGTTGGGGATGCAAGCATGCTCCCAAGGAGAGCTGGTAGAAGCAGTGGTAGTTGTGCGCAGGGTCTGAAATCTGCACCACCCTTGATCTCTCCAGCAGGTGCATGCATTGTGCACACGGCTGCTCCTGAGATGCGTCCAGATTCATCGAATTGGATTCCCACAGCATACCTCAGGGGAAGCACCTGAGCAGAGCTGGTAGAAGCAGTGGTAGTTGCGCTCAGGGTCTGAAATCTGCACCACCCTCAATATCTCCAGTGCAATTGCTGCCCTGCTGCTACTCTCGGCCATGCACTCCTGACTAAAGTCAATCCATTCAGAATTCCCTCAGAAAGAATCAAGACAGTTGCTACTACCTCAGGAGAGGCTCCCGAGCAGAGCTGGTAGAAGCAGTGGTAGTTGCGCTCGGGGTCTGAAATCTGCACCACCCGGGACCTCTCCAGCAGGTACGTGCGCACGGCTGCTCCTGAAATGCGTCCAGATTCATCGAACTGGATCTCGACGAACTTGCCAAAGCGACTGTACCACAGATGGTGTGCACGTGGAGTGTGTGTGCATGGGAAATAGGGGGGAAAGTGAGCAAGCAGTGGAAAAAGTGGGGGACGTGGGGGAAGTGAGGGAGGTGGGGGAAGTGGGGGAAATTGGGAGCAAGGGGGGAGGCATATGGGGACGGATGTGGGGGATCAAGGGGAAGTCTAGTAGAATGTTCGTTGAATGGGACATACTGAGCTTGGAATGAAGAGTTGGGATAACGATTGAGATGTGTGCTTGGGATGCGGAATCGAGTATTCAGAGGGGGTCAAGATTATGAATGGGAATGGCGGTTCGGGTAGAGGTTTGAGCTGAAAAAACGCCATCCAACACCTGGATTCGTTCATGACATTCTTGAATGGAACTACCCAGCGCATCAAGCAACAAATGCATTCTTTGCATTGATTACATTGACACTGGGATTGAGAAAAGACACCATCCCACCTGGAGTTGTTGTTCCTGACAGTCTTGGCATTCCCAAATGCTTCGAGCAGCGGATTGGACTGCAAACACGCAGTATGCCAGCATAAAGAAAATGCATCTTTAGCAATCGGCTGAAATCGTCACGACCAGAAGCAGCAACAGCCAGCCGCTTTAAGTATACACACACACACAAACACACACACACACACACACACACACACACACACACACACACACACACACACACACACACACACACAAAAAAAAACCCACCTGAGCAGAAAGCATAGAAACGCTCCAGCATTTACCACCGTGAAACCTCTCAACACATACCTCAAGCACTTGAGCCTCCACGGATCGCCCCTCTGTGGCCCGCCCGCCCATGTACGCCAGGTACTGCATGAGCAGCTTCGTGGTCTCCGTCTTGCCGGCACCGCTCTCCCCACTCACGAGAATCGACTGGCTCAGCTTGTAGTCCACCATCGCCCTGCCAGTGACGACACAGGGTTACCAGGTAACATGGTGGTAGCAAGGGGGTAGGGGGCAGGGAGCAGGAAGGAGGTGGGTGGCAGGGTGACAAAGACCCACTGGCTAAGCTTGTAGTCCACCATCGCCCTGCCAGTGACGACACAGGGTTACCAGGTAACATGGTGGTAGCAAGGGGTAGGGGGCAGGGAGCAGGAAGGAGGTGGGTGGCAGGGTGACAAAGACCCACTGGCTAAGCTTGTAGTCCACCATCGCCCTGCCAGTGACGACACAGGGTTACCAGGTAACATGGTGGTAGCAAGGGGTAGGGGGCAGGGAGCAGGAAGGAGGTGGGTGGCAGGGTGACAAAGACCCACTGGCTAAGCTTGTAGTCCACCATCGCCCTGCCATTGGCAACGTGGGGTTACCAGGTAACGTGGTGGGAGTAGGGTAATGACAGGGTGGGGTTGGGGTAGCAGGGTGGGCAGGCAGGGTGGCAAGGAGCAACACAGTCAACCATCGCCGTGCCAGTGGCCACAGGGGGTTACCAGGTAACATATTAGGAGCAGTGTGGGGGTAGGGGCCGTAGGGTGGCAGGATGGCAGGCAGGGGAGCAAGTTGGTCAGCTTGTAGTCCACCATCGCCCTGCAATTGGCCATACGGTTACCAGGTAACATGGTGACAGACGGCCGGGTGGCAAGGCAGGGCGGCAGGGTGGCAGGGTAGCACACACGCACAGACATACACGCATGAACTGACCTGAAGGAGGTCTCTGCGATGGCGAAAACGTGGGGGCTCAGCTCGCCCAGGCGGGAGCCGCGGTACTGCTCCATCATGTGCACATCGTACAGGTGAGGCAGCCTCTGGAAAGGGTTCACTGCGATGAGAATGCTGCCCGTGTACGTCTGCTCACGCATCATCATAACATATCATAACCAGGCACGGATTGCCCGGGGTACAGGGGTGCAGGAAATGCAAGGAAGTCGAGGGGTCGGATGGGAGAGAATCTATGAGTCAGGTCGATGAGAATGCTGGCCGTGTACGGCAGCCCATGCACCACCACCACGAAAAGTCAGGCACACATTCCCAGGAAGAAATGCACAGGAGTAAAGGGGTCGGATGGAAGGTAAGTATCAAGTCACGGCGATGAGGATACTGCCCAGGTACGTGTGCCCATGCACCAACACCACCACCAACACAGCCAGGCGCACGCGCATTACCCCGAGTAAGCGGATGAAAGGAATGCACGGGATAGGAAACTTCCGTATCTGAAGGCAGCTTGCGTACATCTCGTTGAGAGAGCATCGCGTGGCGTGGGTGTGCAGATCGCACAAGGCTCGTGAAGGTTCGCGAGCTTCGCTTACACAAGACAACGCCAGGTGCGGCGACGAGGTGGTAACTCACGTAGATTTCGTCGAGCGAGTATCGCACGGCGAGGTTGTGCAGCACGCCGGGCTCGTGGAGGTACGCGAGCTTCGTCATGTCGTCCACACCGCCGCTCGGCGCGTCTGGGTCTTTCGGATGGATGTGCTTCAGCCGGTACACCGTCTGCACGTACGCACGGACGAACAGCCTGGATCAGTTCAGTCTACCAAGTGACATTGTTGGCATGCTAAGCGTCTGGGTTCTTCGGGTGAATGTGCTTCAGCCGGTACACCGTCTGCACGGACGCATAGTATGGATCAGTACGGTCTACCGAATGACATTGTTAGCATGCTAACAGCCTGACGCTAGTCGTAGCACGAGTCGACGGAGACGGGTGGATGTGCTTCAGCCGGTACACCGTCCGCACGGACGAACAGCCTGGATCAGTACGGTCTAGTACCAGCTGACATTGAAGGCATGCTAACCGTCTCGCCCTAGTCCTAGCACAAGTCGGAACGAGACGGGTGGATGTGCTTCAGCATGTAAACCGTCGGCACGGACGACGAGCGTGTCGGATGCTGGATCAAGATCAATCCGACGCGTGATACGACTAGGGTGGGACGGTTAGCATTCTGCGAGTTGACATGATACAAACTAGCTTGACACGAATGAGCGTAACACGAACGAGCGCGATACGAACGAGCGTGATACGAACGAGCGCGATACGAACGAGCGTGATACGAACGAGCGTGATACGAACGAGCGTGATAAGATGAGCGACGGCCGAGAAAGACGGAATCCATGACACCAACGTCGCTTCGTCGAAATCCGTTCACACATGGGCCTCGCGCGAATAGCAGGGGTCCGAAGATTCGAGAATGTTCTACGTGGGACGGCTGAGCCGCGTCTGTTTGTCTGTACGAACCTCCTTATCCCCGACTTTGACCGTTACTTTCTTCTTCTCCACCTTCACCACCTCCCCCTCCACCCATGCTTGGTCCGAGTCCTCGACCCACACGAACGACCCCACGACGACTTTCGCGTCTGCCGTCTGCAGAAACAAGAAGTGAAGAAACCGAAAACGGATGACTTGTGGGTGGATTCGTAAGCTTCTGAGCATGTATGGGACAGAAGTGTGATGCAGTTTTCTAAGCTTCCTACCATGATGTCCTCCTGTTGCTGACACTTGGCCGCTAGTGGGTTCGCACGGATCCGATCAGCATGGCCAGTAAGCGAGAGAGGCGGTCTCTTAGGAGATACGAGCTGGGTTTAGGAGGCACCGCTGAAGGTGTGACTACCAGAATCAACTCCCTAGGCTGGACCTAAATTCCTCCTCGCAAATCTCGTGAATCTGTGACTAGTTGGGCTGGTTGGTGGCCGATGCACTAGATTGTGCCTCTAACGAATCATTGAAAGTGATGACTTTGGTTGCTTTCATTACTGCGACTTGGAAATTGTATCGTATCGTAGACCTCCTTTATCGCACACTCTATACATAGAATGTCTAACAACCGCTCTGCGCCGATATAAAAGCTGGAGAAGCATCGACATCATCCTTGTTGCTGCTGATTGGACTGATGGAGCGATGTTGGGTGCAAGGGAAGTGCTAACCGTCGATTTTGATGAGGCTGAGAGCTTGCCACGGTGGCACTGTCAGAATCCCTGCAGCATCGCGCCCAACCCACTCTGCTGGTTGGTCATTATGGAGATCGCCGTTACTGGGTTGGCGTAAATAATAGCAGGTTAGTGTGTGTTTTTTCTTAAAACAATGTGCCGCACTGAAAGTGCACCATTTTATGTGCATGCCAACGTTCATTATTATATCATAATAAACCCTGAAATTCAAATTAAAACAAGGAATATAATTACTTTACATTACGTTCTCTAGGGCCTAAGGTACTCGCGTCTGAAGCGCTGGCTCATGGCGCTCGTGCATTAGGCGATAAAGCCTAGGGCAGTCGCCCTAGGGCGTTCTCGCCTTAGGCGCTGGTCCGTTCTCCACCACTCACTTCCGTTCTGAACCCCCTGTTGTACCCCCCCAATCAGCTTGACGTGGAGCAGGCGAAGACAGCAGAGATCCAGAAGCTGCAACAGGAGCTGGAGGGAGGAGAGAACCCTTGCAATCCTTGCCTTGCTTGTTCCTCACCGCTCTGCACCACTCACCACCACTCAGTCTCGATCTCAACCCGCCCCCCTTTACCCCGCCCCCCATCAGCGGGACATGGAGGATTCGAAGACAGCAGAGATTCAGAAGCTACAGCAGGAGCTGGAGGGAGCAATGAAGAAGGTCGATGAGGCCCACGCAGAAACCCTAGCAGCAAGGGCGGAGATACAAGCAGCCAAGGCGGAAATTCATGCAGCAAAGGCGGAGACACAAGTAGCCAAGGCAGAAACACAGACAGCAAAGGCAGAAACACAGGCAGCAAAGGCGGAAATTCAAACAGCCAAGGCAGAGACACTAACAGCCAGGGCAGAGACACGAGCAGCCAAGGCGGAGACACGAGCAGCGACGGCAGAGACACAAGCAGCAAAGGCAGAGACCGAGAGGCTCTCTCTTAAAGTGGCAACAGTGGAGGCGGAGGTGAGGGAGGAGATTGGGAAGAGGCTACTAGAGGAGACGCAGGAGGAGCTGCGCAAGGTGCATGAGCTGTGCGCGCGGTGAGTGGGTGTTGAGCGTGGTGAGTGGGTGTTTTGCGCTGTGAGTGGGTGTTTTTTGCGGTGAGTGGGTGTTGTGCGCGGTGAGTGGGTGTTGTGTGCGGTGAGTGGTGAATCTCTCACCTCTCTTCACCTCCTTCCCTTCTCCAGGTTGGAGAACCAAGTGCTGTCTAGGCAGCAGGCCGTGTCTGCGTCTGGGACGATCGCTGTCTCTCCCAACTTTGTCACTCACCCTCCTTCAATCCCCCCCCTCTTCACCATCCTACCACTTCTAGATTGGAGGAGCAGGAGAACCAGGTGCTGTGGCCGCAATTAATCAGTCCCATCTGCCTTTTTTTTTCTTCTTCCCTTTCATCCCTCCTCTCCCTCCTTCCCCTCCCCTTCTCCAGATTGGAGCAGGAGAACCAATTGCTGCGTCAGCAGGCCATGTATGCAGCCAAGCCAGCACCTGAAGCACCTGAAACACCTGAAGCACCTGAGGCACCTGCAGCACCTGAAGCACCTGAAGCACCTGCAGCACCTGAAGCACCTGCAGCACCCGAAGCACCCGAAGCACCTGAAGACCCTAAAGCACGGCAGACTGTGAGTGCGAAAGGGTCGCACCACATTGTGGAATACAGAGCATCCAAGGGTTTGGGGAAGTTTGTTTTCTGAGTCGACTCAACAATCGACTTCCTACACGCGGAAAGGGCCTTCAGGAGCACCACATTGTGGAATACAGAGCTTCCAAGGGTCCCTGCACCACATTCAAGGGTCTGGGAAAGTTTGTCAGATGCTGCATCCGCCAGAGTCTTCTAAGGGCACCCCCGCCACGCCCAGTGAGGTGGAGAGCAAGCGGCTGAATCGCCTTAATGGCGCTGCTGCACTGGCAGTCGTTTGAGGCGGAGCGCACGAGCGTGTTCGACCGCATCATCCAGACCATCGGCGGGGCGATCGAGAACCAGCAGAGCAACAAGAGGCTCGCGTACTGGCTGGCCAACACGAGTGCACAAGCATGTTCGACCGCATCATCTAGACCATCCCGCCCCCTTCCCCACCTCTCCATCCCCGCACTCTCAGACTGACCCTGACTCATGTTTTCGAAGGGCTGCAGTAGTAGAGAGGACGCTTAAGCAAAGGAACAACAGTAAAAACTTGTGAAAAAACACAGATCTGAAAAACCCTTAGCTTCCGAAAAGCCTCCTTTGTGAAAGTTTAGAAGAAAGAAGAGGGTTGAACTAGCAAGAATGGGGATACAAATAGCAAACCCTAGAAGGGTTGTACTCGCTATGGAGCACCCCACTACATGCTAGAGCATACTGGGCTACCGGACGAAGTCTCCGGAATACAGGTGCTGCTGGCGACACGACGGCAACCTCCATTCAGCTTCCCCAAACTATCCCACTCCCCCTGGCACATACCCGCTGCTACACCACTAGGGTCACTCACACCCCACCCCCTAGCACGACTCCGTCGACTCCCACACACCCACCCCCCTCAGCGGCAGCTGCAGCAGTGGGAGACAGAGGAGGAGGAGGAGCAGGGGAGACCACACACCCGCCACCCCCCCACTCGCCACCCCCAAACCCTAACACAGGGCAGGGCGGGATGGCGGGTAGGGAGGTTACGGGGGGAGAGGGGGGGGGGGGGGGGGGACCGATGCGCGGCCTCCCAGGGCGCAACAACAGGCGGCAGAAGGGGCGGCGCCCGCCCCCCTCCCCCAGGTCGCCCCCCGAGGGAGCCGCGACGGGCGACGGGATATGGCCGGGGCGGGGCCGGGGCCGTGCAAGGGCGGCGACGGGGTCGCTGCGGGTGGCGACGGGGCCGCTGCGCGCGGCGACGGCGCGGCCGATGCGGGCGAGGACGGGGTCGTTGCGGGCGGCGACCGGGCCGCTGCGCGCGGCGACGGGGTCGCTGCGGGCGCCAACGGGCCCGCTGCGGGTGGCGACGGGCCCGCTGCGGGTGGCGACGGGGCCGATGCGGGCGGCGACGGGGCCGACGTGCGGGTCCCCGTCGCCCGTCGCAGCGCCTCCCGAGGGCGACGCGCCGAGTGACGGGGCAGAAGCCCGCCGCGCGCCTCGGGGCGCACAGCGGGCAGAGAACCGCCGCGCGCCTCGGGGCGCACGGCGGGCAGAAAACCGCCGCGCGCCTCGGGGCGCACGGCGGGAAGAAAAAAAAAAACTGCCGCACGCCACGGGGCGTGCGACACAGAGAGTAGCAGTAGCAGTTGCAGCGGAAGCAACGAGGTGGTGAGCCCACCCACAGGATCGATCCAAGGGGATCGACCTACTCTCATAGCATGTGAAAGTTTAGAAGAGAGAAGAGGGTTGAACTAGCAAGAATGGGGATACAAATAGCAAACCCTAGAAGGGTTGTACTCGCTATGGAGCACCCCACTACAGGCTAGGGCATAATATTCTGACATCCTTGCGTAAACTAGTTTCAGCGGATGGGCGAACCCAATCACGCCTTCATCAGTACAGCACAATTCGGCGAGTGCACGAGCATGTTCGACCGACCGCATCATCCAGACCATCCCCCCCCCTTCCCCACCTCTCCCTCCCCGCGCTCTCAGGTGCTGCACCCATCAGAGTCCCCTCGGGCCAACCCTGCCACGCCGGGTGATGAGGAGAGCGAGCGGCTGAAGCATCTCAATGATTATCAGACGGTGAGTGCGTTGCACACTGTGTGCATATGGGCGAGTGAATCAGTGAGGGCATTGTAAGCGAGTTTTGAGACGTCTCAAAACAAGATCGTCAGACGGTGAGTGTGCTGCACGCACACTGTGTGCACGTGGGAGAGGGAACCAGTGAGGGTGCTGTATGCGGGAGCTCTCAGGTGCTCTGCTGCACTGCACTGCACCCGCCAGAGTCCTTTCAGGGCATCCCTGTCACGCACGCCCAGTGAGGTGGCGAGCAAGCGGTTGAAGCATCTGAACAACCATAGGGTAATGGATCCATCCATCATCCCTGACTGACCCTCTCAGTTCGTTCTTTGGTGCCCCTGCTGCCCTGAACAGAAAGACCAGGAGGCTCGTTGCTGCCCTGAGGAGAGCATGCGGCTTAGGCATCTGAATGGCCGGCACCAGCAGATGGTGAGTGACGGCACCGGCACCGGCAGATGGTGAGTGACGGCACCGGCACCGGCAGATGGTGAGTGACGGCACCGGCACCGGCAGATGGCGAGTGACGGCACCGGCACCGGCACCAGCAGATGGTGAGTGACGGCACCGGCACCGGCATGCGGGAGAGGGAATTAATGGCAGATCATAGCTGAAAGTGGTTTGTGGGTTGCCGTTGCCCCCCGTCCCGTGCTCTCAGATGCTGCATCCGCCAGAGTCCGCTCAGGGCACCCCTGCCACGCCCAGCGAAGTGGAGAGCAGGCGGCTGAAGCATCTGAACGACCCGCAGACGGTGAGTGGTCAAAGAATTTAGGGTTTGGCATGGGGGAAGTACCTCATATGGTGGCATCCGCCCACCATATCAGACATGCCGTGAGGAGAATAGATTTTTGAGTCGATTCAAAAATCGAGTTATCACACACGGCCTAGTGAAGTAGAGAGCACATAGTTGTAACGACCTCCAGGTGATTTAGTATTTGTCTTCTCCTCTTCCCCCCATCATCTCCTCCCCAACTCAACAGCAAGACCATGAGGCGCTCTTGAAGGTGATAGTGAGCGAACTCAGGTTTGAAACAGCCGGCCGGTGGTGGCTTGCCGGCTCATGATGTTCCGTCCTTCCTCCCTGTGCTGCCGCTTTTGCTCCCATCCCTTCCCTATGCTGCCGCTAACAGCAAGACCAGGAGGAGCTCTTGAGGGTGATAGTGAGCGAGCTGGGGTTTGACAGCAGCCGGCCGGTGGTGGCATGTGTGACGTACAAGGCGCTGCTGCACTGGCGGTCATTTGAGGCGGAGCGCACGAGCGTCTTCGACCGCATCATCCAGACCATCTGAGGGGCGATAGAGAACCAGCAGAGCAACGAGAGGCAGGCTTATTGGCAGGCAAACACGAACATTGAGGCGCTTCCAAAACTGGCCTACTGGCTGGCGAACTCGAGCTGCCTGCTGTTCCTGCTGCACTGCACGCTCAAGGCGAGCAGGGGGGAGGGGCCCCATGCACAGCAGACAACCCGGTTTGGGCGCATGTCCCAAGTAAGGGGTGTTTGAGGCACAACCTTAGTTGGATTTGACGGAGCCGGTTCCGTTTTGACGGTCCATTTTTTACGCTGGACGGAACCCTGCGAGAGTTTGACGGTGTTATTGACTCTCTGGCGGGCAGGAAAAAAAACCTTCGGGCAGCCAAAAAAACTCTTTGTACGTTACTCCAAAACTAGATGTGGCGTCCTCATTAGCGGTTGAAGAGGTGGATGAAGCCATGGCTCAACCTAGGATTCCTTGAAAACGCTAAGGCTATGGTCGCGATCTAAGCTAACAAGGTCGAATAGTAACTGTCGAAACCCTAAATGTAAGTCGCGTTAGTTACTTATTATGGATTAAGTTTGATACAAAGTAGTGGTAATTAAGACAAGGGGTATAAGAGGAAGGTAGAAATGGTGGAACAGAGAAAGGGTGATAAGGAGAGAAGAGCTGGACAAGAAGAGAAGGGCCAAAGGAAAGGTGGAAAAGAAGAGAGGAAGAAACTAAAAGAAGGAAGCACCTAAGGACCAAAACACCACAGCAACCCGCACCACAGCGCGGGACACAGCCTTTCAAGCACAATCGCTAAACGCCTACACATATGCATCGTACATATGTTGCATGTCTGCCACGCTCTCAAAGCAGGAAGTAAAGTAATACCAACTGCCCTGCCCTGCACCCAAAAGGGACTGGTGCAGGCATCCACCTATCGTCTGACCCTCCCAACTGCCGCACCGCGTGCTGTATAATACTCTGAGCCTGCGCTCGCTGCAATGCCACGGACAGTCGTGTAGTGAGTACGGTCTCGAAAATCCGTGTTGACCCGTCATCCCCCCCCACCAAGTCTTTGCGCCGCTGTGCAATCCGCCGCGCACAAAGCCTTAGAAACTGCCTCATTGGCTCGCTGAGCAACCCGAACGTCTCCACTACACATGCATAAAAATGTGGCGGTGGTTGTAATCCCTCTAGATGCGGTGCCCAATCCCGCAAATTGTCATGTACTCGTCTAGCTACTGCAACACCCATCTGCACTGGAGCCACTCATCTAAGCCCGGTATTCCTCTGTCGCTGTGGATCTGCAATGGAGACGTCTACCAACACCATCAAAGTTTTTTCAATATCGCGGCAAGTTTGGTTTGGAATGCGGGCTGGTGTCCCTATGCGGCCTGTGCGTCCAGCCTACCTTTGCTGCAGTACTGGCTGCTGTTGTGCCTGGTCCCTCCGCACCTCCTCCCTTGTCGTTTCTGCCCCTCTATCCTCTCCCCCACCCACCTTCCTCCTACCATCCCCTCTCCCCAACCCTAAAACCCCCTCGCGTTAGTTGGGGGGAGAGGGAAATGTGTCTGTTTCGGTTCGACATTGTAGATTAACTGCGATGGAAGGGGTGGGTGGGGGGGTTGAATTTTGTTGAGAAGTGCTTTCTTTTTTGTGCTTTGTGGAGTGAAATTTGGAGTCGCGATGTTGTCGCAAACTCCCGAAAGTAACTCTTTTTTTCCGGAAAAAAAAAAAAAAAAAAAAAAAATCGATTTCGGTCTGCCAGAAAAACAAACTAGGGCACTGTCAAGCGTCAAGCGTAAAAAATGCTCCATTTTGGCGCTTGACGCTGGCCTGCTGGAGCGTGAAATGTCAGAATGTATTTGCTGTATAGCCTGCAGTGGGGTACTCTGTAATGAGTACAACCCAATTTAGGGTGTTGTACTTGTATCCCAACTCTTGCTAGTGAAACCTCATTCCTCTCCTTCCAAAACCTCTCGATACTTTTCCTAAACTCGAACTCAACTACCAAGGCTCCTAAACTATGGCTCCTAAGCCAAACTCACACTAGTATTTTGTCATGTTATCAGAGCTTAACGTTCCTGGCTTGTGGGCCCACTCGATTCCGCTGCCCTACTGTGTGTCGCGCGCCCCGTGGCGTGCGACATTCCATTTTTCTTCCCGCCACGCGCTCGTAGCGCGTGGCGGTTTTTTGCCCGCCGTGCGCCCCGAGGCGCGCGGCGGGTTCCTACCTCGTCGCGGCGTCTTAGGGGCCCGCGCACTGGCCCCGACCGTCGCCTCGTCGAGGAGTTTTGGGGGCCCGCACGCAGGTCCCTCCCGTCGCCTCGTCGCGGCACTTTCGGGGCCCGCGAGCCGGCCCCTCCCGTTGCCTCGTCGCGGCACCTTAGGGGCCTGCGCGCGGTCCCCTCTCGTTGCCAGTCGAGGCACTTTTGGGGACCTGCGCGGCTCCCTAGCACATCGCCCGTCAGGGCACAATGGGGGCCGCGCCCTTCCCCTCCCCTCCCTCCTACTTTCCGCTGCAGCAGCCGCCCCTAGAGCTGCCGCCCCTGAAGCCGCTGCCCCTGGAGCGGCCTGCCTTGCAACAGCAGCCGCCCCTGGAGCAGCCGCCCCAGTAGCAGCAGCCCCTGGAGCAGCCGCCCCAGCAGCAGCAACCCCTGGAGCCGCCGCCACTGTAGCGGCCGCCCCAACAGCAGCATCCCCTGAAGCAGGCGCCCCAGCAGCAGTAGCCCCTGGAGCAGCCGCCCCAGCAGCAGCAGCCCCTGGAGCAGCCGCCCCAGCAGCAGCAGCCCTAGGAGCAGCCGCCCCAGCAGCAGCAGCCCCTGGAGCAGCCGCCCCACCAGCAGCAGCACCTGGAGCAGCCGCCCCAGCAGCATCAGCCCCAGCAGCAGCAGCCCTTAGAGCAGCCGCCCCAGCAGCAGCAGCACCTGGAGCAGCCGCCCCAGCAACAGCAGCCCCTGGAGCAGCCGCCCCAGCAGCAGCAGCCCCTGGAGCAGCCGCCCCAGCAGCAGCAGCCCCTGGAGCAACCGCCCCAGCAGCAGCAGCCCCTGAAGCAGTCGCCCCAGCAGCAGCAGCCCCTGAAGCAGTCGCCCCAGCAGCAGCAGCCCCTGGAGCAGCCGCCCCAGCAGCAGCAGCCCCTAGAGCAGCCGCCCCAGCAGCAGCAGCCCCTGGAGCCGCCGCTACTGCAGCAGCCACCCCAGCAGCAGCAGCCCATGGAGCAGCCGCCCCAGCAGCAGCAGCCTCTGGAGCAGCCGCCCCAGCAACAGCAGCCCCTGAAGCAGCTGCCCCAGTAGCAGCAGCCCCTGGAGCAGCCGCCCCAGCAACAGCAGCCCCAGCAGCAGCAGCCCCTGGAGCAGCCGCCCCAGCAGCAGCAGCACCGGGAGCAGCCGCCCAAGCAGCATCAGCCCCAGCAGCAGCAGCCCCTGGAGTAGCCGCCCCAGCAGCAGCAGCCCCTGGAGCAGCCGCCCCTGGCCCCTACAGCAGCCGCTCCTGGACCTGGTGCAGCCGTGGGGGGGTGGGGTGGGGGTGATGGTTGTGGGGGTGTCGGTTGTGCGTGCCGTTCCCTCCTCCTCCTCCTCCTTCGTCTCCCACTGCTGCAGCTCTCCTTGAGGGGGGTGGATGTGTGGGAGTCTGGGGTTTAGGGTTTAAGGGGGTGCTATGGGTGTAGGGCTAGGGTTTGAGCAGGGGGTGTCTGAGAGGGGCGTTGGGCAGCTGGGGGAGGTTGAGTGGAGGCAGCAGTCTTGTCGTTAGCAGCAGCAGCAGTCCGGAGGCTACAATCTCCGGTAGTCGCCAGTCGCCCGTGGGTCCGTTGCTTGTCTGCCGCTACTTTTAGCCGCGGGGCCAGTTACTCCAGTAGTCCGGAGCGCTGTTCCGGTAGCCACTGAGCCAGCAGCTCGTCTGTGTGTCTGCAGCGTCAGCAGTCGCCTCCCATCTTCTCTCCCCCACAGTCTCTCCTCCTCCTCACTTGCCCTCTGTGATTAGCTCTAGCCTTACTTACCTATTGTGAACTCTTGCTCTATGCTTGCTCATTGTGCTGATTACACCCCACTTTGGCTATGGGGGTGTGTCAGAATGTATTTGCTGTCTAGCCTGCAGTGGGGTACTCTGTAATGAGTACAACCCAATTTAGGGTGTTGTACTTGTATCCCAACTCTTGCTAGTGAAACCTCATTCCTCTCCTTCCAAAACCTCTCGATACTTTTCCTAAACTCGAACTCAACTACCAAGGCTCCTAAACTATGGCTCCTAAGCCAAACTCATGCTAGTATTTTGTCATGAAATCCAACTAAGGGCACAGCAACATTGTAATGATGATTATAATCGACATTTAATAACTTCAATAAATATTCTGGCGAGAAGAGGATAGAAGCACCTCAAGAGTACAGTTTCTGAGGCGCCTCAAGATCAAGAACAGACTGCTCTTTTCGGTCGCATGATTCTCGTCGGGGCGGACAGAGAATAGGAGCAGCTTATCAGGCCGAACAGGATTCTCACAGCCTGCCTTACCGCTTCTGAGCCTCCCTAATCCCTGTTTCATTCCCACCCCCCTAACAGAGCTTTTGAGGTTGCACTACGACGCCTACAGGAGTGTTGGGGGCGAGCGGGGGCCTGGAGCACATCCCTCAGGTGGAGGCTAAACGCTCTACGCTGCTGTTCAAGCAGCAGTTGACGGCGTATGTTGAGAAGACCTATGAGATGATTCGAAACATTGTCAAGAAAGAGCTCTCGCCCCTTCTTGCGCAGTGCCTTCAGGTGAGGTTGGGGGTGGTGTGTGTGTGTGCGTGCATCCGTGCATGCGTGCGCGCGTGCGCGGGGGTGTGTGTGTGTGTATGTGTGTGCGCGCGTGCGCGGAAGGGAGGGGTACATGAGTGTGTATGTGTGGCTTTGCTGCCGTTCAAGCAGCAGCTGACAGCTTATGTGGAGAAGATTTACGAGATGATTCGAGATAATCTCAAGAAGGAGATCTCACCCACCCTTGTGCAGTGCATTCAGGTTCAAGAGTGGGGGACTGTGTGTGGGGCATGTGTGAGTTTTGTCTGTTGGGCGTGTCTGTGTGGTGCACAATGTGCCACGCGTTGAGCTTGCATCAGACCAGCATCGTCGTCTCCACACTCACCACGCTACCGACTTTTGAGGCGCCTCAAAAAACGCATCGGAGCAGCATCGTCGTCTCCCCACTCACCACGCTACCACCCCATCTGTGCGTGTACCATCTCCCTGTCTCAAACGTTCCAACACCCCTGCACGCCCCACCCCCCATCCCATCCTCCATCCCACACCCCATCCGCCATCAGGCTCCGTCCATTTCTGGGGGAGGCCATAGTCTTTGACGTTTTGAGCGGGGGCCCATTTCTGCAGCTGCTCTTCTCCCAATGTCTCCATCCATTTCTGGGACGTACCTAACCACACCACACCCAGCCACACCCTCCAATCCCCCACACCCCATCCTCCATCAGGCGCCGCGCATCTCCCGGGCGGCGTACGGGCGGCACTCGTCGCATCGGGGGGCTCCGGTTGCCACAGCAACGCACGCACTGAGCTCGCACTGGGGCAGCATCATTGCCACGCTCACCAATCTGCTGACAACACTTAAAGCCTCCCATGTGCCGTCCCTCCTCGTGCGTGCGATGGTCATTCTGATCTTCTCCTTCATCAACGTGCAGCTCTTCAACGGGTGAGAGATTGTGGTGCGGTTGAGACAGGTTGAGAGGCTTCCAGAGGGACTAGTAGGCAGCTCAGCCGTCCTTCCTCGTGCACGCGATGGTCACTCAGATCTTCTACTTCATCAACGTGCAACTATTTGACAGGTCTGTTGGCTGGAGTCATTTTTAGAATTCTCAATGAATTCAGCACAGCCTCCCACGTGCCCTCCTTTCTCGGACGGAAGTTGGTTACTCAAATCTTCGCCTTTATCAACGTTTAGCTCTTCTCTCCCCCTCCTCTCTCTCACATCACACTCCCACCAGCCTGATGCTGCGTCGGGATTGCTGCTCCTTCAGCAACGGCGAGTACGTGAAGGCAGGCCTAGGCGAGTTGGACCACTGGTTGCACGAGGCAACTCATGAGTACACCGGAAATGCGTGGGAGGAGCTCAAGTACATCCGCCAGGCTGTTGGCTTCCTAGTAGGTTCCTATTTAATTGGTCGAGGTGCATTGCACCTGTGTGTGGTTGATCTTTGGGTCACCCCAAGGCTTGTCGCAAGTTGGCTCAAGACTTGTCGCGGCACGGCAGCCAGTGCACGAGCCGAGCCGAGCCAAGCCGAGCAGGTGGCAGTGGCTCGCGGCAGCCAGTGCACGACCCGAGCCAGTGGACCTAGCGAGCGTGAAGGCAGGTCCGGGCAACTAGGTGGGGTACCCTTAGCATTGATGGCGGAACAATCAGATTGGGTCGCACAATAATTGTTGTGGTAACCAACAATTGTTGGAGACCAATTATTAGCTCCCTACCGTCTATTGCGTTCAAGTTGGGTTTGGGGGCGTACAATCAAGATTGGGTGGGTCTCCTTGACCATCGCCACCACCCCATCTGTCCCCGCACTCGTCTCTACACACTATGTCTACCATTTCCCGCATCTTGTTGTCATCTCACCACCCGTCGCTCCACCAATCCTTCACCACCACTACGTTACTTACCCGTATGGTTGCTACTAAGGATAAGTGCGTTACTTATCCATATGGATGGAACTTTCTCGTCCCCCCATGTGTGGAACGGCTGGTGATACACCAGAAGCCCAAGATGCGCATGCAGGAAATCACATCGGACCTCTGCCCGGCGCTGAGCATACAGCAGCTGTACCACATCAGCACCATGTACTGGGATGACAAGTATGGCACTCACACCGTCTCACCCTCTTCCTCACCCCCTCTCCTCCTCCCCTCCCCTATCCCCCTCTTCTCCTTCCCCTTGCCCTCATACCAGGTCACTCACGAGAAGCCCAATAAGAGCATGCAGGAGCTCACATCGGACCTCTGCCCGGCGCTGAGCATAAAACAGCTCCACCGCATCAGCACCATGTACTGGGACGGCAAACACGGCACTCACACTGTCTCCTTTGCAGTCATTTTGGAGATGCAGCGGTGTATGAGCGACGAGAACAGCTCGTCTGTCAGCAACTCGTTCCTGCTGGACGATGACTCCAGGTGGGTGCGAAGAGGTGGGGATGATTCCTTGTGGGTGCAAAGCGGTGGGAATGATTCAAAGTGCGTGCGCGCTTCGAGGGCTGAGGCGAAGGGGAATGTTTTGGGACGTCTCAAAGCAAACTCATGCCACCAACTCGTTCTTGCTGGACGACAATTCATACGCAATGTTCAATTATTCAATAGGCAATGTTCCACAAGCAATGGCTATCTCCAGCCGGTTGTATGTGTAACGACAACACGATCCGGCATGATCATCCTTGATTGTACACGGGCACATGGGATTTCTGGTGTTGCTTCTTCCAGGGTGCTGATTCCTGCTTTGAGCGGGATTTTGCAGGGAGGCTGGATTTAGTTGTGGAGTTTCTGCTTCTTCTAAGGTGACTGTTGGGTCGACTCTAAAGTCAGCAAGATTCTGCTTCTGAATCTCCGCTTCTTTCCCTTCCAATCTCTCAACCCTCATGCTCCTCCCATTACCCATCTCCCCCACTGGCTATGAACAGCATATTCAAAAGAGTTTCCACGACACTGACGTCTCCTCTCCTTTCCCCCCTTTCTCCCCCATCCCACTCCGTTTCACTTTGCCTCTCCAGCATCCCATTTCTTGTCAAGGACATATCAGAACTAGATTGACCTCCCTTTTCCCATGCCAACTTACACCCTTCTCCTTCTCCCCTCTCCCTTCTCCCCCCTTCCTGGCCCTCTCAAGCATCCCATTCTCTGTGAAGGACATGTCAAAGAGCACCCACGAGTAAAGAGGTGCATTTTGAGGCGCCTCAAATTGCACCCCTCCCGGCCCTCTCCAGCATCCCATTCTCTGTGAAGGACATGTCGGAGAGCATCCACGAGATTAGCCTTCCTTCTCTCTCGCACGTCTCCCTTGTAACCCTCTCCTCTTTCCTCCCCCCCCCCCCCCCCCTTTCTCCCAAATCACCCCAGCATCCGTTTCTCCGTGAAAGATAAATATAAAGAGCACCCTCGATATTGATCTGCCTTCCTCCCGTATGTCTTTTTTGTTCCTCCGACCCTTTTCCCCACTCCAACTCCCTACGCACCCCAGCATCCCCTTCACTGTGGAGGACATCTCAAAGAGCACTCACGAGATTGACCTGCAGTCGCTGCAGCTGCCACCAGCCATTCGAGACAACAGCACCTTCCAGTTCCTCCTCACACCCTAGCCTCCCTCCTCACAAGCCTCCGTTCCTACTCACACACACGCCTTCCGATATTCCCTTTTCACTCACTACACTCGTTTTATCCGATTAAAGCACTTTCTTTCATTGCCTCGTCCCAATCTTGTCAATCATGATAGCGTGCCTCCCTTAGCCGCTTACGACTAAGTCACACACTTTCTCCCTCACATCCTCCTTTTAGGGGCCCCTTACCAGCAGCACTAGCTGCTCTGAGCCTATTCATCGGATGTTGCAGCAGCCAATTTTTTATGTGGTTGAAGCCTGTTTTTTTATCAGTTTCTGCAAGCAATGCCAGAAGATCAGCTCAGCAGATGCTGTAGTAATGGCACCAGCAGTGGGAATAGCATGGGAGGCTAAGAAGTATGTGGTGATAGGTGCAGTGAGTTTAGGTAAGGCTTGGCATATGTTTTCGCGCAGCATGGTGTAGTAATCCCCTGCAGAAAACACCTCAGGGTGTACCGATAGTGGTATGTGCAAGTGAAAACATAATGAGCAGTGGAAAGATACAATTTGATGATGAATAAACGAAGAAACACATTATGCACTCATAATGCTTCTAAGGGGTGTTGTAAAACGGATCGCTGGTCTCGTGATAAGCGAACTCGCGTTTCTGACACCAAGCCAGATCGTGCTGCTCACGAATTCATCGCAACAGCTTCATTTCACCTGCCCTTCATTCCTGGACAAAAAGATTCGCAAAAAAATCCATATCGCCAGGCGCGGTGTGTTTCCCGCGCTGTTTTTCTGTGGGCTGCGCTGCGGTTCTCAAACAACTTACGGGCTTGTGCTGAGCTCTGGCGAAAAAAAACACCACACCCGACCACATGCGATGATGTTCAGTCGCCTTGAGGAGCCGCGCCTCATTTGTCCCGCCATAAACGGAAACGAAACGGCAGCGCTGCAATGCCCCACGGAAACAAAACCAAACGAACTTTGAAATCGCCATCGTCGCAAGAGGGTCGTTGCCCAATCCTTATCCCGCATTCATCGTCGCGCACTGGTTCGGTGCGCAAAGAAGTATGTTGCGCGTGAAAATGAAACAAATCGAAGCACCAAGCCCTGAATTCTCGGCTAGCGCTGCCCGTTTTCGAAATGCCATCAGTCAGAGACCCACTACGCAACTCTGCTCCAATCATATCAGCGAATTTCCCTCCCTCCCTGCCCTCCATCCACCCAACCATCCATCCGTGCTTCTCTTCCCCACCTCACACAACCAGGCCAGGTCGTCGTGACGCGTCGTAGAACCGAGCCGCTATCCTGCAACACAGCACACTTGTTCGCTCCCCTACGCTCAGCCGTTGCCTCTCATGCTCCTCTCTCAATCCTCTTCCTTTTTATAACCCTCAATTCTCACACTTCCAATCAAGCAATTCTGCTCCACCTAGCACCAGTCTTTCTCATTAGCCAACTTGTGTAGCGATCGGTGTTTGAGATATATTCTGAATTCTCCTCGGGACGCCAGGATCGCAATGGCTCCCAACGCGTGTAACGCCAGTCCCACTCTCGGTCCCATGTCTGTAATTTCCCCAGCGGAGCTCAAGCAGGCTCCTGCCACCACCCTCCCCACCGTGCCCGAGCCCGCCGTTGCTCCCGCCGATCCGCCCGCCCCTGCGCCCGCCGCTTCCACCCCCGCTGATGCAGCCCCAGCTGAGCCCGCCGCTCCTCCCGCGGAGCCCGTGCAGCACCCGTCCGCGGAGGAAATGGCGCAAGGACCCGTCATGGAGAACAGCGACCCCACCTTCATGGGAATGCCGCTGCAACAGATTAAGATGATCTACCACCACGCCGTGACTCAGTCCACGCGGCTCGCACTGCCGCTTCTGGCGGCGGTCGCGGTCCAGCTCACGCGCAACGTGGACTTCCAGGCGCTCTGGGAGCAGCTTCTCACTCTCGACACGTCCTACCTCGTCGCCGCATTCTCCGCCGCGCTCTTCGCCGTCACCGTGTACGTGCTCACCCGCCCGCGCCGCGTGTTCCTCGTCGACTTCGCGTGCTACCGCCCCCCCGACCACCTCGTCATTACCAAGGACGTTGCCGTCGATCGCGTGAAGAAGCTCGGATACTTCGACGAGAAATCCGTCGATTTCCAGACTAAGGTGTTCTTCCGGTCGGGTCTCGGCGACCGCACGTACATCCCCCCGTCGATGCACACATGGCCGCCTTCCCCGTCGATCGCGAACGCGCGATTGGAAGCCGAGATGGTGATTTTCGGTGCGATGGATGAGCTCTTCGCGAAGACCGGCGTGAAGCCCCAGGACATCTCCATTCTGATCGTCAACTGCACGGTTTTCTGCCCCACGCCGTCTCTCTCGGCTATGGTGGTTAACCACTACAAGATGCGCGAGGACATTCAGTCGTACAATCTGGGCGGCATGGGTTGCAGCGCGGGCATCATAGCCGTCAAAATGGCTCAAGATCTGATGCAGGGCCAGGCGAACAAGAACAAGCTCGCGGTGCTTGTCTCAACCGAGAACATCACCCTGAACGCGTACCTCGGCAACCGTCGCTCGATGCAGGTTACCAACGTTTTGTTTCGCATGGGCGGATCCGCGGCGCTGATGTCGAACAAGCCGATCGACGCGTGGAAGGCCAAGTACGAGCTTAAGACCGTCGTGCGAACCCACATGGGCGCGGACGACAAGTGCTACAAGTGCATTCACCAGCAGGAGGATGAGAAAAAGATTGTCGGTGTGATGCTCTCACGCGAGCTTATGGGCACTGCCGCGAAGGCTCTTAAGGCGAACGTGAGGACGCTCGGCCCGCTCGTGCTGCCGCTTTCCGAGAAGCTGCTCTTCGCCGCGGCGTACATCGCGCGGCGCGTGTTTAAGATGGATATTAAGGAGTACACTCCCGACTTCAAGCTCGCCTTCGAGCACTTCTGCATCCACCCCGGAGGACGCGCGCTTCTCGACGAGGTGCAGAAGGGTCTCCGCCTCACGCAGCTCAACATGGAACCGAACCGTATGACTCTGTACCGCTTCGGAAACCTCTCGTCCGCGTCGATCTGGTACGAGCTGTCGTACGTCGAGGCGCAGGATCGCGTGAAGCGCGGCGATCGCGTGTGGCAGCTGGCGTTCGGCAGCGGGTTCAAGTGCCAAAGCGCCGTGTGGAAGGCGCTGCGCACCGTGCCCGGCGCGAAGAACCCCGGGCCGTGGGCCGAGGCTGACGGCTACGTTCCCCCTCCCCCCGTCGAGGCTCTCGAGATGGATCCCGAGCCCCACCACTAGTTTCATTCACAAGGTAAATTACCCCTAAAACTGCTCCTTGTTGACTCCGTGCTGCGACTTCTGTTCAACTTCTTCTCAGTGATTGTTTTGGTGCGTTGCTGACCTTGCCTTATCGTTCCTCCCTTCTCCTCTATCTTTTTATTTCAGGGTCCCTCGCACTTGGTCTGCTGCTGGTCCAACGGCGAGATCTACCAGTAACACACACACATACTACACACACTACTACACGCGACTCTACAAGCGACCTAACTATTGAAGGCCCTGCGGAAATAGGGCGGATGACAGAGCAGCTGATATCGCGGACAAGCAGGGAGCTTGGGGAGATTCCCAGTGCCTGTTCCTTAGATTAGCTGCTAGCCTTCCTGCTGTTTAGTTCAACGCTATGATACGCTTTAGATTAGCTGCTAGCTCTCTCATTTTAGACCATTTGTCCATTTTTTTTATACATCCTGAATATTTCATCACTACATTGCCTGCTTGCTGCTACTTAGCTATCACCACCTAACCACCACCACCTCCCAGTGGTCTTCCTGCATTCTCCTCCATTCTCCTCCATGGCTCCTGTCACTCTTGCTTGACATTGTCCCCCCAGTCGAAGCAAGCGTCCCCCTTTGTGCCTTGGGTCACGTTGTGTGGGACATTGTCTCCCCAAACCCCCTATCCACCCGTGCCCTCATCGCTTTTGTGCCTCTTGTAGCAAAACAAATCGTGTTCGCTGCCCCCCCTGTTCCCTCCCCAACCCCCCCTATCCACCCTTTCCCTCCTCGCTTTCGCGCCTTCTGTCGTGGAACAATTCGTGTTCGCTGCCCCCATGTCATGTGCCTTCGGCCGTAGCACGTGTCAGCTCTGCCCATGTCTCTATGTGGCACTACCTCGTCCCCTGTGCGATGCCTCCCCTGTGTGTTGCCTCCCTTCTTTGAATCACCTGTGCAAAGCCTCGCCCCTGTTCCGTCACTTGTAGTACAATTCGTGTCATTGCCCCAATGCCCCTCCTGTGCCTTCAGTCGTACCGTATAATAACTGGTCCAGCCTACTTCTATGCAATGCTCAACCTGTGCGATGCTCCCCGCGAGCAACTCTCGACCTCCCCTGTGCTCTCAGTCGTTGACAGTCGTGTTTGCTCCCCCTTGTGCCTTTGGTCGTAAAACTAGTCCAGCCTACCTGTTGCCTCCCCTGTGCAATGCCCCCCCTGTGCAACTCTTTGCACTGCCTCCCTCGTGCATTGCCTTCCAGGGTTAAATCCCCCATTTCCCCTCCTGTTCCCTAGGTCATATACGACCCAGATTTGTCCATTAGGCCCCTCCCCTCCAAAGCTTTTGGGCAAAGAGCAAGTGAGACATGTTCACGACAGCTTCACTTGTACTCCATACTGCATCACGAGTACAACTCCTGCCAGGACTAGGACCAATGGCCATGCATCAGGAATACAACCCTGAAATGCGCCCAACGTGTGGAACGCCCGCAGGGACAACTTCATGAATTGTTCCATCACAGTGGATAATTTGTTAAAGGATAAGATAGAAACAGTGAACTGCACAAGAATGCGTCTAGCACTTGTGCTCAGATCCGTCCGAGAGCACTTGCAGCCCCCCTGTCTCTACATTCCGCCAGAAGCAAGCCTTTTTGTTGCTACCTCGAATGCTTAGGGTCTGGGACCCCCCCACCACGACCAAATCAGGTGTGGAGAACGGCCCTACCACCATACCAGTGGCGTCAGCACTATCACCAGCTTCTGAACCGTTTGCAGCAGGTTTTGCTATAGTGCCAGTGTTGTTAGTGGCACTCAGCCCGCTGCTAGTTAGCGGGCTGGATGTACCGGTAGCGGTGCTATCAGTGCTGATCCCATACTCAAGCAGGTTGCATGCCTGGGAGTTGGAGAGCGATTCTTGGGTGGATTTTGTGAGGCTGTTGCCATCTTTGTGAAGGTGCTGCTGCTGGAAGCTGTGGGAGAGGGAGAGCTTGAAGGACGTGCCTCCATCTGAATGGGAGAACACACCGGAGAATGCAAAGCGAAGGAGGAGCAGAGGAGGAAAGTGGGGGGCTGGGGAATTAGACGCAGGAGGGAGGCAGATTGAAGGTAGTGGTACCTCTACTATATCTGAATGGAGGAAAGATTGGGAGTCGAGGAAGCTGCCCTATGCCAATCTACCTTGCACTTTCAAGGATTCGGACCTAGGACGAGGCAGAGCACAGTCTAAATATACCCTTGGCACAGCCGAGGCTGCGTCAACCTTGTGCCACCAGTCTACCGTGCACCTTGATACACCTCAGAAAACCACCACTCGAAGTCTCACCATCTCACCTTGATTCGGAAACGCTGTCTGGGTGAGGTTGAATGGGAATGATGCGTCACCGTGTCATCTGCAATGAGCATTCCACTTAGCCCGACTGCTCAACCTTACACCATCTCACCTTGATCTGAAAACACCGTTTGGGTGATGGTCAATGGGAAATGATGCGTCACCGTGTCCTTTGCAATCAGCATTCCACTCGGCCTACCCCTCCTTGTTGTCACATTCGCGACAACATTGTACTCTGTCTTGAGGAATTTCAGCTGCCCGAGCGCCTCTGTGCGGCTCTGAAGCACATGGTAGGCTTTCACCAGGCTGGTTACCACCCCACGAGAGGTGAGGATTCGCCCACCAATGGTGTAACGCCGCATGGCAGTGGCCTCCAGGGTTCCATCTATGCCAGTGTAGATGTTGGGCGGCGGCTCGTAGTACTGTAGTGCCGGAACCTAATCAACCAGTAGGATAAATAAATGAGGAAAATGTGTGATTGAGGAACGTGTAAACAAGATAAAATTGCAGAGGTTATAGAACTTATTTTGGATATTGCACACACTGAAAGGAGAGGGCGCTGTACACAGAAAAGAAAAGAGAAGGCAGAAGGTGGTGCTGCATCGACAGTGATGTGCAAGCAAAAATTTTGGTTGTCTTTGATTGATTGAAACAAATACCTGTGCTTGTTTTGAGTCGGCAAATAGACTCACATCAAAGACGTTGATTTTCCCTGTGGTCTTCAGCAGAATTGGATCCAGCCACAAGCGAAACACCCCACTCGCCAGCCACACCCCTCCTGGCAGCACCCCTGAAACCGCTACAGTGACATTATGCTTCTTCCCGTCCGCAAGCAATCCCACAAACGGGGTCACGTCTAACGAGTATGGCTCCAATGCAAAGCACCCGATTCCCACCACGGGGGTCCAGAGGGAGCGGCGGAGGGAGGAGGGAGAGAGCACGGGGAAGGGGAAGAAGGATCCTGCAAATCGTCCGTCTATGTAGATGACTATCTCGCGGTAAGGGCTCCCAGGAATGAAGTTCGCCTTGAGAGAGTCAGGAAGGGCGGAGTGGTAACTGCTTTGGCGAAGAGAGGGACAACACAAAGGGACAGCAATAGACGTGGGGGGCGGTGTTGTGTGAGGGCGAAATCATATTGTTTTTTTGTTTCGTTATGTTCTCCTTTCTAGTTTGTTTCTCTGATTCAGCATTTTCAATTAACGAACAAATCCTCCACCCTGCCATTTTCCCCCACAGCACCATCAGTTCAAGTCACAGCTCCTCCAGTCTCACCCAGCCAGTCTCACCTCCCCAGAGTCACGCTTCCCCAGAGCCTCACATCTCCACATTCTCACCTCTCCAAAGTCTCTCACCGCTCCAGAGTCTCTCACCTCTCTCCAGTCTCATCTCCCCAGTCTCACCTCTCCAGCATGTTACTGAAGTACGCCCTGTCATCACCATGCGCCGTCAACGTCAGATCCAGCTCAGCACGGACCAAATTCCTGGGGAAACTCGACACCATGACCGAAGCGGACGCCAGGCTAAAGTACGAGCCGCCACCTGGCGACTGCTGACTGGTCCCCAGGATTCCTTTGGCGTCTTTCCCGGAGAGGACAAGGGGTCGGCCACGTGTCTTGGAGGAGGAGAGAGGGAGCAGGGTGTGAGGCACGTGTGGGGAGAGCAGTCCCCCATAGTAGGATACCTCGAGATCTACATAAAATATACCGGTGTTCTCTTCATCTAAGGCGTTTTCCATGGTGATGTAGAATCGACCTTTCTGCAGGAGATGCAGAGAGGACAGGGAGTAATGGAAAACAAGCAGGAATCCTGTAGACTTATGAGAGATGATAGAACTTCAAAGAATCCTTCAAGGACATCCTCAGCAAGAAGCAAAAGATACAGTGCATTTGTAACGTACCCTGCGTAGGACTTTAGAAAACTTGGTGAGGTCCCTCTCGAGCGCAAAGCGCACGCCATTGGCCGAACCAGGCATGGTTCTGAGAGGCGATGATAGGGCGGTTGGGACGAGGGGAGGAGAAATGGGAGAACGTTGGTGAGACGCAGCAATGCACACCGATGAATGAGGAAAACAGGAGCGAGGAAGGGAGGCGTTGGGAAGAAACCCATGCCGTTTCCTAATCGGTGTCTTATCAACAATGATTTCAATGCGTGGATGCCGGAGAAAGAGGGCGTACAGAGATCTAGAGAGCTCGAATCCATTGAAGAAGATCGACAGAACTCTTCCTTGTTGTATCCCCTTCACTCGCACGCCAACGCTGAGAACCACCTGCTTCCAGGCCTGGACTAGCAATCAAGACAGGAACATGAAGAAGGAACCATGATGTAGGGAACGTGAAGGGAACATCAAGTGCTCATAGGAAGGGATCATGGATACGGTTGAAAGAAGGAACATGAAGAAGGGCCTATGGAGTAGGAGATATGAAGAAGGAAACATGGACAGGGAAGCTTTCTGACGAACTGAAAGTCGTCTCAATGGGTGACGTCAGGTGCGTGTGGGGCTTCAGAAATGAAGCACGTTCGCAACAGCACGGCGGCAACCTTTATGCCCCAAACAGCACCAGCAGAACTTAAAACACGTACCAAACACGTACCAGTCAGTAGTACCTTGCCAAACAATGCCATGCGTGACCCAAAACACGTACCAAGCCGCACCCAGCAGGCGGTGTGTAGGCGACTTGGATGGTGGGCTGGTTGGAGGTGTTCGCGAACGCGGCGTCTCGCAGGAGAATGAGCCGACATGGTGCTACAATCTTCGGCTTCTTGATCGGAATTGTGACTTCGCTAACCGTCGTATACCCGCTATAACGCTTTTCCGCTAGAGCCCTTGCTCGGCGTCCTCGTGGTGCTGGTGGCTTTCGTAGCCTTGACCTTGCACCTGCTCCCTCAGCATCATTTCCCGTTCCATTGGCGGTTTTTGACGGTTTCGCTGCTCTATTCTGCTCCGTGTCACGAGAATAACGTCTACCGTGCCTATGAGAAAGTCTACACAAGGGAGTTTCTCGTGTTCCTGACGAATCAGACCTAAGCAATGTCCCTGAGCAGTCAAGGGATTTGTTTGAAACCAGTCGCCGTAAGTTTATCGTAACATCATGTTTTTGCGGTACAACTGATAAATCTGAGGGCCAGATCGCCGCCGAACACCAAGATACGCATTGGAAGCAAAGCGGAACTATCAGCAGAAGAAGGATGGTGAAGGAGAGTGGGAAAGAGCGCGAGGAGGAAGCTAATCTGGCGCTTGGCATTTGTACCCATGAATCAACTTCTGAGAGGTCTGAAAGCTCGGCACTTGCATACCAGAATTACTATCATGTCGACATGTGATTTACCAAACGACTCTCCTGAATCAAACCGGATAAATCACGCACGAGCCCTTCTGTAAATGTGAAGTTCCTACATATATTTAGCGTTGGGTAATAGTTTTGCAAGATGGATATTAGTGGATACTAGTTCTGCTAAATGGACTACAAAGGTCCAGTCGTCCTCATCAGTTCAGAGACGACGGGTGCACCGACAAGCACTATTTCCGAGTCACGAGCGTCAAAACGGGCTTCATTGAAGCACCTGAGGCAGAATTACTAATTTTATCAGTCCTCTCTTGCACCTGAACACCCAGATTTCCCCTGCCAGAATCCCCAACTTTCTAGGCGACAATTTCGTTGCTAGGTTGGTCGGCATGGGGGGAACACTTTCGGCGGGAAAGTCAAATTTAATGTGGTGGTGGGCGGTGCGGCTAATAAGAAAGCGTTTCGGCCAAACCTGGCTGACAAGTCAATTATCTTCTATGGTCTTCCTCGGTAACAAACTTCTCCCAAAAAACATCGTTCAGAGCCATACACCTTTGTGGCACATTCTTCCATATTGTGACAGACCGAGCTGGCTGGTAGTAATTTTGCGACGCCCAATTTGTCGATGGTCAGCCACCAAAGCATACTCCCCACCTCGCGTCCCTTCCTAACCTAATCCCATACCTGCTGTGCTTGCTGGGCCTTCCGAGCCTGCAGTGCCGTGCCTTCTGTCCCTCTCATACCTCCTGTAGCTCCCCTCCCTCGTCTCCCTCATCCTCCACGCCTCGCCCTGCTCCCCTCTTCCTGCTCTGTCCCCTTGATTCACCTCCCTGCAGCTGAAGAGCCCCCTCCCTCTCAGGCTCTTCCTTTCTCTTCCCTTACCCTAATTTCTCCATTAGTGGAGGTCCTCCCCTCTCTCAGCCGTTACTTCGTAGCGTGTCAAGATGGTAAGAATCGCACAGTATTTAGTATTTCAGAAGTATTCGGGACTTCTGCGCTCATCATAACCATGGGGTTTTAGTTGTTTCCGGTTTAGGCGCAAGCCAGCTCAATTTAGGGTTCCGTCCCTTTTCCTCAGCCTTACCTAGAACCCCCTCACGTGGCTGTATGCCTTCCTTCTGCTCCGTAGCGCCCATCTCATAGTCCCCGTTTTCCTTCTCGTTTCTTCTGTGTTTTTCTATTCTCCTTTTTTTTTTCGTTCCTCTTTCTCCGTCCCTTTCCTCGTCTGTCCCTTTGTTGTCGTCCCTTCCTTCCACACCCACCAGGGTCGCGTCCGCACAAAGACGGTGAAGCGCTCGGCGCGACTGATCATCGAGAAGTACTATTCGCGCATGACGCTCGACTTCCAGACGAACAAGAAGATCTGTGATGAGGTGGCAGTCATCCCTACGAAGCGCCTCCGCAACAAGATCGCCGGCTTCGCGACTCACCTGATGAAGCGCATTCAGAAGGGCCCCGTGCGCGGCATTTCGCTGAAGCTGCAGGAGGAGGAGAGGGAGCGGCGCATGGACTTCGTCCCTGACGAGTCTGCCATCAAGACGGACGTCATTGAGGTGAGTGGCCACTCAGACAGGCAAGCACCAGCTTGAGGCCTCGAAAACGCAAAAATGGCACCCAGGCACCGAAGCAGCTGGACAGCGCACCCAAGCAGCTGGACAGCCAGGCGGTCCGGCAGGCGCGCTGGCTGGCATGCAAGCAATCAGCTGGGCATGCACCCAGGCAGACAGGCAGGCCAATAAGCAGACAGGCATGCGACTTATGTATATGTCAGGAGGGGGACAGCAACGATCGCCAGCAGCCGGGCGAAATCTATGGCAGCAGCTAATGAGCGTGTTGGAAAGCAGACTGGGCCGTCGGTTCGTAGATGCCGACGGTTAGTTGAAGCAGATCGACTGGTCGACGATAAGGTGTACTGAGCAGGGTTAGTTGTCTCGGACTCGGTTTAACGGGGTTCGGCGTTCATCCTCAGGGCATAGAGAGCCATTCTGGAGATTTTTTTGGGTGGACATGTCAGGTTAGCGCGTTTTGGCGACGCTATCCGTCTCCTAGCCGATCAACCCAACGCAGGTTTTGTAGAGCCCTAAGAATTATGCCCTCTCGCTGTGGGAGCTGGCGCAGAAGGCTTAGGCAGGATTTTGAGTAGCAGCTGAGTTCGATGATACGCCGTCTTCGTTGAGTCCATTAGAGTAAATTCCGTCTTCGTGTCAAGTCACGCGGTGTTGATGCCTTTTTGTCAGATCGTTTCACGATAGTTCAGCCGCGACGTTGTCAGACACGAGCGCTCTTCCTTTTTGGTCATAGATTGTCGAAGGGGATGCAAATGGCTTAGATCAGTGGAGTTGCCGCAGATGCTGACTTCGGATGCTGACTTCGGCGGGTGTTGACGCTCTGTTCGATTATTTCGGCAGCTTTGGGAATGAGTGGAGTGGCGGGTCAATGCAGCTCCATTAAGTGTTTTTTTTAGCAGCTGATTTATTCGTGAATGAGTACGGGTTTCCGTTGTCAGAACGTGACTCAGGAGCGATCAGTGGTTTCCATATGCAGTTCTGGACTACGGAGTATTGTAGCCAGGCGGTTGCAGTATGGATAGTTCAGATCGATTAGCTTATTGAATTCGAGGGCCTATATGCAACTCGATTTCCAAAATCCTCTGTTTAATGTCACTGCAGTTCTCGGGTCGTGAAAAGGGAGTTGTACTTCTTTTCCAATCAATGCAAGGAAGCTAGCTGAGATTTCTTGTACATGCATTCCCCATCATGATGCTCTCAGGTTGACCCTGTTACCCTGGACATGCTCAAGGCCATCAACATGGCTACCCTTCCTGGTGTCACTTTGGTTCAGCCTGTGAGTGTCACAAAGCCTCATACTGTAATCTCTCCTCTGCAATCTTGCTTAAGAACGCCCATTGTAAGCATCTATCAATCTAAATTCCTCGCATTCCTACTGCTGTATCTAGACTGTTGCTGCCGTCTGTAATTTCGTTTGTTCACTGGGCTGACCATTCGACTTGCACTGCATCTGGCTCACTTTTTTTTTCCAGCAAACTGGTGGTGGTGGCCCTGTTGGAGGCTATGGTGGAAGGTCGTAAATGGCTGACACATTGTCAAATACACATCAAAAGTAGGGTCCGCAGGTGGCCTTGATGTATCACGGGATCAGCAGCTAGTCAACGCCATGGAGATTTTGTACAGCAGGAACTGCTGATCAGTCGATTCTTGCTAAATGTTCCTGCTTGGCTAAAAAAGCTGTTGTTTCTGGATAAAAGGAAGTTCTGTACGAAGAAGTAAATAGGTATGCTTAAGAAGTGTACTGATGGGTGAAAGAATAGTTTTTTACGAACGCAATCTGAATACGGAGCTGTTCCCAAAAACACATGGTTTCTGCACTTATCGAGTACGTTGCAAGAAATCACAGCTGCATAAGACCCCTCACGCAAAAATGCCGCACCATTCCAGCTGTCATTCAAGCTTCTTCTCACGGCAGTTCTGGTTCACCACCTAGAAGCATGGGTGGGCTCATGTTTCCAGTGTTTGTGCTTGCCGGTCTAAGCCTACTAGCTTTACCAGCAATGGTATGCCTGTGGTTTTAGCAATGTCGTTGTTGATCCTCAGTACACTGACGCGACGTTTGATGGTTTGCAGAGCCAATTGGTACCAACGAAAGGTATTATTAGGGCAATTGGAGTCCGAAGGTGTTCATGAATTCCCACTAACAATTTTAGTGCAGGTTATGTGATAGTTGAAAACGGATCATTCTACCTCAATTGCCGGAAGTTCGTGTTTTCCGGATGCAACTCGTGGGACCTCATGCAGGTTGGTTGTTTCAAGCAGCATGTCTTCCAGGCGATGTGTTTCGTTCAATTTTACTAACATAGCTTTTCCTCCTTTTTCAGAATGCGAGTAATCCAAGCACCATGGGGACAGTAAGTCGTACCATTTTGCTATTGTTTTCATGCCCTCGCTCATACTCATGTTGCCTATGTGTAGGTGAACGCGACGCTGGATGACATGGTATCCATGAATCTCTCAGTTGTCCGGACCTGGGGCTTCTCAACACAGTGCGTGCAATCGATTTTGGATGTTGCGGTACTATTGTTGCGTTTGACTAATCTGAACAAGTGTCATCACAGAGCAAGTTCACCTGTGCAGCTAAGCCCCGGGGTATACAATCAAACCTTATTAAGAGGTACGCCAGAAACATCACAGCCAAAACGTCGGCCTTTATAAGTACCACTGCTGATGCGTTACCCTTGCCTCGTTGCAAACAGGGCTGGATTTCGTCCTCGCTCAAGCTAGACTTCGTGGCATCAGAGTGATGATGGCCTTTTCCAACTTTTGGGGTATGGGAGATGGAGTGAATAAGGTACGCGCCCAGACGTTTGAATGTTCTTACCTAACTGCTAGAGTCTCACACTCCTTCCTGTTTGGATGCAGTACGTCAAGTGGGCTGGGCTGAATCACACGGACTTGTTCTTTAACAGCACTGTTTGCCAAAACTATTACCAAAGCTATATGAAGGTACGTGAGCAGATGCATCTGTCGTTCTTAGCGCCAATTAGGTTGCGCAAACACTATCACTGAGAGCTTGTCTTTCAACAGATGCTAGTTTCAAGGGTGAACACCTACAATGGCGTCAGTTATTTGAATGATACGACCATCCTGGGCTGGAACCTGCTAAACGAGCCAAGGTATGGCAAGTAAACCACAGCATTATGTGTGCTTCGTTCTTTTGTTGTGTCTAATTTCTGAATTGCAGGTGTTTTACTGATGGCTGTCAAGATTCTGTCCAAAGTTGGACCGAAGAGATGTCAACATACCTTAAGGTACTTTTGACAAGCAAGTTCACGGCCGGCTGCTTAGCCTCCCGTGGCTAATCTTGTCTGTCTGTTTTCAGAAAATCGATCCCAATCATTTGGTTGCAACTGGGTACGAGGGATTCTATGGAGCAAATCAGAACCACACGTCTATCAATCCAGGAGGTGAGGTGCTTGCTTGTCGCTGTTCCCTTGTGGCTTAGCCTAACATGTTTTGCTGGCATTCAGAGCCTTGGGGCCATTGGGCGACACAGACGGGGCAGGAATTCATACGTAACAACAGGTTTTGGGCAATTGACTTTGCAGTTGCACACATTTGGTAAGTGAGACAGCTTGAAATTTCCTTACTGTATGTGCCTGCAAATCTCATGTGGTGCAAAATCTAGGTCGGAGAACTGGATTGGAAACCAGCAGAATACATCAGCGAAGCTGTCATTCATACAGACCTGGATTACGGCACATAATCAAGACGCTCGTGTACGAGTTACATGCTTTTGTTTTTTTTTCTTTCCCCCGCGTGGCAGTTTCTTTCGCAACATATCTGCTGATCATTCTTGCACATGCAGGATGTTTTAAATAAGCCCCTAGTATGGGAGGAGTTTGGAATGCAGGATGTTACCGTCAATGGGACATTCACCTCAAGAAACGTGTATGCTGCCGAGCTTGGATTCAGGGAAGCCTGCAAAACATGTTATTGATGGTTAACGATGCACTGTTCGTTTATTGACAGGTTTCTGACAGCCATATATGACGCTCTCTACACGTCCATGGCTGAGGATGGAACCGTGCAAGGGGACAATGTCTGGGTCTTCAAGAGCCCAGGTATGTACAGTATGCATTCACGAAAGAATCGGCTGCACGGCATTGCTTCAATATCCTAAGCTTCTTGTGTTCCCTTGATGCAGATGGAGAGTTTGGGTACACCATTCGCCCAGGTCAGTCAGCAGCGGAGATTGTGAAAAGCCATTCAGCTGCTGTAATGCAACACAAACACAGCTTTGGTGAACCCTGCTGAACTGCTAGAATGGATGCAGATGAATTGGCATGCTTTGCCAGAGCAAGTAATCTATGATCTTTGTAGGAGGGATCCGCCTGTACATTCATAGTTCTATGTATGCTGTGTTGTGCTGTTGTATGCAAGTACAAGATGCATTTATTCAATATTCCAAAAAAATAATAGATAGCATAGCACAGGAACCTAATCTGGAAGATCCTAGATGGCCTCACCTGGGGGTGGTGAAGACACCTCACCATTCTCAGCCCAGGGGCCTCCGTTCTTCTCACCAGGAATGCTGCGAAGAGCTCTCCATGTGGCACTCTGGCACTTGAATCCGCTCCCAAACGCGAGCTGCCATACGCGGTCTCCACGCCGAACGCGGTCCCGAGCCTCGAGGAATGACAGCTCGTACCAGATGGAGGCGGATGAGAGATTGCCCCATCGGTACAGAGTCATTCTGTTGGGCTCCATGTCGTGCGGCGAGAGGTTGAGCGCCTTCTGGACCTCGTCTAGAAGAGCGCGGCCACCAGGGTGGATGCAGAAATGCTCGAACGCGAGCCTGAAATCCGGCACGTACTCCTTAATGTTCGCTCTGAAGACGCGCCTGGCGATGTAAGCTGCAGCGTAGATCAGCTTCTCCGAAACCGGCAGCACCAGGGGTCCCAGGGTTGTGATGTTGGCCTTGAGGGCTTGAGCAGCAGTGGCCATGAGCTCGCGAGAGAGCATGACGCCGGAGATTTTGTTCTCATCCTGCTCCTGGTAAATGCACTTGTAGCTCTTGTCGTCTGCGCCCAAGTGCGTACGAACAACGTGACCCAGCTCGTACTTGGCCCTCCAGGCATCACGCGGCTTGTTGGAGATCAGCGCAGTGGCTCCACCCATGCGAAACAAAACGTTGGTAACCTGCATGGAGCGACGGTTACCGAGATACGCGTTTTGCGTGATGTTCTCCGTGGAAACGATAACCGCGTACTTGTTCGGCTGCGACTGAAGAAGGTCACCGGCCAGCTTCACAGCAGAGACGCTCGCGCTGCATCCCATGCCGCCTAGGTTGTACGACTGAATGTCCTCACGCATCTTGTAGTGGTTAACCACCAGGGCAGACAGGGACGGTGTCGGGCAGAAGATGGTGCAGTTGACTATGAGAATAGAGACGTCCTTAGGGTCGATTCCTGTCTTGGCAAACAGCTCGTCCATCGCTCCGAAAATCACCATCTCGGCTTCGACGCGAGCGTTGGAGATTGAGGGAGAAGGGGGCCAGGTGTGCATGGAAGGCGGTAAGTACGTTCGGTTGCCGAGGCCCGATCGCTCAAACACCTTCGTCTGAAACTCTCTGCTTTTCTCGTCGAAGTAGCCCAGTCGCGTTACCCGATCCAGCGCTACGTCCTTTGTGATGACAAGGTGCTCCGGCGGGCGATAGCAGGCGAAATCAACGAGGAAGATACGCCGGGGACGGGTGAGCACGAAGACTGTAACAGCGAAGATGACAGCGGAAAAGGCTGCAATCGCATATGACAGGTCCAGTTGAAGCACCTGCTGCCAGAGGCTCAAGAAGTCTTCCTGCTTCAGGTGCCGAGTCAGCTGCACGGCTAACGCCGCAACGAGAGGCAGGAGCATGCGCAGGCTGCTGTTCACAGAGAGGTGGAACAGAGTCTTTATCTGGTCTGCAGTTAAGCCGAGGAACCGGGATTTGAGGTACTGCTGGGCCACCTTCTGCGGCGGCGGCTTCGCAGCAGAGCTCTCCTCACTGATTGGTGCACTTCCTCCATTGACTGTCGACTGGGTGTCAGTTGACGGTTCTGAAGCTGCCTTCGTTGAAGTTTGGGGCTTGGATTCATGGAGCAGGTCGGGAGCTGCTGCTGTTGCTGCTAAGCTGCTGCGCTCTTCTATTTCAGGTCTAGGAAAGCCATCGTTGGCGCTTGCAGCAGGTATTTTGACTTGCGGGATTGTCCCAAACGCAATGGGCGCAGGCTCTACGCGACAGATGTTCGGTGCCATTGTTGTGCAATGATAACGTGCGCATAAGATGCAAGAGGTGCTGGTCTGATAAGCAGCTGAAAAGCTTTTGAGGGGCAAACTGGGCCTCCCATCAAGGAATGCTTACATTGCGCTGTGAAACACACGCTAAGGACGCGGCACCTGTTTTCATTTTGCCAGGATCGATCGTGGGAGGGGATCGATGTGCCGCTTGTACAGTGTATTGACGACATCGCCAATGCCTGGTATCCGTTTTTCGCTGAACGTCGAGAATGTACAGTAAACGGGTACCCAAATTGGTGGCACCTGCAGCTCGCACGATCGATGTGTCGTGGTGCATGTGTTAGGGTTGGCGGGAGAGCATATCGCGCCACAGGTGACAGCCTCGATCGATCGGCGTCGCCCACGGTCGCAGGCCAAAAATTCTTGGGTCGCTGCGAATGGAATTGCTGGACGACCATCCACGCTCTGCCCTGATTGGCTGCGCGTTTAAGTGTAATGGCAGCTCCAACCTGCCCGAGCCTGCAATTTCGACCCTGGCACCTATAGCTCGATGTGTCTACCCCACTGCAAATTTGCAGTGTAGGCACATCGGTGTGCCGATCGATATGCCAGGATCGATGTGAGGCCACGATCCTTGCAAAATGAAAACAGGTGCCGCGTCCTAACTCTCCTGAGGTTAAGCCGACACTAGTGAATGTTGAAAGTCGAAATGTCGGTGGAAAGGCGTCAGCATGCAACGCGCCATACAAGGCGCCACGGGAGCGGTCTCGAACGACGGCGCGGGAACCGTTGAACCAAACCTCTTCGCTTTCTTTGGTCTGGGGGCAACAACGCGGTCGTGGGAGGGGATGGTGCTGAACGCTGTACTGTACTCTCAGCTGCTTGATTGAAACTTTTCAAGCTTTTCTAAACAAGGCATCAAACATTCAAGAGATCCATATATATACACTGCATTAGTTACAAACGACGAATGCGCCTGTTCAATATGGCACAAGAATACTCTTTCTCTGTGGTGAATTTACAGTCTTGAAACTTCTCTAGCGTGAGGGTAATCACCCATGACTTTTACAAGTTATCCAAACCTCGCCCGCGAAAAGCGTACGACTCGCTCAGCTGTCGCTTCGTTCGAAATTGAAGGCCTGGAAGACCCCGGACCAGCCTGTCGAGTCGCAACTACTGTCAGCATTCCATGATTGGACGGGAAACGGTGGCCACAGTGGTCTCTGTTTACTGGACGGCTTCCTTCCATCCATCCACCACGGGTTGACGACTGACCACCAAGTGGTGGAAGGAAAGGGATGACGACCGACCACCAAGTTGATTTCTGTGAAAATTCTTACATACTAGGATAACATTTTTGATATATTAGGTGAATTGTTCCTTTCATTACACTTACCACACTTTCCATCCAAAAATGAATAGTCTGGCATATGATGATAACGGGTATGGGACGTTCACGCCTAGACCTCTTGGTTCCTAGCTCCTACACTCACCCGTCGAGTTGTTTGCGCGTGACGGCACTAAATCCTTACTTGCACCTTCCCGACGTTGGATCAGGTGGTCTCAGGTCGTGAGGGACCTGAGGTTGTGACTACGTGATCAGGTCCGCAGATTACCGCCTCGGTAACCGCTAACGTGCTAGCAGCAGCCGCAAAGTCACATCAGCACTCCGATTTGCACCTCTGGCCATTAGTAGCCTAGTCAGCGGCGCTCGATCCTTGCACCAGCTCAGTCTCCGTAGCGACTTCAGCTAGAAACCTTTGTTGGATCCAGGGTAACCAGGATACAGGGTAATCAGGCTACACAGTAACTAGATTGCTAGGTAACGAGGCCTGAGCGATGGCGAGAAAGAAGGTCTCAGAGGTGATTAAGGTCAACCCTAAGGACATGGGTGGGAGGAAGACGCTGCCGTGTTTCACGGAGATGATGGCGTTTATGAGCTGCATCAAGGAGAACGCGTTCGACACGACGCCGTGCCAGAAGCACCTCACCGCGCTCGACGCGTGCATGGACACGCAGGTCAGTTCGCCTTTAATCTCTTGCGATCGCCCATGGTCGGCCAGGAACGCCCATGTCGTGATCTCCTGTGCTCGCCCGTGCCAGAAGCCCCTCTCCGCGCTCGACGTGGACACCCTGGTTAGTTCGCCATGATCGTCCATGATCGCCCGTGATCGCCCGATTGCCCGTGGTCGCCCATGATCGCCTGTGCTCGCCCATGAACGACGATGATCGGCCTTGAGCGCCATGGTCGTTTCTGATTGGCCATGATCACCCATGAACGCTTATGGGTGACTTCCCTCCTCTCTTCCCCTCTCTCATCACTCCTCTCATCCCGCCTCTCTTCCCCTCTCTCATCCCTCCTCTCATCCCTCCTCTCATCCCCTCTCTCTTCCCTCCTCTCATCCCTCCTCTCTTCCCTCCGCTCATCCATCCGTCCTCTCATCCCTCCTCTCATCCCTCCTCTCCCTCCTCTCTTCGCTCCTCTCATCCCTCCTCTTATCCCTCCTCTCCCTCCTATCTTTCCTTCTCTCATCGCTCCTCTCATCTCTCCTCTCATCCCTCCTCTCTTCCCCTCTCTCATCCCTCCTCTCATCCCTCGTCTCATCCCCTCTCTCTTCCCTCCTCTCATCCCTCCTCTCTTCCCTCCTGTCTCTCCGCTCCTTCTGCTGCATTGGGGGGGTGCATGCAGACAAATCTATTGAGTTGACTAGTCTGCACCGTATCTAGCCATTAGCCACTTCAAATAATTCTCAGAAGTCATCTGGCACGGTTTTCCACCAGCGAGCAAAGCAACTGCGCAGTGGTCCTCCGCCATATCCTTTCATAACGTATTTGAAGCGCCTCAAAATACATTTTTTAGGCGATTTTTTAGGCGCCTCAAAATTCAAAGCAACTGCGCAGTCTTTCATTACATCCCCACTCTTATCTTACCTCTATATACCTTCCCAGTCTTCCCTTTGCATCCCCACTTTTAGCAACCCCCCTTCCCTCCCCTCTCTCCTCTTCCTTACCCTTATAGCATCGCCTCTCTCCCCTCCTCGTCTTAACACTTCCTCATACGCTCTCTCGTATGTTGCTGGCCCTCCTTCCTCACCTTTTTAACATCCCCTCTTTCCGTCCCTGTCTTCCCTACCTCTTCCCTCTCGTACCATCCCCTCTCTTGCCTCTCATGTGCTGCTGCAATCTGTGTGCATCTGCGTGGGTGTAGATGTCCAAAGGCAAGATTAGGAACACAATAAATCATTACGCAGTCCTAATATCCCCCTGTTCACTCTCATGTCATCCCCTCTCTTGCCTTTCTTGTGTTGCTGCATCTGTGCGTATGCAGAGGTCCAAAGGCAAGACCAGAAACACGATTAACTTCCATCTGCAGAGAATAGCCAAGTCAATGAAAAGATAATGCTACATGACAGCAGTAGCCATTTAGTGCAAAAATAAGGCCTTTATTAAATCTTGTGTGTTTGCATATGGTATGTAAAATATTGGAAGATCTACAGGGCTTGGTTTGTGTTGTAACAGGAAGTCAGAGATTGAAGGGTGTGTGTAAGCAAGCACCGACCGTACCCTCGTGGCCTGAATTTGGATGTTTGAAAGAGTGCATGAAAGTTATGGTTGTCAAACGTGAACCCTCTCTCATCATTCTTGCATGTAAAAAAATGCAATGGAGTACTCTTGAGGTTAGTGCATCATAAGGTTACATTGAAGTGCAAGAAGAGTAATGTGAGCAAATATTTGCTTCTCTTCCCTCCACCTCTCCAGCAGCATCACCACTTCGCAGTGCTCTGTGTGGGGAAACAACTCCATGGCCACTGTTTTGACAGGTCAAACTTCTTACCCCTCCCGCTCATCTCATCACATCACCCCCTGCCCCACATCCTTCCCCCCTCTACCTCTCCAGCAGCATCACCACCTCACAGTGCTCCGTGTGGGGAAACAGGTCGACAGCCACGGCTCTCACAGGTCGGAATGGCTCCCCAGCCGTAGCCCTCTGCCCTGCCGCTAGGCCCCCACTTGCTCCACCCCACTCCTGCTGCTGCTTGCTCTTCCCCACCCCACCCTATTAGCACTACCTCTCCAGCAGCATCACCACCTCACAGTGCTCCATGTGGGGAAACAATTTCACAGCCACGGCTCTCACAGGTTGGAACGGCTCCCCAGCCATGGCCCTCTGCCCCGCAGCAGGGCCCCACTTGCTCCACCCCACCCCCCCCTCCCGCTTGCTCCACTCCCCCCCTTCTGCTTGCTCCCTCCCCTTCCCCCTCCTCCCATCGCTACCTCTCCAGCAGCATCACCACCTCACAGTGCTCCGTGTGGGGAAACAGGTCAACAGCCACGGCTCTCACAGGTCGGAACGGCTCCCCAGCCATGGCCCTCTGCCCCGCTGCAGGGCCCCACTTGCTCCACCCGCCGCCCCCTGCTTGCGGCTTTTTTAGCTCGGGAGGCGGCGAGCAGAGGTCTAGGACGTTTGCCACGAGAGACGAGGGGTTGCAGGAGACGTAGCTGGGGGAAGGGATTGGGGAGAGAAGGAAATGCTGGTAAGGGCTGGCAAGGTGAAGGCAGTGCAGGGAGGTGAGCAGAGGTCAAGAACGTTGGCAATGAGAGAGAGATGAGGGGTTGCATGAGATGTAGCTGTGGGAAGCGGTGGGGAAGAACGAGAGAGGGGAAGAACGAGAGAGGGGAAGAACGAGAGAGGGGAAGAACGAGAGAGGGGAAGAACGAGAGAGGGAAGAACGAGAGAGGGGAAGAACGAGAGAGGGGAAGAACAGAGAGGGGAAGAACGAGAGAGGGGAAGAACGAGAGAGGGGAGGAACGAGAGAGGGGAAGAACGAGAGGGGAAGAACGAGAGAGGGGAAGAACGAGAGAGGGGAAGAACGAGAGAGGGGAAGAACGAGAGAGGGGAAGAACGAGAGAGGGGAAGAACGAGAGAGGGGAAGAACGAGAGAGGGGAAGAACGAGAGAGGGGAAGAACGAGAGAGGGGAAGAACAAGAGAGGGGAAGAACGAGAGAGGGGAAGAACGAGAGAGGGGAAGAAGCGGAAGTGGAAGAAGGTTGATGGGAGGCGAGGGAAGTGGGAAGAGGGAGCACAAAAGGGGATGGGGAAGGAGCTATGCAAAGCCCTTTTGTGCCAACAACGGAAGGGTGTTGCCAATGATTGAGACGATTCAAGAATGAAATTAATGGAATCTTTTTCAGCGACCGGATCGCGCAGAGAGGAGTGAGAGAAGAGGGCAAATGAAAGCTGTTTGAGCTTAATGGGGCAATTTTAGGCCCCTAAAAAATAGCCTCATATTTTACACGGAAGGGAGAGGAAGAGATGAGGGCACATGGAAGCTGTTTGTGCTTAGTGAGGTACTTTTCAAGGCGTAAAAATCATCGTCGCAGTTCAAGAATGGGAGAAGAGGGCTTACAGCAGCTGCTCGATCTTGGGATTCTCCCGAAGGGCTCTGAGCACCTGTTGTGGGTGTGCAAGAGAGGAAGAAGAGTGGGAAAGTGAGAGAAGAAGAAAAAAACAGTGGCTTGAATGCCTGTGTGTGCATATGTGCGTGCACGTGTTTGTGTGAGCACGTGTGTGTGTGTGTGTGTGCACGTGTGTGTGTGTGTGCGTGTGTGTGTGTGCACGTGTGTGCATGTGTGTGTGTATGTGCACGTGTGTGCGTGTGTGTGTGTATGTGCACGTGTGCGTGTGTGTGTGTGCGCGCGCGCGCGTGTACGGCCATCAACTCATTACCGTTGGATGCACCCAGCCATCAACTCATTACCGTTGGATGCACCCAGCCATCAACTCATTACCGTTGGATGCAGACCAGCTCTTGGAGGGTCTACGATTGTCACGACTCGAGAAAACTCAAACTCCTTTTTCCCTTCCTCCTTCCCTTCCTCCTTCACCCCCTCCTTCCCTTCCTCCTTTCCTTCCTCCTGCTGCTGCCCCTCTTTCCCCTCCACCTGGGGGAGGCTGTCAGGGGCAGGCTTCACCTGGGGGAGGTATTTATGGAGGAGCTTTGGCAGCACCAGCTCAGCCTGCATTGGTGGAGACATGGAAGGGACACGTCAGCATGAGAGGGACACGTCAGCATGAGAGGGACACGACGGCATGAGAGGGACACGACGGCATGAGAGAGACACGTCAGCATGAGAGGGACACGTCAGCATGAGAGGGACACGTCAGCATGAGAGGGACACGTCAGCATGAGAGGGACACGTCAGCATGAGAGGGACACGACGGCATGAGAGGGACACGACGGCATGAGAGGGACACCCTGCATTGACCGGATCACCCGAGAGGGAGACAATGAGCTTCGTATGGACTTTGAATGAACTTTGAATGCACTTTGAATGAAGTTTGAAACGTTTCAAAACTTATCCGGGATGCAAAAAATCTGGCATGCTGGATGCCGCTGATGGGCGCGTTCCTCCTCTAAGCAATCATGCTCTAAGCACCTTAGCACCCCCTGCATGAATGAATCCCCTGCATGAATGAACCCCCTCATCCAGCCCTGCGCTCCAACACAGGCTCACCCGGGAGGCGATGAACGCAGCATGCTCGATGCCGTTGATGACCACATTCCTTGTCCTCTAAACAAGCAGGCAAACCTTACAAGCAAGGCTGATGGCCTCCCCCAGGTCAAGCAAGCACAGGCTGACCGACCGCACAGGCTCACCCGGGAGGTGATGAACGCAGCATGCTCGATGCCGTTGATGACCACATTCCTTGTCCTCTAAACAAGCAGGCAAACCTTACAAGCAAGGCTGATGGCCTCCCCCAGGTCAAGCAAGCACAGGCTGACCGACCGCACAGGCTCACCCGGGAGGCAATGAACGCAGCATGCTGAATGCCGTCGAAGTCTGCAATAAAATTCCTAGTCCTCTAAGCAAGCATGCCCTAAGCAAGCAAGCAAGCACAACCCTTCACAACCCTCCACAACCCTTCACAACCCTCCACAACCCTTCACAACCCTCCACAACCCTCCACAAGCACTTACCTTCCAAGCAAACACTGCTCAACCCACCGCACAGGCTCACCCGGGAGGCGATGAACTCAGCATGCTGAATGCCGTTGATGGCTGCATTCCTCCTCGCATCCTCCACTGCCGACTCGTTCATCTCAATCCCAATCACCTGCAGAGCAAGGGAGCGGAAGAAGGTTTAGGTCAATCTCAATCCCATCCCAATCACCGTCGCCTCAAAACCTAGCAAAATAAATTTCTTTGCATCCCCCTCTGCCAACTCATTCATCTCAGTTCCAATCATTTTCAGATATTGACAAGAACCAGTCTTTCTCACTTCCCCGAGTATTTCTGAGGCGTCTCAAAAACAACCTCGCTTCACGTGGTTCCAATCACCGCCAGATATTGACAAGAACCAGGCTTCCTCACTTCACCAAGTATCATGCTTAAACCTTGGTCTACTCAGAAACCAAATGCTCGCGGTTTGCACCCTTGCTGACCATTCGAGCCACTAGTTCAAAGAAAGAACTTACTCAATGACCTTCCGAGCATGGTCTGCAATTCCTACAAAGCAAGATATCCAACATTACCTCCACATTTGTCTCAACTTCTCTCTGTGCTTCTGTTCGGACTTGACTGGCTATCTCTGCGGTTACCTTCTTGCCGTGCTTGGCAACGCACAGACAGATGGTGCCCGTGCCACAGCACACATCAAGCACCAACATACCACCAACTGCCTCCCCCAGCTGATGGTGCACACGGCTTACAGCAAACAAGCCGGCACTGAGCTCTATTCACACATTCATTTGACGTCACAACCCCTCAGCGTTTACCTTCTTGGCATGCTTGGCAACACACAGGCCAATGGTGCCCGTGCCACAGCACACATCAAGCACCAACATACCACCAACTGCCTCCCCCAGCTGATGGTGCACACGGCTTACAGCAAACAAGCCGGCACTGAGCTCTATTCACACATTCATTTGACGTCACAACCCCTCAGCGTTTACCTTCTTGGCATGCTTGGCAACGCACAGGCCAATGGTGCCCGTGCCACAGCACACATCAAACACCAACACTCCATCCTTCTCGTCGCTTTTCCCCTCTTGCTGCACCTCCCCCCCCTGCTGCTGTTGCTGCTGCTGCTGCTGCTGCTGCTCCTGCCCCTGCTGCTGCTCCTGCCCCTGCTGCTGTTTCTTGGTCAAGAGAGGAGGGAGCACGGGAGGGGGGCAGGGAGGCGGAGGACCCAAGCCGACCCAGGATGCAGCGAGCTGATACAGCAGCTGCGCTCCTGCTGAGTTGGTCTGTACGGGGGAGGGGAGTGATGTAGAGAGAGGGGTAAGGCAGGGGTGTGTGAGAGAGAGCTGGGGAATGGGGATAAGGAGGCCTGAGGCCCACCCAGGAAGCAGCGAGCTGATACAGCAGCTGCGCTCCCGCTGAGTTGGTCTGACGGGAGTGAAAGGGAGGAATAGGTGAGGGGGATGACAAGGGTGGGGGAGAGTTGAATCAGGCAGCTAATTAGTGGTGATGGGAATACCAAACAAGACAGACAAGCGGCCGTGGCGTTACAATGAGAGAGAAGGCATACCGAACGGCCATTCGAGAGAAGCATGTGCCATGTGGCTTATCACCTGGAAGAAGGAGGTTTGTAACAGTCGGAACTTGAGGCCACACAGATGGTCGTATATGTGTCTGTCACACGCTGCCTGCTCTGCCACTGCTGCCGCTGCTGCTGCTGTTGCTGCTGCTTCACACCTTCCTACCTGGATAAAGGGAGAGGTGCGTTACCTGGAAGAAGGAGGTGGGTGACAGTCGGAACTTGAGCCCGCACAGATGGTCGTATATGTGTGTGTCACACGCTGCCTCCCTTGCCCCTGCTGCTGCTGCTCCTGCTTCGCCTGATGTTGCTTCTGCTCCTCCTGCCTCTGCTGCCTCTCCTGCTGCAGGTGCCGCTGCTGCTACTGCTTCTGTCCCCGCTTCCGTTGAACCTCCCGCTTGCCCCACTGCTTCTGGCCCGTCTGCTGTTGACTCAAGTGCCTCCCCTTGTAATGCTTCTTCTGCCGACTTATTCACTTTTCCCTGTGATGTACGTGCCTCTTCTTCCGCACCACTAGCAGCTCCATTCCCCGCCATTGGCACTGCTGCCGATGGCTCAATGTGACTAGAGCGAGGGTAGAGCAAGCGGATGGGGCAGCTCTCAGGGGCTGCATTGGACACACCCGAGTGTTCCTGCAAAGAGATAGTCAGTATGGGGGGTGGGGTGGGGTGGAGTGGGGTGGGGAGGGTTTCCTTCTCATCCTCTTTCCCTTCCTTTCAGTGTGGGGTATGCACAGAGCAGGTGGATGGGGCAGCTCTCAGGGGCTGCATTGGACACACCCGAGTGCTCCTGCATGGGGTGAAGACAGAGGGGAAATTTCTCACTACCGGGAAATTTCTTCGATAACATCATATGGGGCAGCTTTCAGGGGCTGCATTGGACACACCCGAGTGTTCCTGGAAAGAGATAGGTACAAGTGGAAGATATATTGAGCCGTCTTAAAACGAGGATGAGGCAGCTCGCAGGAGCTGCATTGGACACACCTGAATGCTCCTGCACGGAGATGGGTAACATGTCTCAGAACGAGAATGAGAGTGAGAGTGAGAGTGAGAGTGAGAGTGAGAGTGAGAATGAGACTGCGAATGAGACTGCAAATGACAGTCAGAATGCTAATGCGAAAGGTGGTGAGAAAGAGCGGGAGAGGGGAATAGGAGTGAGAGTATAAGGTTGACTTTGAGTAAGAGTGAGGCAGTCCCACCTGAACGAGGATGAGTGTAAGAGGCAGTGGCAGGCTGTGCTCCGCTGCTCGCCTTTCAATCTCAGCCGTCAATCTGCTCAGCTCCGCATCCACGGCCGTCCGATCGGCACCAGCAGGGTTCACCTGCAGCAGCAGCATCACTTGATTCACTGCCGCCCTGCCACTGTGCCTTGGCCCTTCCCCTTCCCTTGTGTCGACTCTTGTGCCATCCCTTGTGTCATCTTCATCTCTTGTGCCATGATCATCTTGCTTTTCTGCGGGTGGCTGTCCATCGATTGGTGTTGCGGATTGGTCCACGTCCATCGACGCCACGTCAGCAGCAGCAGGCTCGGGGCCTGAGGTGGCGGTGGGTGGTTCGGCCGTGCCTTCCCTCACCTGCAGTTGAAGTGAATGCAGGGAGGACAAAGAGAGCGAGAGCATATCAAAACAAAGCAACAAAACTTAGATGGCCTCATGACTCGTGTTTCGTCTGCCCCCCACCAACCCTCACCCTCACGCCGTGTCGAATTACCTCTATCCCTCCCCTCCTCATTTTTCTCCTTTCACCTAACCCCCTCACACAAACCACCCCTCTACCCACCGTGAGCAGGCGCCAAGAGCCCCGGTTGTTGACCTTGTCCCATCAAGTTGACTTTTGAGTCGACTCAAAAGTCACCTTGTCCCATCAAGCCAGAAGAGAGCCGTGCATGCAGCATCCCCTTACCAACTTCCCCTCCCACACCGACCCCCCCCTTCACTCCCCCACCTACCGTGAGCAATCACCAGAAGCCCTGGTTGTGACCTTGTCTCACGCTGCGAGGGGTGATCCCTGCACCACCCGCTGCGCAACCCACATGTACAAACCACACACCCACTGACAAACCACACACCCGCCGACAAACCACACACCCACCCTCGCTCCTACCCCACCCACCGTGAGCAACCGCCAGAAGCCCCGGTTGTTGACCTTGTCCCATGCAGCCAAGGGTGATTCTCGAACCACCCCCTGCACCAGGCGTGCAAAGGCGATGGCTACGGGGGAGATGTTTCGACAGCCTGACGGCTCTGCCACTGCTGTCACGCCATCGCTGGGGGGAGGGGGGGGAGAGAGGGACGGCAGGAGGGAGCAGCGTGGGCAGGGGCATGTTTGGCTTGAGCCTCACACCACCCGGGGTGCACCAGGCGTGCAAAGGCGATGGCGATGGGGGAGATGTTTGGACACCCCAGCTGTCACTCCGTCGCTGGAATTGGGGGGGAAGGTAGGAAGGAGCAGGGTGAGCTGGGAAAGGTGTGACCTGAGACCCTCACAACACCCTCTGCATCAGCCGTGAAAAGGCGTTGGCGAGGAACATGTGCACGTCCCGACCACAGGGTCCCTTTTTGAGTCGACTCGAAAATCGACCACAGGGTCCCCAGTGGTCGACGGTTATCGCAACAAGTGCATGTCCCCAATGTCGGGAAATGTTCCAGCACACCACCAACGGCGCTGCCCTTTTGAGGCGCCTCAAAAGACGCTGCCAGCCAGCCACAGCTGTCACCCCATCGCTATGGACAAGAGAAGAAAGAGATGGGGTGTGACAAGACGAGATGCGATGAGGCAAGATGTGAGAAGATGTAACAAGGGGGCAGACAGCAAGATGAAACGCGTCTGATATATGACCCCCTTCCATTGCAGAGCGTGTTTTTTGAGAATTCTCAAAAAACACGCTATGACCCCCTTCCATTGCCTCTCTTATTGCTGACATGCCTGCCCGAACAGCGTATGCTTCTCACCGGAAGTTTCCGAGAAGGAATCCGACGGTGGGCTGACCAGCAGCAGAGGGTCCAATGGAGAACTCGCACTTGTTGCGATATCCGTCCACCACTGGTGAGGCGTAGATTCCCTCAAACACGCATGGGAGGTGGGCTGTGGGGTGGGGGGTGGGATGGGGTGTGAGAATGAGGGTACAACAACAGAGGACATGCACTTGTTGCGATAACCGTCCACCACTGGTGATGCGTAGATTCCCTCAAACACACAGGGGAGGTGGGCTGGGCTGTGTGGGGATGAGTGGGGGGATAAAGTGGAAGATGGAGTGTACAGGCTACAGCTGTTGACCACGCTTGCACTTGTTGCGATAACCGTCCACCACTGGTGGTGAGGCATGGATGGATTCCCTCAAAGGTGCAGGGGAGGTGGGCTGTGGGGATTTTTGAGACTTCTCAAATCTCTACTTTTATCATGTGGATAACTGTCCACCACCGGTGAGGCATGGATTCCCTCAAAGGTGCAGGGGAGGTGGGCTGTGGGGATAGGGGTTTAATGGGTAGGGAGAAGGAGGAAGAAAGGAAGGAGAACTTGCACTTGTTGCATTAGCTGCAAACGGCTGGTTGGGTGTTTCAGGATGGGGAAACCCTAGACCCAAAACCCAAAACCCTGAACCGAATCTGTGATCACCCAGGCCAGGGTGTAGCTCCTTCCCACCCAGTCTCACCTTCGTGAATTAAGATTGGTTTTCAGACGTCTCAAAACCGATTTCCTTCCCACCCAGTCTCACTTTCCCATACCCCGCCCTCACCTTTCTCCCTGGCACCTTTCGCCCTCACCTTTCTCCCTGGCACTCTTGATCCACTCAGGCAGTTGGGCAAAGCTCTTTTGGGCAAAGCTCTTTTGGGCAAAGCTCTTTTGGGTAAAGCTCTTTTGCAACGCGCTGACGCTCTCTCACCTCCTCGCACCCCTCCCTCACCTCCCCTCTCACTTCTGGCAGTATTGATCCATTCAGGCCGTTGAGCAATCCTTACATACGGCTTCTCTTTTCTTCACAATCGGAAAAAGGTCCTTGTACACACTCTCACCTCTCGCTTTTGCAGACTTGATCCATTCAGGCAGCTGACCAAAGCTCTTTCTCGAGTAAAGCTTCCTCATCTTGGTCACAATCCGCTGCAGCTCCTTTGCTACATTCTCTCGCCTCTCACTCGCCCCTTTGCGGTCACCCCTCTCACTCACCTCTCGCTTTAGCAGACTTGATCCATTCAGGCAGCTGAGCAAAGCTCTTTCTCGAGTAAAGCTTCCTCATCTTCGTCACAATCCGCTGCAGATCCTTCGCCACTCTCCCTCCCTTCATCTCCAGCTGTTCCTGATACCCCATCCTCGCCAGTGGCGTCACCGCCTCCCATGCCTCCTTCTTCACCCTCCCCTCTGCTTTCTCCCCTTCCCTCTCTCCTCCTCTGCCTCCCTCTCCCCCATCCTCTCCTTCCCCATCCGTCTCTTCCGTTTCCTCCTCATCCTCACCCTCCCCACCTCTCTCGCCCTCCTCTTTCCCACCATCCTCCCCTGCGTCCCCCATTCCTTCCCCCTCCGTTCTTCTCTTCTTGTCCTCATGCCCTTCGCCGCCCTCCTGGGCGGCAAAAGCTGTCTGTTTCTGAGTGCGGTACCGTGCCGGCTGCACGTCTAGCATCTGGTTCTTCACCTGCTTGCCCCGCAACAGCTGCAGGTGAGACGAGTGGGGTTGGGTGTGAGGGCGTTTCGTGGGAGTGGAGTGGGTATGTTTGGTTTAACACGCCTTACATACCGCGCCAGTTGCACGTCCACCGTCTGGTTCCTCACCAGCTTGCCGTGCAGCAGCTGCTCTCGTGGGGTGTGGGAGGAGGGGTGGGGGTGTGTTAGCGTGTGAGGTTGGGTGTGGAGGTGGGATAATCTAGCTGTAATGTGCCCCTTACACCATGCCGGTTGCACGTCCAGCGTCTGGTTCTTCACCTGCTAGCCATGCAACAGCTGCAGTCGTGCGGGGTGGGGTGGGGGTGGGGGTGGGGGTGGGGGTGTTGATGGGTATGGAAGAGGTAATGTGCCCCATACACCGCCCTGGTTGCACGTCCAGCGTGGGGGGGTGGGGTTGGGTGTGGGGGTATGAGGGGTGGGGTTGTGGATGGGTATGGTAGTTGTCATGTGCCTTACACACCGCCCTGCTTGCACGTCCAGCAATCGGGTCCTTACTGCCTTACCATGCAGCAGTCGTGAGCATGGGGGTGGGGGATGGAGATGGGGGGGGTTGGGGTGGGGGTGGGTTGGGGGGAGGGGAGAAGCGTGTGGGTGTGATGTGCGTTGATGAAGTTACCTCTGGTACCGCTCTGTTGATGTTACTTTTGAGATATTCTCAAAAGTAACATCAATATGCCTTGTTGAAGATACCTCTGCTACCGCTCTGCACTGCCTGCAGTCTCCTCACCCGCTTACCCCTCCTCACCCGCTTACCCCTCCTCACCCGCCTTCCCCTCCTCACCCGCCTTCCCCTCCTCACCCGCTTACCCCTCCTCACCCACCTTCCCCTCCTCACCCGCTTACCCCCCCTCACCCGCTTACCCCCCTCACCCACTTACCCCCCTCACCCGCTTACCCCCCCTCACCCGCTTACCCCCCCTCACCCGCCTTCCCCTCCTCACCCGCTTACCCCTCCTCACCCGCTTACCCCTCCTCACCCGCCGTCCCCTCCTCACCCGCCTTCCCCCCCTCACCTTTACTCCCCTCACCCAATGAATCCCCCTTTTCACCTGCTCCCCCACTCTAGCCTGCTTCCCCTGCCCACCTGAGTGGCCTTGTCTGCAGCGGTAGCTGACTCAAACGATACAAATCCAAACGCCACGCCCTGGCTTTTCCTCGACCCGCAATAGTCCAAACTCTGCCGCCCACCAAACAGCCCCAGAATAACAGGTCAAGGGATCAGGAACACGCCTTTGGTTTGGGAACCTGAGGGTTTTATGCAAGAAAGGTTTTGGATGGAGCGCTGGATTGTGGAGTGTGAGTGTGGAAACTATCGGCAATGGATGGGGTATAGCGAACTAGAGTTTAGCGGGGGAAAGTTTAGCGATTCAGGGGTTTGGCGAAGGGTTTTGGGTTGGAACGTCGTCCTCAATCTGCCTTATCTTGTATCTTGCTGAGGGAGGGTTTTGAAATTTGAGCTGCAGCAATCTTGGTGTTTTTTTTAAAAGGTGCAGTGTTTTCGTCTCCCTCTGCCTTAAATCCATGCTCGTAGTGGCATGTAACCTGTTCGCACCATTTCGTTTAGCATTTCGCGAAAGTGCTTCACATTCCACCACTTTGGTAGGTTCTGCACGCAAAGCCGACTCCACTCGCCGTCCCCCCCTGCCCCGCCTTCCTTCCCCTCGTCCCCGCCACCCTCCGCTTCTTCTGCCTCTCTTCCCCAAGACCCTCCCCCTCCGCGTTTCCTCCCCCGATTCCTCCCCTTATTGCTCTGATCCCCTTCCCCTGCCTCGCTCCGCTTAGCCCCTCCGCGCGCGGACGTGGGGTCAAACGACCCGTCCGGGCGCGCGCGCAGCTCCGCCTCCCCGTGCGCGAACTTGCACCGCGCGCCGTGCTTGCACTCCCCGTGCTTGCGGAAGAACGAGCACAGAGTCGTCTTCCACATCGGCCCCTCTCCGCCGTCCGCTGATGCCGCACCCCCCGCTGCTACAGCCGCACCCCCCGCCGTTACAGCCGCAACCTCCGCCGCTACAGCCGCTACAACCTCTGCAGGCGGCACGGCCGCTACTGGGGTTTCCGCCTGCTTTCCGCCGTCCGCGGGAGCTGCTGCAATTTCCGCTGGCGGCGCCGCTGCTGCCGGAGCTGCCGCAACGTCAGCTGACAGAGCAGGGACCGTTAGGTCAGCGCCAGGTGCAGTGGGTGTATTCCCCGCAATTGGCGGAGTTTCCGCGGAAGTTATAGAAGAGGTAACGGCGGAACCTGGGGGAGAGGACCCCATTGCTGACGTGGAAGTGCGAGCTAGTACCTTTTGTGCAGGTTATAAACAAGCTGCTCTCAACAAAAGTCTTAACAAATGGGTTAGCAGCAGTATGATAAACGGGTAATACATCTGATCTAACGGGTTTCGGGTTTTCCCCCTAAACCCGAAATTGGCACAGGAAAATGAAACGGTGAGAAATCTGGGTTCTAGGCGGACTTTGAAGCCAGTCGCGTGGCATTATTCCGTCAGTTGTGGTTACCAGTCCCCTGTTTTCGTTCGCAGTCAGTCAGCTCGGGTGGGCTTGAATCCCGTTGAAGGCGAAAGCTGGTTACGTCCTGTCACGAAGAATTTGTGGGAGTTTGGTTTCGCCAGCCAAAGGGATGTTGACGCATCCCTTGCTGAACTACAAAACTTTCAACTAGGGTGATGGTCAGATTTGGCGCGAAGCCGTGGTGTCAGGTTCAGCACACCTAGAGGTTACCTCGTTTCAAACTGTATTGTTTCAAAGGTCACACCGCACCGCACCTCTTGGTTCTCCGCTTTCTCGCATTTCTACTCGTAACGCGTCGCGGTAGGGTGAAGTAAAGCCCACATGCCGTCTCACGCGCTTGCCGCACCGCTCATCGCGCAATCCGCCGCGTATAGTATCTCCCTTAGTAGCCTCGCGCGGAGACGCACGAGCAGGATCCTCCCTGGTTGCGGCGCGCGTATTTCCACACTTGATGGTCCTCCTCGACATTCCTCTCAGAACCTACACTCTCATCGTTTCCTGGACAGACGGTTTTCGTACTCCACTCAAACGCCGTTCGAGCTCCGTTTCCGAACGCCGTCTATCCTCGTCTCAGCCTTCCCCGATAAGGCTACCCCGTCACTGAGCTCGCGTTACCAAAGCGGGCTAGTCGGAATGGCTTCAGCGGTCTTGTCGGAGAACACACCGTCGAGCCGCGAGTCGACTCGACCAACGGCCGACTCGTTGTCCCGGCGTCAGCAGCTCGACGTTGCCGTGATCGGCGCAGGCGCCGCGGGACTGGCCGCTGCGCGCGAGCTGATGCGAGAGGGGCACGCCGTGACTGTGATTGAAGCGGGGGGTGAGATAGGCGGCGTGTGGGCTTATGACGAGCGGATAGAAACGGAAGATTTGTTAGGGTTGGATCCGAACCGGCAACAGGTCCATAGCAGCATGTACGCGTCGCTACGGACGAATTTACCCCGAGAATTAATGGGTTATTTAGACTTTCCCTTCTCCGCGCCTTTACCTGGCGATCGTCCCGATGCCGACGCAGACGGTGAAACCAGCGCGGATTCGCGACGAGACGACGCCGATCTGCGACGGTTTCCGTCGCACAGGGAGGTGCTGCGATATCTCTGCAGGTACGCGGATCGATTCGGGATCTCGAATCGCGTGGAGCTCCACAGTAGAGTAATCTCGGCCGTCCCTGTGATTTCCCGCCAAGCAGCCGTTGAAGAAAGCGGGGAAGGCGGAAGAAAAGGGGGAGGCGGCGCAGAGGCGGGGAATGGAGCGGAAGCGGAAACCAGCCAAGCGGAAGCGGGGAGAGAGGGGAACGTGGGGAATGCGGGGAATGCGTACGTCGAGGAGGAAGCTTGGGATCTTCTAGAGACGGCCGCGGAAGGGGCTGAAGCTCCTGCTGTGAGATGGCGTCTTAAGATTGCTCGGTCTAGACTGCATAGGAGTATTAGTGCGGATAGAGGGAGTTTAGGAGGTTCGGCAGGTGCAGCAGGAGGGATTGGGAATGGGGAGAGGGTGGAAGGGAGGGAGGAAGGGAGAAAGGAGGAGAGGGAGGTAAGGGCGGAGGAAGGGGAGGAGGAGAGGGAGTTTGATGTATTGGTGGTGTGTAACGGTCACTATTCACAGCCCAAGATTGCAAGCATAGCGGGTGAGACTGTAACGGGGGGCAGGTTTGTTACCAGGTGGGTGATAGTGGGTGGGTGAGTGAGTGAGAGAGTGAATGACTGAGTGAGTGAGTGAGTGAGTGTGAGAGTGGGTAGTTGAGGTAGTCAGTTGGCTGCTGACGCATGAACCAAGTGTGCCATTTTCCCTGTGTGAGGAAGAGTGGAAAAAACAACTCCTCTGTATGAAGGAGAGTGGGCTGCAGATCTCACCCTCGAGGTGACTTATGAGTCGACTCAAAAGTCACCTGTGTGAGGAAGAGAGGAGAAAATCACTCCTCTGTATGAAGGAGAGTGGGCTGCAGATCTCACCCTCCTCTTTTACTCCCCCATGCTTGTCTCCCCTGATTTCTGTATCCCAACCAAACAGGTGTGGACACGTGGCCAGGCATTCAGATGCACAGCCACAACTACCGCCACCCAGAGGGGTTTGCAGGCAAGGTGAGGCGCCACCCAGAGGGGTTTGCAGGCAAGGTGAGGCGCCACCCAGAGGGGTTTGCAGGCAAGGTGAGGCGCCACCCAGAGGGGTTTGCAGGCAAGGTGAGGCGCCAACCAGAGGGGTTTGCACGCAAGGTGAGGCGCCACCCAGAGGGGTTTGCAGGCAAGGTGAGGCGCCACCCAGAGGGGTTTGCAGGCAAGGTGAGGCGCCACCCAGAGGGGTTTGCAGGCAAGGTGAGGCGCCACCCAGAGGGGTTTGCAGGCAAGGTGAGGCGCCAACCAGAGGGGTTTGCACGCAAGGTGAGGCGCCACCCAGAGGGGTTTGCAGGCAAGGTGAGGCGCCACCCAGAGGGGTTTGCAGGCAAGGTGAGGCGCCACCCAGAGGGGTTTGCAGGCAAGGTGAGGCGCCACCCAGAGGGGTTTGCAGGCAAGGTGAGGCGCCAACCAGAGGGGTTTGCACGCAAGGTGAGGCGCCACCCAGAGGGGTTTGCACGCAAGGTGAGGCGAGGGGGGTTTGCAGGCAAGATGGGAGGAGAGGGGTTTGCACATTCTTAAAACACATATTCAGCTCTGTGTTGTAAAAGGAGTCTCTTGTCTTTCATTGGAGAGGAAAGAGGGGTCTCAAGACGCATCGTCAGAGTCTCTTCTATCAAAGAAGTCTCTTCTCTTTTCTCTTCTCTTTTCTCTTCTCTTTTCTCTCTCCTTTCTCATCTCTTTTGTCTCCCTAACAAAGGAAAACAGTCTCCTGAACTTGCCGTCTCTGTTGCTCGTTTGCATGCCTGTTTCCCCATCCCATGCCTTCCCAGGTGGTGGTGATGGTGGGCGCGGAGGTGAGTGGGCTGGACATAGCAAGGGAGCTGGCCGCAGTGGCACGAGAGGTGCACATCTGCGCGCGGGAAGGTGGGGGCCGGAAGATGTTGGTGGAACACTGGCGCTTGCACATCTCAAACTTCTCTTCTCCCCATCCCACCCCATGGCAGGTGGTGGTGGTGGTGGGCGCAGAGGCGAGTGGGCAGGACATAGCGAGGGAGGTGGCGGCAGTGGCACGAGAGGTGCACATCTGCGCGCGGGAAGGTGGGGGCCGGAAGATGTTGGTGGAACACTGGCGCTTGCACATCTCAAACTTCTCTTCTCCCCATCCCACCCCATGGCAGGTGGTGGTGGTGGTGGGCGCAGAGGCGAGTGGGCAGGACATAGCGAGGGAGGTGGCGGCAGTGGCACGAGAGGTGCACATCTGCGCGCGAGGCTGGCGCTCTTCTCCTGCCGCTGCAGCTGCTGTTGCTGGTGCTGGTGCTGGTGCAGCCACCGGGGCAATAGAGACGGGGTATTTCGAGGATCTGAAAGGCAGAGTGCAGCAGCACCCCATGGTTAGTAGCTGTGGCCTCACCACACATACTTCTCTCCCCCTTAGCTACCTCCTCTACTTACCTTCTCTGCCCTTCAGCAATAGAGACGGGGTATTTCGAGGATCTCAGAGGCACATTGCAGCAGCACCCCATGGTTAGTACCCACCTCGCACGCTGCTCTCCTCCCCCTTAGCTGCTCTCGGCCTTAGCTGGAGGTAATGCTGCTGGACACTTGGAGGATCTGAAAGGCAGAGCAGAGTGCAGCAGCACCCCATGGTCAGTAACCTTTACGCACGCAACCGTAGCTGCCTGCTCTCCCTGGACTTCCTCTGCTTCAATTTTTGGGGCGCCTAAAATTTGAGGCGTTTCAAAAACCTGCGCGCACGCACCCTTAGCTGCTCTGCCTGGACCTCCTCTGCTTCACCTGCTCTTTTACCCAGTGTTCACTTATCCAGAGGTTCTTTGAATGTGCAGGTGGGAGGAGCTGCCTCTTTTTCCTCTCCTGATTTTCTTAGGCGCCTCAAGGATTCCTCCCACCCCCACTTTTTTCTGCCCCTTCCGCCACTTCTGCACCTTCTGCCCCGTCTGCCCCTCCCCTTCCCCCCCTTCCCCCCCTTCCGCCCCTTCCCCCCCTTCCGCCCCTTCCGCCCCTTCCGCCCCTTCTGCCCCTTCCCCCCCTCCCCCCCTGCCGCCCCTTCCGCCCCACTGCACGCGAGCGCAGATCAAGCAAGCCAACGCAGATGGGACGGTGGAGTTTGAAGATGGGTTCACATGCCATGCTGACGTCATCATGCACTGCACCGGGTGTGTGTCTGTGCCTGTGCTGACATCACATGGACTCGTTCTTGCCCACTCCATGTGCAATAGGGTGCTTTAGCGCATCATAAGCAGTAGGGTTTTTTTGAGAATTCTCAAAAAAACCCTACTGCCTGTGCTGACATCACATGGACTCGTTCTTGCCCATTCCATGTGCAGTAGGGTGCTTTAATAAACAGTTTCTTTCACCACGTCATAAGCAGTTTCTTCCCAACCCTTTCCCATAAGCAGTTGCTTTCACCCCGTCTGTCCCCTCATCCTCCCACCCCGCCCCACCCATTCTCCCCCCCGTCTCTCCCCCCCAACATAACTACTACTACCCTTCCTCTTCCTCGCCCCCCCCCCCCCTTCCACCCTCCCCTCCATCAACAACTGTCGTGTAACTTCTCTGTCCCCTCATCTCGCCCCTTCCTGCGCCCCTTCATCTTTTTCATCTTAAAGACCCCTTGCTTGTTCGCTCTTTCACTTTGAACTCTTGCACTGATGAAGGCCTAGCGGGTATGATCCCCGTGCAAAGCCGAAACATGTTTGCTTTCGTCTAGAGTTTGAACTGAGTTGTACGTTCGGATCTTAATCAATTTTTTTGAGGGTTACTTTTTTCACTGGTTGACTACCATCCCTTTGCTAAAGGCGACCTTGCCTACTGCTGCCCTTCTTCATTAGCACAGATCCCCTCCATCAACAACTGCCGTGTAACTTCTCTGTCCCCTCATCTCGCCCCTTCCTGCGCCCCCCTTCCCCCCATGCAGCTACAGCTTCTCCTTCCCTTTCCTCGCCCTCCCCCCCTCCCTCCTCTCCGTCGATACCGGTCGTGTGACTCCCTTGTTCCGCCACGTCCTGCCTCCTGCACTCGCTCCCTCGCTCTCCTTCATCGGCCTCCCCTGGAAGGTACTTCCCTCTCCCTTTATATATCTCGCATTGCTGCCCCCCCCCTCCCTCCTCTCCCTCTCTCCTCTTCCGCCGCGTCCTCCCTACCACACTGGCCCCCTCGCTGTCCTTCATCGGCCTCCCCTGGAAGGTAAATCTCCCTCCGCCCCCTCTATATCTCTCGCATGGTTTTTCTTATTAGTTTTTCCAAAGGGTCTCATGCTTGATTATATCTCTTGAATCATTAGGCAACGCAAGCTAAGATTCTTTGAAATGGCGAGCGTTTGCTTCCTCTCTCTCTCCTTCATTTGCCCCCCCAGACCCCCGCCCAGGTCGTCCCCTTTCCGCTGTGTCGCGGTGGGTGGCTCAGCTGCTGCCCACCCAGCTGTTCATACCCAGACCTCCTCCTTCCTGCCAATCGGTCTTTTGACATTATTTCTCTGCCAATCGGTTTGCAGCTCATGGAGAAATAATGTCACAAGACCGCTGTGTCACGGTGGGTGGTTCAGCTGCTGTCCGCCCAGCTGCTCATACCCAGACCTCCTCCTTCCTGCGTTCCTGTCTCAACTTCTCCCTCCCTTCCCTTGTACCCTCTGTCCCTTCCCCTCAGGTCGTCCCCTTTCCTCTATGTCAGCTGCAGGCGCGGTGGGTGGCGCAGCTGCTATCCGGCCAGCTGCCCGTGCCGCCCAGATCCGATATGGAGGACGGCGTGCGTCGTCTGTATGCGCGCATGGAGGAGCAGGGCGTGCCTGAGAGATACGCCCACAGGCTGGATATGGAACAGGTGCAACCTGGGGGAGGTAGACTTGGGTGTTGTGCGACTTGGGGAGGTAAGGATGAGTGGAGGTATCGTGTGAGGGAGGACTGTGTGTGACTTTGGAGGAGCCAGGGTGTGCCTGAGAGATACGCCCACAGGCTGGATATGGAGCAGGTACGGCTTGGGACAGGTGCGGCCCGGGACAGGTGCGGCCTGGGACAGGTACAGCCTGGGGTGGTAGGTAGTGTTGAGTAGAAACGTGAGGGGAACTGTTCGTGGCTCTGGAGGAAGGCATCTGAGCTACGCCCACAGGCTGGCTGGATATGGAGCAGGTACGACCTGGGGGAGGTGCACAGGTAAGGCCTGGAGCAGGTAAGACCTGGAGCAGGTAAGACCTGGAGCAGGTAAGGCATGGAGCAGGTAAGGCATGGAGCAGGTAAGGCATGGAGCAGGTAAGGCCTGGAGCAGGTATCACCTGGAGCAGGTATCACCTGGAGTAGCTACGACCTGGAGCCACATACTTCTACTTTTCTTGTGCATCCCACCACATCCAACCACACTCCACCACATCCGCCGCATCCCACCCACTGCACCAGTTCCCCTACATGGACAGCCTCAGCACGGACTGCGGAGGCTTACCCCTGCCTGCATGGCGGTGGGAGATGTACGAAGCTCATGCTAACTCAATGCTATTTCCCACCAAATCCTACCACACCCCAATGCATCCCACTGCACCAGTTCCCCTACATGGACAGCCTCAGCACGGACTGCGGAGGCTTACCCCTGCCAGCATGGCGGCGGGAGATGTACGAAGCTCATGCTAACTCAATGCTATTTCCCACCACATCCTACCACACCCCAATGCATCCCACCGCACCAGTTCCCCTACATGGACAGCCTCAGCACGGACTGCGGAGGCTTACCCCTGCCGGCATGGCGGCGGGAGATGTACGAAGCTCATGCGAACTCAATGCTATTTCCCACCACATCCTACCACACCCCAATGCATCCCACCGCACCAGTTCCCCTACATGGACAGCCTCAGCACGGACTGCGGAGGCTCTTACCCCTGCCAGCATGGCGGCGGGAGATGTACGAAGCTCATGCTAACTCAATGCTATTTCCCACCACATCCTACCACACCCCAATGCATCCCACCGCACCAGTTCCCCTACATGGACAGCCTCAGCACGGACTGCGGAGGCTTACCCCTGCCGGCATGGCGGCGGGAGATGTACGAAGCAGTGAGGCAGCTGAAGAAAGCATTCCCAGGCTCTTTACGTGTGCGCACCACCATGCCCCATCCCATCCCACCACTCCCCACCGCACCAGTTCCCCTACATGGACAGCCTCAGCACGGACTGCGGAGGCTTACCCCTGCCAGCATGGCGGAGGGAGATGTACGAAGCAGTGAGGCGGCTGAAAAAAGCATTCCCAGGGTCGTACCGAGATGAGTGGGTGGAGTGGGACCTGGTGGCTGCTGCACAAGAGGAGTTTGCGAGCTTGTTACAGGAGTTAGAAAGCACTACAGGCGATGGGGGCGATGTGTGACTCGTGTCAGCCTTGTGCTTCTCAGGGTGTTTTTGAGAATTCTCAAAAACACCCTCATCGCTCAATGTTGGCTCTGAAGGCGGCAACAAAGTAGTGAGGCGGCTGAAAGAGGCCTTCCGCGGGGCTGTACCGAGACAAGTGGGTGGAGTGGGACCTGGTCACTGCTGCTCATGGGGAGTTTGAGGGTTTGTTACGGGAGTTGCCACGCACTGCAGGCGACTTCTGACTGAGGCTATAAAGGAGGTGTCGTCCCCCGGTCGTATTGAGACGAGTGGGTGGAGTGGAACCTGGTGGCTGCTGGTCATGCAGAATTCGCAGACTTGTTACAGAGATTAGAGAGCAGCAGCAGATGTGATGGGGACGAGGTGTGATTGGAGTTCGGTAAGCGTTTTGCTTCCCATCTCACCACTTTTTCTTTAGAGACAGCTTCAGTGTTGTGTGCAAAGCTCAGTGTGTAAATTATATGATAGAACATCAGCCCAGCTCAGGAGGTGGAGCTCAGGTGTGCTCAGAATGTGGAGCGCAATAGTCTTTCAGGAACACACTAACGGTACATTCTTCGGAATGAGCGGTGGTGGGCAGGTAGGTACTAATACCGTATGATGAGTTATACACTATCATTCGCAACTGTCGTCTTGACAAACGTTGAATTGCTGGTGCTTGTTTGGAACTGGAAGCACAGTGAAGACCTACAGTGTAAATGAGATCACAAAGATTCTCGGGTATATTTATTAGAAATCGATGCACTGTAAACCATGAAATGAAGGGTCACCACCATCATCACAACCCCCTGTAATCCTTCACAAGATTAGTCACATCTCAGAATCAAGTGCACCCTGACACCTCCCCCTTCATTACAATCACACCCCCCTTCTCTGATGGCTTTCACCAAAGGTGGTTCCAGCTTTCCAGTAAGTATATCCAGCTCAAAAAGCGCCCCTTCCAGGTTAGCAAGCTGCCGCGAGTTTTGAGTCGACTCGACTCTAAGTTACAATCACACCTCGTCCTAATGGCTGGCTACACAGCTCGTTCCAGCTTCCCAGTGAATCTATCCAGCTCAACCACCACCCTACAGCAGCAGTTGAAGTTTTATTACAATCACAGCCCATCACCACTCCCACCACCACCCACTTCGTTACAGTCACACCCCCTCCCTAAGGGCTTTTGCCACGGCTCTTTCAAGCTTCCCAGTGAATCTATCCAGCTCAACAGCGACCCCTTCCAGCCACCATCCACCCACTTTGCTACAATCATACCCCCTCTCTGATAGCTTTTGCCACAGCTCTCTCCAGCTTCCCAGTGAATCTATCCAGCTCAACAACCACCCCTTCCAGGTCAGCAAGCTGCCGCTCCGCCTCCTCCGCCTCCGCCACTAGCTGCCGAAGCATTGCCGCCCGGGCTGCCAGCTGGCAGCGCACAAAGACACCCACGCCGACCGCCAGGTCAGCGAGCCGCTCGGCATCTGCTGATGCTTCCAGGTTTAGGTGGGTGAGACGCTGGTATGAAGGGGTGGTGTGGGCCTGTAGGGGGAGGGGAGGGGGAGAGATTGAGTAGGGAGAATGTGGAAAGCAGAATGAGAACATGAAAGGCCAGCGAGTCACTCGACATCTGTGGATGCTTCTAGGTTGAGGTGGGTGAGACGCTGTTATGAGGGGGTGGTGTGGGCCTGCGGGGAAAAGTTTGAAGAGGGAGAAAGAGCTCTAGGAGTTTGGGCATAAATTTGACCCAGCATTATGACAAGTGTCAATGCATCAACATCACCTGCCACGTCACCATCACCTGCCACGTCATCATCACCTGCCACGTCATCCTCACCTGCAATTCTCCTTCCACCACAAGCGAAAGCGCCGCCATCATCTCTGACAGAGGCTTAGACAGCGACTCGAGGCCATCCGCCTCGGCTTCTGAAGCGTCTCGAGCCTTGTTCGGGGATGCTATGATTGAACTAGACTGTTCATCTGAGAACCTAGGCTTCTCCACTGCTTTCTCTGCTGCGTCTGACTCGCTGTTGCCTTCCTCGTTTGCTGTACAGGCTGTGTTTCTCGCGTCGCGGCCCTCCGTCGGTTGGCCACGAGTGACAATTGCGATGCTTCTGGCCGCGGAATCTGAAGGAATAAGATTATGCGTTGGTTCAGTCGATACTCCGGAAGGCGTCGCTTGCGCCATTCGTTACAAGCACATCGGTAACCGATAGCTGCGTTTGGAGACCGGGTGAGCCTGTACCATCCTCCAAGACCTAAGAGGAGATATTACTACAGGTAACTAAAGCTCGAATGCGCATACGAAAAGAAGGAGGTGCTGGTGACGACGCGCCGTCGTGCGTTATGCGCAGTAGTGGCACGAAGAGAAGCTTCGTAGAACAATTCGCGAAGGGCTATACGATGCAATCACTGCGGTGTGATTTCGAAAATACAGTAACGCCGGCGACCGCGGAACCCGCGTCGCTTGTACAGACGAAGCTAACTCTTGGCGAAGTTAGGCAGAAGCTTCTCTGGCTATTGTAATTTCCTGGAGGCTCCGCTGTCGCAAGTTTCGTCAGTGTGACGAAGTGCAGTTACTGTTGTAACTTCGCTTACTTGCATCCGCATACTGTACTTGTCTTGTCAGCTGTCACCGTAAAAAACTTGGGAGAGCCAACACGCAACCAGGGTCCAAGTGGTCGGCGAGAAGGTTACCGTCTCGTCAAAAGTCGCATACCCTCGCCAGCGCTTTCTTCAGATTTCACCCCCAACTTCTGAATCTCGAACCTGTGTGGCACTGGCACGGCATCTCCGCTTTGATCAGACAGAAAATTAGTCATTCCTGATTCAGATTTCGCCTGCTTGAGATTCTTCAGGCGAGCAACTGGCTGCTCTAAAACGCGTCGACATTGCTGATTCAGAGTCAGGAAGCTTTATTTTCATGATTGCTCGGGCTAAATAGTCTTAGCACCAGATTTGCTTGCTTTGCCTAGCATCGCTGCGAAACTCAGGAGGTGATTCGCTAGCCCCTTCGGGCAAGCTTTCCGGGAGATTATGTTCGGCCGATAGTGGGGATCTGCAGGTTGCGAACTAGAGTTGACACGGCCTTATTTTTTCGTTTCCGTCGGGTACCGCTCGTCTTCGTTTATATCTTTAAAGCAAGAGAAGTCCTTCGACTCTCTAGCGGAATTGACATCTGATACGTGCAGTTGGAGAAGCTTATTGGGGGGGACAGAAAAGAAGAAGAAAAACAAGAAACAGAGGATTTTGTCATGGATTCGTACGTCCATCCGAACAATAGCTGGTTGCCGCCTGACGTGGCGGCACAGGCGGCGAGCGAGGAGCCTGGGAGGTTCCACGCTGTTGCCGAGGAGGTTCAGGCCGCGTGGAAACGCGGGAAAGAGCAAGGCCATGGCGGAGAGACTTTGAAATGGGTCTCCGTCGTCAACAGGTACTGTTTCGGTTTCACGCTGAGATAGTTCAGGATAAGCGGGAAGGAGCCGGGTCATGGCGGAGACACGGGTCGCAGACTTTTAAAGTGTTTTTTTCTGGTGGATTCATGTCGCACCGTGCCAGCAAGGGAGCTTCGCATATCTCGTTTGGTCGTCACTGAGTGATTTGATTTTGGTCAATCAGTGTTAAGTTAAGGATCAAATCTGGCAATCCGTGAATCTAGAGATTATGACGTAATTATGTCATTGTTGCGTTTTGAGGTGTTAGGAACTAGTACCGACAGCCAGCTTTGCATTCTGAGACATTGCACTCACTTCTAGCAGTCGCTTGTTACGTTTGAAGGCATTTGTGTTGAAGGAACTAGCAGTCGTTTGTGCTGAAAAAGTGCTGTAACAGTTACAGTACACCTCATCTCCTTTTTTGGGGTCCACATCCTGTTCCACCCGATTGTTGTAGCTTCGTGGCGTCCAAGTCTCGTCTGGAGGTCCCTGATCTGGAGCTTGTGTCAGAGACTGCCCTCGATATAATCACAAGCTGCCGTGGCCCTAGGGATCTCTTCATTCAGGTAGGCCTTCTCTCGTTCACCTTACAGTTCCTTCGTTTTTTTTTTTTTTAATACTGTCTGTCTCTCTTATTCTTCCTCTTCTGGTTACGTGAATTCGTTTTCTGGTAACGTTTCCAGCTAGCTTTTCTTCATTTTCCCTCTCTCCCCTCCCCTTGTTTTCGCTGTGGCTCAGATCCGTTGGTCTCAGTGCCTCTCCCGCATCCTGCGCAAGCACCGCTACTCGCTCTCCCTCTCCATTCCCTGGCGCCCGCTCTACTCCATCCTCGCTATACACCTCCCCTCTGCTCCGTACGTTACACCCCACCCCCCTGCTCCGTATGGTATACTCCTCTCCTTTGCACCACTCTCCCTCCCGTCACCCCCTCTCATTTTGCATGCATAATGCTCATGCTGCTTCAGAGTCACATGAATACCATAACTGAGCGCATAACTGAGCGAATTGGGCAGTCTAAGAGATGCGTTCTGGAGTGTCTTTCGCACACCAGAACCTAATTCCGAACCCTGAACCTTAAACCCAGTACTTCGAACCCTGACACCCTGTTCTGCTGCCATCAGAGGGTCCACCCCCCTGCCTGGGTACGTGGGAGCGGCGCTGCTGCAGATTCAAATCAACGCCATCACAGAGCTCGTCAGGCGAACCAGGCAGTCTTTCCCCTTATCTGCTTCCTGCTTGTACCCTAAACCCCAACCCCTCCATTGCCCACAGAGGGTCCAACCCCCTGCCTGGGTACGTGGGAGCGGCGCTGCTGCAGATTCACATCAACGCCATCACAGAGCTCATCAGGCGGGGGAGAAGGTTCTTCCCCCCCAACTCTGCTGCTGACATCTGGGCCTTCCTCAGGTGGGCCTCTTTGCTCTCAGGTGGGCCTCTGTTGCCCTCAGGTGGGCCTCGTTGCCCTCAGGTGCGCCTCTATTGCCCTCAGGTGCGCCTCTGTTGCCCCCAGACGCGCCTCTGTTGTCCTCAGGTGCGCCTCTGTTGCTCTCAGGTGCTTCCAGGAACGTTTCAGCTGGTTCTAGTCAATGATGTTTGGTGCTCCTTTAGGGAAATTTTTTATTCTGTTACGTTTTATTGGTACCCACCCACCACCATTATACCATCATCTGCAAATTTGTTGCGATGTGTTACATGTCTGTGCCTTGTATTATCACATCTCTCCTCCCTGCCTCCCTCCCACCCACTTGTACACCAAAGCCCCCCTTCTCCCACCCCTGCGCCCCTTCCACTTCCCACGTCCTCTCCTCTCTCCCCCACAACCCCTTTGTTCCCTTCCTTCCCGCTTCCCCTTCCACCCTCCTCTCTTCCCCCCTCAGGCCACAATTCGCTGACGTCAGCAGCAATGATGCTCTGGAGGCGGCGGCTCTGCTAAATCTTCTGCTGCCAACCATGTGCCGCCACGTGGCACCAGGCGAGGATGATGCCTCTGCTGAATGGAGGTGAGGCTTAGGGGTGTGGCATTGCAGTGCAGTGTGTGAGGCAGATGAATTGGGTTTTTTTGTTTTTTTCCTTTCTTTCTTTCACACTGCTTTGTTACTCTGTTGCTTAATTTTTTCCTTTTATCTCCCTCTTCTTGTTTTACTGATTATCCCTGCTGCAGTGTCTGGGTGCCGGAGTGGCTTTCATTGTGGTCCTCTATTCCCCACTGCACCTTCTGGGACGCTCAGTGGATCTCTCTCCTCGCACGCTTAGCTAAGCACCAGCAGCTACGCCACCAGCACCAAGCCACCTCCTCCTCCCCACCTCCTCCCTCCTCCTCTCCCTCCTCTCCCGCTTCCCATCCTCTCTCCCTCTGGTCTCCTCACCTTCCTTTCCTTTTCCAGAAGATTCTCGAGTCTTTCTCCCTCCCCATCGGCCAATCCCCGTCCGCCACGTCAGCGCAACTTGAGCGCCCCGTCTCTCCAGCATGCGCGCGTGTCTTCCTATCACTGCTTGACAGGTGGCAGCAGCGCAGAGTGCCGCACCAGCAGCAGGTGGTTCGGGCTGTAGCTGGCGCCAAGCTCGTTGTCTGGCTGCTGGCAAACCCCGAACCTGCCGCCCATGGTTTGGATGCCGAACCTCCTGCTTCGGGCTCGGACCGAGCCATGGAGATGCAGGGAGGAGCGGCGTCGGTGCTGCGGCTGTTTGATAAGCTATCGAACGATCTGGAGCAGTTCTTTCATCCATCCAACGGTGGAGAATGGACAGGGCTGCTGGAGAAGATGATTCACTCTGCTACTTACCACCTCATGAAGAGAATCGCAGCAGAGAAGAAGATTCTCGGTGACAGGTGAGTCAGTGCAGGGAGTGTGAGAGTTAAGCGACTTCCTTTCACTTGTTGAGTGGGGGGCACAGGGGTAGCGGGGGAGGAGGGATTGGGCTGCTGGAAAAGATGCTGCATTCGGCTACATGCCACCTGATGAAGAAAATTTCTGCAGAGAAGAAGATTCTTCTGGTGAGTGAGTGACAGGCGAGTGAGAAGCCTGAGCGAAGGGCGATCTTCTTTCGTCTCCCGAAGAGAATCGCTGCATAGGAGAAATCTCATGGTGACGGGTAAGTGAGTGCAGGGAGGTTGTGTGCTCACTATGAATCATGGTGACAGTCGAGTCTCACCATCACTGCATTTATCCGTCTGATCACCCGGCTCATCCACAACCGCGCTCTCTTCAGCAAGAGCCCCACCCTCTCTGCCGTCGCCCCCCTCCCTCCCTCTGACCCCTTGCCGAGGCAGGTACCCCTCAGGTTCCTCTGCAGCTCTGTCCCCTGTCCCCTGCTACGACCATTGCATTCATCCGTCTGATCACCCGTCTCATCCACAACCGAGCTCTCTTCAGCAAGAGCCCCAACCCTTGCCTCCCGTCCTACCATGCTACTCGTCCCATCCCACGCACCTGCTACCCCTCGCAGGTACCCCTCGGGTGCTCCTTTTTCCCTGTCCCCTGCTACGACCACTGCCTTCATCCGTCTGCTCACCCGTCTCATTCACAACCGCGCTCTCTTCAGCAAGAGCCCCACCCTCTCTGCCGTCGCCTCCCGCGTGGCTTCCTCCCTGTCCTACCTGGCGCCACGTGTCACTCTGCCAGTGGTCCTGGAGAGCTTCCAGGGTGCGCTGACCACTGTGAGTAGCATCTCCTTAGTTCCTCCCTGCACCTCTCTCTTTGTACCGCCCTATGCCTCTCTGTACCTCTCTGTACCGCTCTGTACCTCTTTGTACCTCTCTGGAGATCTTGCGACCCTCACCCTCTTGCTTTCACCGTTGCCCGTGCTCTCCCTTTGTCACACCGTCTCCGTATCCTCTTCGCTTCGCTCCTTCCTTCCCCCCCCTCACCGAAACCACCATCAGGTCACGGCAACACACCAGCTCGAGTCCGCCCTCTCCACCCTCGCCTGTCATAGCTGCCCTTTTTCTCCCTTTCCCAAACCCTCTCTGCTCCTTCCTTTCTCCCCCTCACCGAAACCACCATCAGGTCACAGCAACACACCAGCTCGAGTCCGCCCTCTCGACCCTCGCGCTCTCCGTGCGCCCCTTGCTGCTCGCTGCTGCTCAAACCCTCACAGACCAAGACTCTACACTTGACTCTATGGAGGTGGATGGATCAGGAGCGGTGGGGGCTGGGGAGGGTGGTGGCATGGACACGTGGCAGGAGATGATTGGGCGGGCGAGGGAGGTGGTGTCTGAAGCGCTGGTGGCGACGCTCCCTGGAATTGATGCCAACGACCCTCCCAAGACGCTCGCCACTCTGCACCTCTACCTCTCTGTCTTCTCTTCCGTACGTATCCTGGGGTGTGTGTACGTGTGTTGGGCGGGCGAGGGGGGTGGCGTCTGAAGTGCTTGTGGCGACTCTCCCTGGGATTGACGCCAATGACTTGCCCAAAATGCTCTCCACCCTGCACCTCTACCTCTCGGTCTTCTCCTTCGTAAATATCTTGGGCTGTGCATATTTTGGGATGTATCATATATTTCGATGTTTTTTAGCATGTGTCTGATATGCTGCCTTATGAACTGATAGTTGTGCTCTATTGAAAAAACGAAACTATATTCCCCTTCCTCATGCCACGCGCTTCCCTCTCCTCTTTCATCTTGCCTGTGCGTTTCTCTGCTCTACTGCTCCTCAGATTGGTCCAATTGGGGACGAGGAAAGCCCGTTCTCGCTCTCCATTGATTGGTCCACGTGGCTGGAGGACTTTCTCTCCCGCCTCTTCTCCCTGTTCTCTCACTTGGAGAGTGCTGCTCCCACTGCTACTGTGGCGAGCGCTGCTGCAGGCACTGAGAGGTGAGCAATTCTATAGGTGTAGCTATCAGGCTTCTACCTTTTTCAGCCTCCTCTCCTGCCTCTTCTCCCTCTTCTCTCACCTGGAGAGTGTTGCTCCCACTGCTACAGTGGCGGGCGCTGCAGCAGGCACTGAGAGGTGAGAAGTTATGCTGTAACCGCATTCCTCTCGTGTGTAACCATCGGAACCGTGGACTCCAGGGTCACTGATCGAAAATAAGAGATGACAGGGCGAAAGATTGAGATTCATTGGTAGCGTGTCGTGAAAGATTGAGCGAGCAATGACTCTCAACCGTCGCCGTCTTATCCCACGCCAAAAGACTCGCCATCCCATCATGGTGACTGTGATGATCTCATCATCTCATCATCCTGGTCACCATGATGGGATGGCGTCTCCCATGCCCCCCTCGCCCTCTCTCATGCCCCCCCTCGCCCTCTCCCGCTCACTCCCCTCCCTCCTCTCCCGCTCACTCCCCTCCCTCCTCTACTCTCTATCCGGCAGGTCTTTCCTAATGAAGGAGGCGGAGGGAGCAACCTTCCGCTCCACCGTCAGCACTCTCTTCGCGCGCCCACAGCCTTCTCCTTGCATCCCCGCGTTTCCCTTGCCCCTCTCCTTCTGTTCCCTCTTCTCTCACCCGCGCAGGTCTTTCCTAATGAAGGAGGCGGAGGGATCAACCTTCCGCTCCACCGTCAGCACTCTCTTCGCCCGCCTCTCTCCTCCTCTCCTCAATCAGGTAACTCTCCAGTTTCTCATTCTTTTCCTTCATTCGCTTCCTTACTATCCTCTCACTCACTTCCTTTCTCGCCTCCCACTCGTCCGGCACAGTGCTGGCAGCAGCGCTGGCCTATGCTGCACCCGATTCTTTTTGAGAATTCTCAAAAGTAACATCAACATTTCTCGCCTCCCACTCGTCCGGCACAGTGCTGGCAGCAGCGCTGTCCTATGCTGCGCCCGATTCCTCCTCTAGCCTCTCCTCCTCTCTTGTCCCTTCTCCAATCAATCCCCACTCTGTGTGTTTTTCCCTCCAGGTGCTCTCAAGGGTGGAGCGCTATGTCTCCGGCACGGTGGTCCGCGGGTGTGAGGGGGAGATCGGCACAGTGGTGGTAGCGCTGCATAAATGTTGCTCTTGCGGCCAAATAGCATGAAATTGCTCTTTCCTCATTCTGCCCTGTGCGCCAAACAGGTGCTCTCAAGGGTGGAGCGCTACGTATCCGGTTCTGTCATCTGCGGGTACGAGGAGGAGACTGGAACAGTGGCAGCAGCGCTGGCCTATGCTGCTCCCGAGCCCTTATAGTATGGGATACCTTTCCCCCATTCCTTTCCTGACCACCCAACAGGTCATCTCAAGGGTGGAGCGCTATGTATCCAGCTCTGTCGTCCGCGGGTGTGAGGAGGAGATCGGCACAGTGGTGGCAGCGCTGGCCTATGCTGCTCCTGATGCCTTACAGTATGAAATTGCGATTGCTCGTTCCCTTTTCTGCCCTGCGAGCCAAACGGGTGCTCTCAAGGGTGGAGCGCTATGTGTCCAGCTCTGTCGTCCGCGGGTGTGAGGAGGAGATCGGCACACTCGTGGCAGCGTTGGCGTATGCTGCTCCTGATGCATTTTACTAAGGATTTGCTCCTCCCTCTGCTTTTCCTGACCACCCAACAGGTCATCTCAAGGGTGGAGCGCTATGTGTCCAGCTCTGTCATCCGCGGGTGTGAGGAGGAGATCGGCACACTCGTGGCAGCGTTGGCGTATGCTGCTCCTGATGCCTTTTACTAAGGATTTGCTCCTCCCTCTGCTTTTCCTGACCACCCAACAGGTCATCTCAAGGGTGGAGCGCTATGTGTCCAGCTCTGTCGTCCGCGGGTGTGAGGAGGAGATCGGCACACTCGTGGCAGCTCTGGCCTATGCTGCTCCTGAGGCCACCTGCACTCGGATCCTTGCCGGAGTCATGGATTCTGCCATGTCCCTCCTCCAATCGCTGCTTGCCACGTCATTCCTGGGGCTTGCTGAGTCTCCTGCTGCTGCTGCGGATGCAGGGGAGGCACTGAAAGTGAGTGGTAGAGTGGGGCGTCGAGCGGTGAAGAGCGGTGAGGACGAGCAGTAAAGAAAAGAGCAGTAATGGTTGCCTGCGTAATATTTCCTTTCACATCTCTGTGACTTTTAGCCCCAGTTCATGCGTTTCCCTACCATCTCCATCATCGTGTTGCAGGGTTTTTTTGAGGATTCTCAAAAACATCCTGCAACATCATGAGTTTCCCCACCATCTCCATTATCTCACTTTCCTTATTGCCGTCTGCCGACCTTCCCTTCCCCTGTTGCTCCCGCCCGCGCAGCTGCCAGCCAATCAGCTGTCGACAACTCAGGAGGCCACTGTTCTCTTCCACATGCATCTCGTCAGCAACGCTGTCCCCTTTAGTGGCTCTGCTTTGATAGCACATAAAAACCGCCTCATCGCGCTTATCGATGCGGCCTTCTCATCCACGTCCCAGAAGGTGTGTTTTGCAACATTGTTCCGTAAATTCCTGAAAATCGTATCGCTAAAACACAATGCATGCAGCAGCCACATTTTCGTTTCATCAAAGCGGCTAATAAAGATTCCGTTAATTTGTGCTTACTCAGTATCACCCCCTCCTTCTCCCTGGTTACCCTCCCTCACAGGTGGTTGACTCAGCAGCGGATCTGCTTCAGAAGTTCCTGTTCGCGCTCATCTTCTATTACCCCTTGAATGAATACACGTAAGTTCAACTTTCAGCGAGCTGACTTTTGAGTCAACTCAAAAGTTCCTGCTCGTGCTCGTCTTCTATTACCCCTTGAATGAATACACGTAAGTTTAACTTTCAGCGAGCTGACTTTTGAGTCGACTCAAAAGTTCCTGTTCGCGCTCGTCTTCTATTACCCCTTGAATGAATACACGTAAGTTTAACTTTTGAGTCGACTCAAAAGTCAGTTCCTGTTCGCGCTCGTCTTCTCTTACCTCTTGAATAAATACATGCAAGTTTAACTTTTGAGTCGACTCAAAAGTCAGTTCCTGTTCGCGCTCGTCTTCTCTTACCCCTTGAATAAATACACGTAAGTTCACGTGAGCTTAAGAGCACGCTCTCTATCTCTCCACTCTGCTGTATTCCTTCTTGCTGATTCTTGTTCTGTAAGCACCTTATGGTTAAGACATTTTCCCACATTGTTCTTGTCCCTGCGCGCTGGTTGGATGGCCGTACTTATGCTGTCTCCCTCCTGTCTCTCCACAGTTTCTTGGGCTGGGAAGATTCAGCTCCAGGGGTTGAGAGGTGGTTTTCCAAACAAGCAGCATCAGCAACAGCAGCAGCGGCGCCTCCAATAGCAGCAGGACAAGTGGCAGCAGCAGGAGCTCTCCAGTGGCACGTGCCATCCACAGAAGAGACAACACTTGCCACCCAGCTTATTGACAAGTACCTGGGCGGCGCGTTGAGGGACATCCGGTGGTTGCGCACAAGGCCTGCCACGTCAGCATCAGCCAGCTCAGCAGCAGTTGGAGGTGAGCTGTGTTGGTTGTACCGAAGGGGAATTTTAAACCTCTGTCTTTAAACCGTTGCCACTCAAAAATCAAGTGCATGCACCGCACCACTCTCTCCCCCCTCAGTCCTTTCGTGTGTCGTGTTTTGAGTCGATCCAAAGCACAAATCTAGTGCATGCACCACTTCCCCCCCCTCAGTCCTTTCGTGTATCGTGTTTTGAGTCGTCGATTCAAAACACAAGTCAAGTTCATGCACCGCACCACTCTCTCCCCCCTCAGTCCTTTCGTGTGTCGTGTTTTGAGTCGATTCAAAGCACAAATTTAGTGCATGCACTACTTTCTCCCCCCTCAGTCCTTTCGTATGTCTCCTGCCTCCCTCGCCTCAACCCCTTCTCACTCCCCCTCACCGTTCCTTCATATATTTCTTCCCTAAACCCTTTTTGCCTTTTACATTTCTTTTCCGCCCCCACATGTGGTTCTCCTTCCTCCAGCCGAACTTGCCTCTGGGCCGTTTTCTCCCTTTTTCCCTTATGCATGTCTCCACCCCCCCACCCCAATTTTCCCCGCTGCCCCAATCGTCCCCCCCATCCCTCTTTGCGTGCATCTCCTCCCTCCCACCAGCCAAACTGGCCTGGCGAGTGGCCCTTCGCCGCCTCTGGGCCGTTTTCTCCGGCACCCGAACCAACCTCCCGGACCTGACCACCAGGTTCGGGACCCAAGCCTCCGGCGCACCCAGCGACGCCATGTCACCAGGCACCCCTCTAGCAGTGGTGGGACGGTCGGGAGTGACTATAGGCGATGTTACTATGCGCGAGGAAGCTTCTGGGGAGCTTCATGAGGCGTGTGTGTGGCTGGTGAGGCGGCAGAGGGACGACACTCAGACGCTGGCGCTGCTGGCGGAAGTGGAAGGGCTGTTGTTGAACCCAGGTGAGGGGGGGGGGGGTGAAACCCATACATACAGGGAACTGCCTGTATGGCGACAGAGGGATGACACTCAGACGCTGACGCTGTTGGCAGAAGTGGAAGGGCTGTTGTTGAACCCAGGTGAGGGGAGTGGGTGTGGCACGCATACATACAGGGAACTGCCTGTGAGGCAGAGGGATGACACTCAGACGCTCACACTGCTGGCTGAAGTGGAAGGGTTGCTGCTGAACCCAGGTGAGGGGATGATTGTTGTGGGACATGCACACCTCACAGAGAGGTGGAAGGGACATGCACACCTCACAGAGAGGTGGAAGGGACATGCACACCTCACAGAGAGCTGCCTCTATAAATGATGTTCTATGAGGCGCTTGAGTGTTGGCGGGTGGTAAGGCAGAGGGATCACACTCAGACGCTCATGCTGCTGGCAGAAGTGGAAGGGTTGCTGCTGAACCCAGGTGAGGGGGGTGATCGAGCAGTAGGAATGTGCTAGGTTCATGTATGGTTGTTTTTTTGAGACGTCTAAAAAGGTTGTTTGTGAGGCGTGTGTGAGGCGACAGAGGGATGATACTCAGACGCTCACGCTGCTTGCTGAAGTGCAAGGGCTGTTGTTAAACCCAGGTAAGAGGGAGGGGTTGCTGTGGCACATAAACCCACACAGAGATGCCTATGTGAGGAATGTGAGTGTTGCTATGAAGGCTGCTGCTGCTTGCAGAAGCAGAACAGTAGCAGAGCCTATGGGATGTGCTGGTCGGGTTTTACTTTTTGTTTATATCGTCATATCCCCCTTGCTGCCCTCGTGCATTGTCCCAGGCACACTTGAGTACTCCGACTCTCTGCATGGGCTCAGGGTGGTGGAGCAAAGCAAAGCAGTAGGCGGGGCACCTGTAGCTCCTCAAAAATCTGTAAACCCCATGTCTCCATAAAATCGACTTCCTGTCACCCCACTCTTCCCTCGCCCCAGGCACACTTGAGTACTCAGACTCTCTGCACGGGCTCAGGGTGGTGAAGCAGCAAGCAGGGCTGCTATCAGAACCTAAAGGGTCGCCTTGGATGAAACCTGGAGAGACGAGGAGGAGGTGAGGGAGGGCAGGGTTTGAGAGGGGACGAGGGTGGGATAGAACTGTCTGTGCGAGGGTGTTGAAGCAGCAGGCGGGGCTGCTATCAGAGCCCAAGGGGTCGCCGTGGATGAAGGCTGGGGAGACGAGGAGAAGGTGAGTAGGGGCAGGGTTTGAGAGGGGACGGGGGTGGGATAGAACTGTCTGTGCGAGGGTGGTGAAGCAGCAGGCAGGGCTGCTATCAGAGCCCAAGGGGTCGCCGTGGATGAAGGCTGGGGAGATTAGGAGAAGGTGAGTAGGGGCAGGGTTTGAGAGGGGACGAGGGTGGGATAGAACTGTCTGTGCGAGGGTGGTGAAGCAGCAGGCAGGGCTGCTATCAGAGCCCAAGGGGTCGCCGTGGATGAAGGCTGGGGAGACGAGGAGAAGGTGAGTAGGGGCAGGGTTTGAGGGGACGAGGGTGGGATAGAACTGTCCGTGTGAGGGTGGTGAAGCAGCAGGCGGGGCTGCTATCAGAGCCCAAGGGGTCGCCGTGGATGAAACCTGGAGAGACCAGGAGGAGGTGAGTGGGAGGGGGAGTGGGGAGGAGGGTGGAATGGACCGGGTAGTGTGGGAACGAGTAGCAGCAGACGGAGCGGCTGCTGTCAGAGCCCAAGGGGTTACCATGGATGCAGGCAGAGAAGACCAGGAGGAGGTGAGTGAGGGCAGGTGTAAGGGTGGGATGGTTGAGCAGGGGTGTGTGAGGAAGAGGAGCAGCCAGCGGGGCTGCTGTCAGAGCCCAAGGGGTTACCATGGATGCAGGCAGGGGAGATCAGGAGGAAGTGTGCACTGAGCGCCTTGACTCCCTTTTCCCCTGTTCTTCTTCCCGCTTCCCCTTTCCTTCCCTCCCCCCCTCAGGCCGCCGTGGGTGCTGGCAGAGCTGGCATACGAGCATCTCCTCTGGAGGGCCTCTCAGGCGCACTTCAAGACAATCTACGCCGGCCAGCGCCGCCCACTGCCCCTCCCTAGGGCGGTGAAGGTGCTGCTGGGAGATCTGCTGCTGCTGTCGGTGCACCGATATGCGTCCGTGCAGGGGTGAGTTGGTTGGGGGGGAAGGGGAGAAATGGGAGGGAAGGAAAAGGTAGAAGCAGAAGTATGCTGATTGAAGGTGTTGCTGAGAAATCTGCTGCTGCTGTCAGTGCACCGATATGCGTCCGTGCAGGGGTGAGTTGAGTTGAGGGTGCTTCAAAAAGAGGGCTTGGGGTTGCGGCCTGCAAGTGCGGCTGGGAAGGGTGGGGAGATCTATTGCTGCTACAGTGAAGTCAGCACCGTCAGTCAGCACCGTCAGTCAGCACCTTGACCCCTTTTACCCTTTCATTCTTATACTAATCAATCACTCATCACATTGATGGTCTTCACCCCTCCACCATCACCCCTCCACCATCACCCCTCCACCATCACCCCTCCACCATCACCCCTCCACCATCACCCCTCCACCATCACCCCTCCACCATCACCCCTCCACCATCACCCCTCCACCATCACCCCTCCACCATCACCCCTCCACCATCACCCTCCACCATCACCCCTCCACCATCACCCCTCCACCATCACCCTCCACCATCACCCCTCCACCATCACCCCTCCACCATCACCCCTCCACCATCACCCCTCCACCATCACCCCTCCACCATCACCCCTCCACCATCACCCCTCCACCATCACCCCTCCACCATCACCCCTCCACCATCACCCCTCCACCATCACCCCTCCACCATCACCCCTCCACCATCACCCCTCCACCATCACCCCTCCACCATCACCCCTCCACCATCACCCCTCCACCATCACCCCTCCACCATCACCCCTCCACCATCACCCCTCCACCATCACCCCTCCACCATCACCCCTCCACCATCACCCCTCCACCATCACCCCTCCACCATCACCCCTCCACCATCACCCCTCCACCATCACCCCTCCACCATCACCCCTCCACCATCACCCCTCCACCATCACCCCTCCACCATCACCCCTCCACCATCACCCCTCCACCATCACCCCTCCACCATCACCCCTCCACCATCACCCCTCCACCATCACCCCTCCACCATCACCCCTCCACCATCACCCCTCCACCATCACCCCTCCACCATCACCCTCCACCATCACCCCTCCACCATCACCCCTCCACCATCACCCCTCCACCATCACCCCTCCACCATCACCCCTCCACCATCACCCCTCCACCATCACCCCTCCACCATCACCCCTCCACCATCACCCCTCCACCATCACCCCTCCACCATCACCCCTCCACCATCACCCCTCCACCATCACCCCTCCACCATCACCCCTCCACCATCACCCCTCCACCATCACCCCTCCACCATCACCCCTCCACCATCACCCCTAATCCCCTCAACCCTGTTTCCCCCCATCCAACCTTGCACCAAAATTTCTATACCCTAAGCACCACCTCCCAGCGTCGGCCATGCCAGCTATTGCTGCTTCTCCGTCCCCTTTCCAAATGTCATCTCTTTCCTCATGGCAATCTTTCCCGCTCTCCCCACCTCCCAGTGTTGCGCGTGCCAGCCTGGAGCTCCTTCTCAAGCGCTTCCCGCCAGCTGTCGACACGGCATTGCGCCAGCTGGCGCCGTGTGTGGCTGGGGAGGCAGGCGCAGTGGCAAGGCTGCTCAGGATGGGGAAGAGTGCTGGCAGCAACGGTGGTGATGGCAATGGTGACCGAGAGAAGCAAGAGAGTGAGGAAGAGAAGGTGGAGGAGATGAAAACGGCAGAGGAGGGAGAGGAAGTGGAGGAGAAGGAGGACAGGGAGGAGGCAGCAGTGGGGGCCTGCCAGGTGTTCGTGAGCCGGCCGATCATGCGCAAGATCGCTTACGACTGGCGGGCTTTGGCTCCTTTCCTCTCTGCACTCCTGGCCTCGTGAGCTACCCTCCTTGCAACCACTTGTGCCTTCTCCCGACGTCCAGACTCCAGCTGCTGCAACTTTCTCTTAGCTTGGGTTTTGTTTTTCTTCTTCTTTACTTTTAACAGTTGTATCGACTTTCTGAAGGCTCTAGCTCCACATACCCTCTCTTTCTGCTCTCTCTTGCACTCGTGCATTCCCTCCCCCCCTTCACCACCAATCATTCTCCCCTTGTGCACCCACCCCAGGCACTCCATTGATTCTCTCAAGGCTCTTAACGCCATCAACCAGGTAAGAAGAGACCACAACCGCATTGTGAACTCAGTGTTTCATCTTCACAGTCACTTCGCTTGAGCGCCTCATTAGTATAGCTTTGGCGTGTCTTGCCATGGCACGTTGTCCTGATTCATATACATCTTTGTGTATACCTTTTTTTTTTTTTACCTAGAATACTGCTGGAGCAAAACCCACGGTCCTGTTTCTGAAGGAGCATGCCCACCGGATTTGCAAGCTGTAGAAATCAACGCTACCAATCGTGTCGTTTGTCAATGAGCTGCCTGTGCCTCTCCCATTTGATGACGCCATGTTTTGAGGCGGCCCAAAACCCGTCTTTGTCAAATCCCCCCCCCGTGCATCCCCTCCCTCCCTCCATCAGCTCTTCATCGCGTTTGTCTCTCGCTTCGCTGGAGTGAACCCGGTTCGGCCCCGCCGGGTGCCTGCTATGGGAGAGGAGCAAGGTCAAGTGGAGCAGACTGAGGGGGAGGAGAGTGGGTGGGAGAGCGGGTGGGAGTCTAGTGGTGGTAATGGTGACGTCGCTTCTCAAGCACAGGGAGCTCTCGCGCTCCTCTGGACCATCGCTGCTCCTGCTGCTGCTGCTAATGTTCCCGCCGCTGCTGCTACTGGTGGTGCGAGTGCAGCAACTGCTACTGCTGCTGATGGTAGTGCAATTGCCTCTGCAGCCACGCACTGGAGGTGCGTTTTCCTTGCACCCCCCCCCCCCTTCCTCCCCCCGTCATCCTCTTTTTCCTCCTTTTTCTTCCACTTGTAAGACGTCTCTTTTCATTCTTTTTCTTTTTTGAAATAGTTAATGTGATCTCAATTACGCTGCCTCCCACTGATGGGAAGTGGTGAGCGAGCTTTACTATACCCTTTACCTCGCTCACCACTTCCCATCCCTCTACAACCCTCACCTGTCCCCTCCTGGTGCACCCTGCTCCCGTCCCCTCCTGGTGCATTACTCATCGAACCCTCCTCTCTCTCCCAGATACTCTCTCATAGCCAATGCGCTGCTCATTAGCACCTTTCTCACCCCCCTGCACCCCCCACCTTTTCCCTCGCCCCTTGCCCGTTCCCTCCCCGTGCATTCTTCCTCTTACGATCCGCTATTCCAGATACGCTATTCTCTTTCTCAGCCATGAGACTGGGCGAGCTGCAGCTAAGGAGAATTCTTACGATCCTCTATTCCAGATACGCTATTCTCTTTCTCATGGCCAATGCACTGCTCGCCCTCCTCTCCTGAGGCGCCTCAAAACTCCCCAGCCAACCTTCCTGTCTCCCTCCTCTCCCCCTCCCTCTCTCCCAGGTACGCTCTCATGGCCAATGCACTACTCGCCCTCCTCTCCTCCTCCGTCCCCTCCACCTCACCTCCTCCACTTACTCCTCCTCCTCTTCCACAACAGCAGACCCCATACCTGCCTCTGCATTACCTGAGCCTCCTTGCTGGCCCTCTCCCTCTCCTCCGCCCTCTCGCCACCTCCGCGCTTCTCCTCCTCCTCCCCCCTTCCCTCCAAACTCCCCTCCTCGCCTCTCTCCCTTCATCCTCCCCACTTCCTCCTCCTCCTCCTCTTCCCCTCCAATCTCTTGCGCTCTCCTCCTCACTCACTCCTCCTCCCCTCCCTCTCTCCCTCCTCACATCTCCCTCCTTCCTCTCCTCCCTCACTTCCCATCTCTCACTCGACCATCAATCCGGAGATCTCCCTTCAGGGGCAAACGGGCGGGGGAGGGGCAGGGGCGGCGGGGGAAGGCTAGCGGGTCTATTTGGCGGAGGGGGAGGGGGGAATGGGGCGGGCGGGGGCGACAATCCTGGAGCTACAGTATCCGCACTGTTCAGCGCGGGGCTTGGAGCGTCTGCCACGTCAGCGCTGCTCTCAGATTGGCCGAGGAGCAGGTCCCGGGGGTTGGTGCCGTCCTGTCCGCAGTCGTCCTCATTTGTGGTGGCGAATGCGATGCTCTTTGAGCTGCTCGTGCAAGCTTGTGCTGCTGCTGGTGCTGCTGCTGCTGCTGGTGCTGCTGCTGCTGCTGGTGCTGCTGCTGGTGCTGCTGCTGCTACTGCTGCTGCTGCTGGTGCTGGCGCTGCTGCCGATTCCCCTGCAGCTGCAGACGCTGCTACTGATAGTAACGCATCTGGCGCCGCACCTGGCAGCACAGCAGCAGTGACAGCCTTCCTGCACGCACTCCACCCATGCCTGCAAGACCTGGTATCCAAAGAGACTGACAAGGGAGCACAGAGCGCAGCAGCAGAGATCACCGCAGGCCTCCTTGCCTCTGCACACCCTGGTGTGCTGCACGCCTGGTGTGCCGAGCCTGAGCCAGAGGTACTGGCCGAGGCTGAGAACCAGGTTCGGGCCAGGGCGGAAGCAGAGGCTCCTCTTGGTTCTGACTCTTCCTCACCGTCGCTGAATCCTCCCGCTCCTGGTTGGTTGGCTCGTCTGTTCCACCAAGCCATTCTGCATTGCTCCGTGGAATCTCAAACCGACTGGGCCACATGTGTGAGATATGTCTTGACTAGGAGGAGACAGGATGTGAGTGGTAAGGAATTTGGGGCAGAGGAATTGGACGGGGGAGGGGATGGACGAAGGGGAGGAGGAGGGGGAGTGAGGGGCAGGATTCAGCGGCTCGTGCGGGAGAAGCTTCTGGAGAAGCTTCCGGGAAATGCGGCATCGGGTCAGCAGGCGAAACGTCTGATGCTGCTGGTGGTGGCGGTAGGGGAGATGGGGCAAGGGGAGGGAAGGTCTGAGCCTGGAAGTAAGGAGCAGCAGAAGGAAGCTGAGGAGGAATTGGATTTCCTTGTGAGATTGGCAGATGAAGCTAAGGGGCTGATGACGCATAGCGCGAGACAGGTTCGTCAGCTTCTGGGGGAGGTGTTATCTGCTCTTCTGGCTGCACTCAGCACTAGATTCGCTGGTTCGGCCTCTTCCTCCTCTTCCGTGTCTGCTGCTGCGACTGCCAGCCTGTCGAATCATATCTTGGCAGAAGCTGCCAAAGCTGCTACAGTGATCAAGTCCATGGGAAGCAGCACCGAGCAGCAGAAAGAGACAAAGGAGGGTTCGAAGAAACAAGAGGGGGAGATGGAAGGGGTGGTGGAGGGGAAGGAGGGAGGGGATGAGGAGAGCAGTGAAGCAGGGAGGGAGGGATCTGAAGAGGACAAGAGCGTGTGGACAATGGAATCGGTGAGTGCTTTCCCCGTAAAAAACCCATGTTTTTAGAATCGGTTTTAGGCAATTTCCGTATTGTTCTATATCATGCAAAGGATGAGGGCCTACTTTTTTTATGGGGAGGACAGGAGTGTGGGTTGTTTGCCAGAATTCTGAAAATCAACCTACATTTTTAGCAAACGCGACGCATGTGCTTGCGTATAGGTGCATTATAGAATTCATCTGTGAGGGCAGCCTCCTTGGATCAATGTTCATCTGTGAGCCTCAAAAGCCTCTATCACAACGCATGTGCTTTTGAGTCGACTCAAAAGCCTCTATCACAACGCATGTGCTTTTGAGTCGACTCAAAAGCCTCTATCACAACGCATGTGCTTTTGAGTCGACTCAAAAGCCTCTATCACAACGCATGTGCTTTTGAGTCGACTCAAAAGCCTCTATCACAACGCATGTGCTTTTGAGTCGACTCAAAAGCCTCTATCACAACGCATGTGCTTTTGAGTCGACTCAAAAGCCTCTATCACAACGCATGTGCTTTTGAGTCGACTCAAAAGCCTCTATCACAACGCATGTGCTTTTGAGTCGACTCAAAAGCCTCTATCACAACGCATGTGCTTTTGAGTCGACTCAAAAGCCTCTATCACAACGCATGTGCTTTTGAGTCGACTCAAAAGCCTCTATCACAACGCATGTGCTTTTGAGTCGACTCAAAAGCCTCTATCACAACGCATGTGCTTTTGAGTCGACTCAAAAGCCTCTATCACAACGCATGTGCTTTTGAGTCGACTCAAAAGCCTCTATCACAACGCATGTGCTTGGTTTCGAATAACTTCTGGCTAAACTTCAACGCCCGCCTCCCGCCCACGTTTCTTTACTCGAATTGTAACTTCCTAACCCCTCCTAACCCCTCTTCGCCCCTGCAGATTCTCTTCTTCCTCATGTCCGCTGTGAAGTCAGGAGACGCCCCTCCGTTGTTTTTCCTCTATTCACTCTTATAACAACCTCCCAACTCCTCCCCACCCCTCCCAACCCTTTTCACCCCCTCAGATTCTCTACTTCATCATGTCTGCTGTCAAGTCGGGAGACGCTCCTCCATTCCTCCCAACGATCGTCGCTCTGCTGCCACCTCTGCTCTCCATCCAGGTACGCTTGTTGGGCAGTGTTCCTCACGTTGATGTGTGCTTCTCATGAGCCCACTGCTCGCCAAGGCCAAGCACTACCTTGCCTACGCCAAGTACCTGCTTTTCAGGCGCCTCAAAAATAGATTCCTCATGTCTGTTGTCAAGTCTGTTTTTGAGGCGCCTCAAAATTAGTTTCCTCATGTCTGTCGTCAAGTCCATTTCTGAGGCGCCTCAAAAATGTGTTCCTCCTGTGAGCTCACTGCTCGCCAAGCTATGCCTTGCCTACACCTAGTATCTGCCCCTCCCTGCAATCACCATACCTGGAGTCGACAACTTTCTGTGCCTTTTCCACCTCAACCTGCCTCTCATTCCACCTCTCATTGTCCTTCCCTTTTCTCAGGAAACCCCCAACACGGACCTTTCTCTCCTCGCCAAGCAATGTCTCGCCTACACCAAGTACCTGCCCCTCCCTGCAACCGCCGTGCCAGCAGCAGCAGCGGCGGTGCAGGCAGCAGCACAGTCGGGCAACTGGAAGGAGAGGGCTGCTGCTCTCTCGCTCTGCCAGTCCTTTGTCTTTCGGTGAGTTGGTGCTTCAAGGTGTGTGCTTTGGCTGCAGAAGCAGCAGCAGCAGCAGCCACCATGCCAGCAGCAGCAGCAGCGGTGCCGCTTGACTAACCACCATACTCCCATCTCCATCCTCTTTCTTTTGCAGCAATGGCTTCCTTCTGTCGCCCGCCGACCTCTCATCGCTCCGTGAAGCAGTCATTGCCTGCCTGCAAGACCCACAGCCAGAGGTATACACACCTGAACCCTGACACGTGGTAACTGCGGTAAATCTGTCACGAGCCATCACTGCCTGCCCGCCATAATGCCCAGCAACAGGATTGGCTCTGAGGCGCCTCAAAAATCTGTCACGAGCCATCACTGCCTGCCCGCCATAATGCCCGGCATCAGGATTGCTTCTGCTCTCCAATGCACACACCTCTCTTTCCTTGCACTATGCCGCTATACTATAACACTACTACTCCTCGACACCGCTGCTTTGTCTGCCCGCCATAATGCCTGGCAACACAGTTGCTTCTGCTCTCCAATGCACACACCTCTCTCTCCTTGCACTATCATGCTATACTACTTGTCGCCACCGCTGCTTTGTCTGCCACTATTCGTTCGTATTCTTTCCATGTCCCCATGGTTTTTTGTCTCTTTCTGCTTCTGGCAGTGCATTCCTTCCCCTTTTTCCCCTCATCCCCTTCTCACACGTTCATTCCCTTGTTTTCTCAACCTGTCACAGGTGCGTGACATGGCATCCGCCACGCTGGCAGGCCTTTTCAAGGCAGCCCAACAGGGTGACACGTGGCCAGCTGTCATTCGCCAGAGCTTCATCCAATCAGCTGCAGCCACGCTCAAGGCCTCGAGAGCCTCCCGCAGACGGGCCAGTGGGGGAAAACCGTTGGATGCTGACTCGGCAGCCAAGGCGGCAGCACGGACGGTCAAGATGCATGGATCGGCGCTTGGGCTTGCAGCTGCCGTGCGATCAGCACCATACGATGTTCCCCTGTAAGATCTGCTCCAATAGCAGAAGCATGCAGTATTCAGTGCACAGTTAGCATACAAAAGTGAGACGATTGTCATGCCTGAAAAATCACATAGGAACTCGAGCGTTGAAATTGGCATGCTTCGGTGTTCCGGTGGTTACCAGAAATGCTGCTGAAACTTGCCAGCCTGGCAGGAAAGCCTGTGAGCTTGATAGTATGTGACTGACAGAGCCCACTCCCCGGTTCTGTTTCTCCAAACATGCGGATCCATGCGGGTGGTCACCAGTCTTGCTGCTCTCACTTGCCAGCCTGGCAGGAGAGCCTGCTCCAGTTGGGCGTGTAACTGAGAGGGTTCACTCTCCTTCATTTTTCTCGGGTTTCCGAATATTTGTTGATGTGCAGGTGGTTACCAGATGTGCTGCTGTCGCTTGCCAGCCTGGCAGGAAAGCCTGCCCCAGTTGGGCATGCAACTGAGAGGGCTCACTCACACCCCATTATTCTCTCCGTTTCTGCAACATTTGCTTCTCCCCAGCTGGTTACCAGAAGTGCTGCTGTCGCTTGCCAGCCTGGCAGGAAAGCCTGCCCCAGTTGGGCGTGCAACTGAGAGGGCTCACTCACACCCCATTATTCTCTCCGTTTCTGCAACATTTGCTTCTCCCCAGCTGGTTACCAGACGTGCTGCTGTCGCTTGCCAGCCTGGCAGGAGAGCCTGCTCCAGTTGGGCCTGCGGTGGGGAAGGCTCTGGGGGACTTCAAGCGCACACACGCCGACAGCTGGCACATCCACAAGGAGGCGTTCAGTGCGGAGCAGCTAGAGGTGAGTGGTGGGGGCGCGTAGGGAGGGGGGGCTGACTGTTGGGGGGGATAAAGTGCTGCGCACACACTCGGACCGCTGGCGCATCCACAAGGAGGCGTTCAGTGCGGAGCAGCTAGAGGTGAGGATTGGGGGTGACTATATTGAGAACCTAGCAGCTAGAGGTGAGGATTGGGGGTGACTATATTGAGAACCTAGCAGCTAGAGGTAGAGTAGTGGGGGTGACTATATTGAGAACCTAGCAGCTAGAGGTGAGTAGTGGGGGTGACTATATTGAGAACCTTCGAAAAGGCGGGGTAAGTGCTGCGCACGCACGCCTGCAGCTGGCACATCCACAAGGAGGCGTTCAGTGCGGAGCAGCTGGAGGTGAGTAGAGGGGTTGAATATGAGAGGTGTTAGCTATTGTAGTATTGTACATCATGCAGATATTATGAGGCCTTTGGTTGCGTAGCAGCTAGAGTTTTAACATGGGTGAGTGAACTTGCATTTTGAGTTTTCCACCTTTTTTGCACTTACGGTACCTGTGCTTTCTTTCCGTGTGCAGGTCATCAACGACCTATCTTCAACTGTGGGTTATTTTGTGTAGCTTCCTTTTCTTGCCACTTCACTTGGTTGCTAGTTCTTCGCGAATCATTTGTACAGGTGCATGCGTACAAGTACAAGTGTACCCATACTAATTGTACACAATGCATGCTGTGTTTGTTCAAAAGCTTAACTAGTGGTATCTGTTGAAATGCACGTATGCAGGGGTTGGTGCTGATTACTATCGTGAAGCAGGCAATAGGCCTATGCAAGACAGATTAATTTATAAGTTTGCTGGGAAGTTATGAAGTATAGCATAAGAACGCAGGTAAGACATGTGCTAAGAATTGTGTGTACCATTGGATTATGTGTAAGTAAACAGTGGACTTTCTAGCCGTCATAGTGGGATGGCTATTTTAGCCACGTCACTGTTTGGTTCCCGTTATCGATGTGCTTGCAGCTTACTGGTCCTCCCGAGACAAGGAAATCCTCGCAAACCGACTAGTGGCTGCCTAATTCGTCTGAGGTTCGGTATGGATTCTCTCCGGTTTGGCCCCAAGGAGTTTTCGTGGTGTGGTATTGATTACGCTTGTGGGTGAGGGCTACGCGGCGCGTCAGGGAAAGAGGCGACTTGATTTGGAGCTACGTGCACCCTCGTATGTTTGACGGCACATCTCCCGGCAAACCATGCCGTGTTCAAATCGTATTCGTTGTGCACTCACAGTTATCGAGGCTGATGACGACAGCAAGCGGAGCACAAAAGTGCTCCTGCCTCTTTGGAACCTTCTTATTGACGTCGCAGTGGAGTTTCGCCATCGCGGGCAGCACAAACCGTTAGTGTAACACTGTCAGCTCGGCAGCACCACGGACAAAGGACCCGGATGGCGGCTTGGGAATCCCGGTTAGAGGGAGGTAATCGTCTATACACCTGATTATGGTGGGCGGGCACCTAAATGTAGCAATCAACGTCGTAATTTTCAATGGACTACTCTCATTCATTCCCACACTATTTAGTAATCACATATCCAGGTGACCTTTCCAGGTGTAAACCGCCAAACCTGCAATCAGTCGCTTAAACATTGACAACAAAGGCTGTGCGTAACCAGACAGGATCCGGATTAACCCGGGATGTAAGAGCAGCACCCGTATCCGAGGAAGTCAACTGGGTAGACTTACCAAGAAACGCAGCCTTGCAAAAGAGCTTGGTCTGGGGGAAGAGGCAGCCATCTCGATTTCCTCGTACACATGGTGCCCAGCCACTGCGCGCGAATTTGCCCTGCCCATTTTAGAAACTCTGCACCCGTGTTTTTTTCTAGTCAGTTGCACCCTCGGTATAGGCACGCGGATCAACTTGCATTTGGGCAAGAAAACGCCAAAGTATGAATATTAGGCGCAAAACAAACCATGCTGACCCAGTTTGTTCTTGTTTCTTGGCCAGAAACAAGCACAAACCCGAAACCCTGAGCTAACAACAACACAGGCCCACCAGCATTGTTCTGGAAAAAACAAACGAGTTACAACCTGTGTTTTTTAGAAGCACCTCAACACCCTGGCGAAACGGAACGAAATGGGAGAAATGTCTAAAACGTTTATAAGACCAAAGCACAACCTAATTTGGGGGAACTCAAACGAGGATCAGGTGTACGTACGAGCGACAGCATTTTATCCAAAGGAGATCCGATTTTCCTTTTCGACCTGAAGTCGAGTCGAGTTGCATTGCAACGGAATGCAAGTGACCCAACACAGCCCAAGTCGAGTGTGTTGTGTTGCTCTGGGTTGCAAAAAGCCACCTAGGCTCGCCTTGATCTTGTCCTAGGACCAAGTAGTAGGAAAGGAGGCCATTTCGCAAGGTCTCTACACCGTGGAACGCGGTTCGTTCTTGCTTTTGATAAGGCATCTGAAGGCATTGAACTAGGCACGGCCGTGCGTCAGTACATGTGTGTTTCTGATAGTAGAGCCAGTAACCCCAGTACATTTTCGTTGCGACATGGCGTTCCATGGCGGAATAGACCCAACGAAGAGCGTCATAAGTTATGCGTCGGAAGTCCAGTCAGTTCTTTAATATAGTAGAGACAGGCGTTTGACATTCCCAAGGCATTTCTGCTCGTCACAGGTTGACTGACTTCGACCTTTCGGGACGAATGAACGACGGATTGATCGTTGTTAGAGTGAAGCTTCACTCACGGATAGTAGATCATGCCAGTTGGTAATTGTAAAGCTAGGGAGTCTCACATTCTGACGTCCTGGTGTCGTCGTCTCCTATAATAGCTGCAAACAGGTCATCATGGGTGCTCCAGCATAAGCCTTAGACCGGAACTTTCTCCGTGCAATCACAGGCCACCGACCAAATGAACCCTTTAATCCCTGTCGCTTTTTAGCACTTACTTCGTCAAGCCGCTAGTTCTTAAATGGAGACACAGGAACGGTCAGGCTCTGGCAAGGAGAAGAGCAAGAGCGGAAAGTCCAAATCAGGAGGTTCAGGCGCAGGAGCAGCAATGGAGGAGGTAGACAAGGACGTGAGCAACTTCTTGGTAAAGATGGAACGCGGCGGGATGATACAGTCGTTCGGCTGCGTCCTATTGGTTGAAGAAGGGACGTTTCGCCTCTTGGCGTACAGTGACAATGTACCCGAAGTGCTGTGCCTTCCGCAAAAGTCCTCCGCCGGTACGTACTACATAAATACGTACGCTCGATAGTATAGGAGATGGAATCGTACCGTTCTCGGTTAGAGCGCTGGTAACGTGTGAACGAACTCTTCGCCGGTCAAGTTAGCGTTTTCCAAAGCTCCCACCATCCTATTTCCCGTACCAGTTGATCCTGTATCAGCCCGCCCTTCTTCGCCCTACTTACATCCTATTTCCCCCAATTCAATTTCAACCTGCTTGTATCCGTATCTCACCCTTCTACATTTTCTCGAAACTCCCGCAAACCCGTCCCTCGACGATTTGCTCAGTTTCCAAAAACAGCCAGTTCTTATCAGCCGGTTGTTAGAAATAGCCAATTCCCAGTATTCCTTAAAAAAAAAGGTTCCGCCTCGTCTTTTCGCTCCCCCTGCTCCCGGGCCACTTTCACCTGTGCCATCCCTGAGAGTCCTTCCCGACAAAAAAAAAAAAAAAATCGCTCACATGAGTGCTTTTTTTTCCAGATTGGCATGAACCGGCCAATGCGTGCTGTTCCCCTCAATGCGCGCTTTTTTTCCAGATTGGCATGGACCGGGTAACGCGCGCCATCAGCCGCTCCAACCGCTAATCCAACTCCCCTCACATATCCTCCTCGCCTCCTCCCCCTCCTTCTTCCTTCCCCCCACCCAACACCCCGTCCCCCACCATCCCCCCTCCTTCTTCCCCTCCTCCTCCCCCCCAGGGCTCCTCGGGCTCGTGATGGACCGGGTAATGCGCGCCATCAACCACTCCAACCGTTTATCCATTTTTCCCCACATATCCTTCTCCACTCCGCCCCCTCCTTCCTCCCCCCCGCCCCCTTCCCCCGCTCCCCCCCCCCTCCCAGGACCCCTCGGGTTCGTGATGGACCGGGTAATGCGCGCCATCAACCGCTCCAACCGCGCGCTCCTCCGCTCCACCTCCCGCTCCGCCAGAACCCCCGCCGCCCCTCTGCCAGGGGGGGCCAGCGACAGCAGCGCGGCTAACGGGGGAGCGGGAGGGGGGAGCGGGGGAAGCGGTGGCGGCGGAGGAGGGGGAGGGGTGGGGGTGGGGGTAGGGTGCATGTCTCTGGACGAGCCTTGCTCTCCCTCCTCACGCCCCTCCTCCGCTTCCGGGCATGGGAATGATCATAACGCTCCCCCCAGCTCCTCTCTCCCCGGGGAAGTCGACATTTCGAATTCTGTCCCGCGCCCCACCTCCTCCTCTCCTGCCCTCTCCTCCGCACGATCGTTTTCCATCCGACGGCTGCTGTCGCGGTCGTCCGCGGGGGCGGCAGCTTCGGATCCGGCAGAGGGTACGGGGATCGGCAGTCCCAAGGCGAGCATCAAGGGGAATCCCACGGGCAGATCGCCCCGCACGTCTGCTGACTTGGCTGCTCTGCAGGCTCTTGGTGGGTGTGGCCGAAACAGGTGGGTGTGGGCGAAACAGGTGGGTGTGGGCGAAACAGGTGGGTGTGGGCGAAACAGGTGGGTGTGGGCGAATCAGGTGGGTGGGTGTGGGAGAAACAGGTGGGTGTGGGTGGGAGAAACAGGTGGGTGTGGGTGGGAGAAGCAGGTGGGTGTGGGCGAAAGAGGTGGGTGTGGCAATGGCAGAAGCAGACTTGACTGGGGTCATCATAGCATTTGGCTAACAGCGTGAGAGGGATATCGCTTGCTCTGCGAGCTCTACATAGTTGTGATTGGCGGTAGCAGAACCAGGCTGGACTGGGGTAATAGGGTTCGGCAAGTTGCAAAGAACGTGGGAGGAACCTTGGCTGCTCTGTAGGCGCTTGGAGGGTGATCTTCTTTAGCCAGTACTGTGGTGCTGCTAGCGCTGCTAGTGCTGCTGCTACTGCTGCTGCTGGTGCTCGTGCTGGTGGTGATTGTCAAGTCAGCTGTGAACCCACTCCTACTCCCACTCCCGCACCTGCTCACCCTGCCCTCTCCCCCATACAGGCCTGGGGCCAGACGCGCGCATTCTCTTCACCCCTGAGAGCGTGATGGCGCTGGAGAAGGCGATGGGGGCAACAGACACCACCATCCTTACACACCCACTGTGCCCACTCCCCGCCTCTGTACCCAATGCCCTTTCCTCATGCAGGCCTGGGGTCAGATGCGCGCATCCTCTTCACCCCTGAGAGCGTGACAGCGCTGGAGAAGGCGATGGGGGCGCGGGACATGGCTCTCATGAACCCCGTGCTTGTGCAGTCCTCCCTCTCCTGCTGCTTCTGCTGCTGCTGCTGCTGCCGCCGCCGCCGCCGCCGCCGCCGCTGCTGCTGTTGTTGCCTCTGACTCTAAAGTCAAATTTGACCCACTCCCACACCCGCACCCCCTACACCCCCCCCCGCCCCCCCCCCCCCCCTCCTCCCCACGCCCCCTTCCCGCACAGGCCTGGGGTCAGATGCGCGCATCCTCTTCACCCCTGAGAGCGTGACAGCGCTGGAGAAGGCGATGGGGGCGCGGGACATGGCTCTCATGAACCCCGTGCTTGTGCAGTCCTCCCTCTCCTGCTGCTTCTGCTGCTGCTGCTGCTGCCGCCGCCGCCGCTGCTGCTGCTGTTGTTGCCTCTGACTCTAAAGTCAAATTTGACCCACTCCCACACCCGCACCCCCTACAACCCCCCCCCCCCCCCCCCCCCCCCCCCCCCCCTCCTCCCCACGCCCCCTTCCCGCACAGGCCTGGGGTCAGATGCGCGCATCCTCTTCACCCCTGAGAGCGTGACAGCGCTGGAGAAGGCGATGGGGGCGCGGGACATGGCTCTCATGAACCCCGTGCTTGTGCAGTCCTCCCTCTCCTGCCGCCCCTTCTGCTGCTGCTGCTGCTGCTGCTGCTGCTGGTCGTGGTGGTGGTGGTGGTGCTGCTGCTACTGCTGGCGCCGTTGGTGATTCTCGAGTCAAATCTGACCCATTCCCACTCCCGCACGCACCCCTACCCCCCACCCCCCCACTCCATGCAGGCCTGGGGTCAGATGCGCGCATCCTCTTCACCCCGGAGAGCGTGACAGCATTGGAGAAGGCGATGGGGGCGCGGGACATGGCGCTCATGAACCCCGTGCTCGTGCAGTCCTCCCTCTCTTGCCGCCCTTTCTATGCCATCCTGCACCGCCAATCCTCCTCCTCCCCCTACACCACCGCTGCTGCCGCCGCTGCTGGTGTGGCAAACGGAAATGGGGAATCCAACACTCCTACGACTAGCAGCAAGGTCAAGCGCGGCACAATTTTAATCGACCTCGAGCCGATTCTTCCCTCCGACCCGGCTGTGAACGGTGCTGGGGCTCTGCACTCCCACAAGCTCGCCACCCACGCTGTCTCACGCCTGCAAGCCATCCCCTCTGGAAGCAGCCTCGATTTACTCTTCCAGGCGCTGGTAGAGGAGATTCGGCAGCTCACAGGGTACGATAGAGTCATGGCGTATAAATTCCACGAGGACGAACACGGGGAGGTTATAGCAGAGGACCGGAAACGCCCCCTAGAGTCTTATCTTGGACTGCACTACCCCTCCACGGATATTCCCAAGGCGTCCCGGATTTTATTCTTGAAGAATCGGATCCGCATGATCTGCGACGCGAAGTCGAAGCCGGTGAAGGTGGTGCAGGAGAGGGGGTTTCTGAAGCAACCTGTGAGCCTGTCGACGTCCACGCTGCGGGCGGTGCATGGGTGCCATGCACAGTACATGCAGAACATGGCTATCTCCGCGTCTCTCTGCCTGTCTATTGTTCTCAGGGACCAGGAGGCGTTGCCAGCGGCGATTGGCGGGAGAGCGGGCGGGGGCGGGGCGGAGGGGGAGGATGGGGGAGGAGGAGGGGGAGGTGGGGGAGGGGGAGGGGGAGGGGGAGTGTTGTCGACACTGGATGAGGTGAAGGGGAGGCGGCTGTGGGGGATGATTGTGTGTCATCATACGTCCCCGCGCTATGTGCCCTTCCCTGTGCGCTCTGCCTGCGACTTCCTCATGCAGGTGGGTTGAGAGCGGTGGGATGGGATGCTGGTGGGTCGAGAAGGGGGGTTGTGTGTGGAGGGGAGGCGGGTGTGGGGGATGATTGTGAGCCATCACACTTATCCACGCTATGTGCCCTTCCCTGTGCGCTCTGCCTGCGACTTTCTCATGCAGGTGGGCTGAGATTTGAGATTGGGGTGTGGTGCTGGTGGGTAGAGTGAGAGATTTGTTAATTTGCATTTGCTTGTGCTGACCTGCATTTCAGCGGCGTTCAGTAGAGCTGTTCACACACGCGCCTGTGGCCTTTAGCTCACCCTTCCACGCCTGATGTTGGCCTCTGCCCTCCTCCCCCACCCACCTTCCATCCCATTCTCTCCTTCCTCTCCCCTTTTCACCACCCCGCCAGGTGTTCACGCTTCAACTGGCCAAGGAGTTGCAGCTGCATCATTCTAACGCCCTCTCACTATCTCACCTCTCTACCTCCCCTGCTCCCCTCTCCCGTCCACCCTGCCAGGTGTTCACGCTACAACTGGCCAAGGAGCTGCAGCTGCAGGCGCAGCAGAGGGAGCAGCAGATCCTGCAGCTGCAGACGCAGCTGTGCCACATGATGCTCGCCAACGCGCCCTTCCACGCCCTCATGGCCCCCGACGCGCGCCCCTCCGTGCGCGATCTAGTGGAGTGCGACGGTGCTGCCTTGCTGGTGGATGGGGAGTTCTACTCCTGTGGGACTGCACCCACCAAGGAACAGGTGAGTTGATGGGAGAATGAGACAGGAACAAGGTGTATTTCCCTCTGTTTCCACCACTTTCCATCATGTACCTCCTACCGCGCCCTTCCACGCCCTCATGGCCCCTGACGCGCGCCCCTCCGTGCGCGACCTGGTGGAGTGCGAGGCCGCTGCGCTGCTGGTGGATGGGGAGTTCTACTCCTGTGGGACTGCACCCACCAAGGAACAGGTGAGGGAGAGGGACAGGCAAAGGTAGCATCGCCGGGCTCACCATCGACAGCCTCCTTGCGGCCGGCTACCCCCACGCAGCCTCTACACTGCCTCACTCCCCGTCACCCCTCTCCACCGCACCCCACCCCTTGTCATTCCCCTTCTCTCCTCTTCACCGCACTCCACTCAGGTGCTGTCGATCATTGAGTGGATCCAAACGGCCCACCCCAACACCACCGGGCTCACCATCGACAGCCTCCTGGCGGCCGGCTAACCCCACTCAGCCTCTACCCTGACTCACTCTTCTCCACCTCTCTTTGTACCCCACCCCACCACTCCCCACCCGACTCTCTCTGCCCCTCTTCACCGTACTCCGCCCAGGTGCTCTCCATTATCGAGTGGATCCAAACGGCCCACCCCAACACCACGGGCCTCACCATCGACAGCCTCCTCGCGGCCGGCTACCCCCACGCAACCTCCCTCGGGGACTCCGTGTGTGGGGTAGCAATGGCTCAGATCGGCGAGTCTGACTTCATCCTGTGGCTGAGATCGCACGTGCAGAAGCAGATCCACTGGAGCGGCGCGAAGCAGAAGCCCGGGAAGGCCCCGAAGGACGATATAAAGAAGATGAACCCGCGGCAGTCGTTTGAGGCGTTTCTGGAGGTGGTGAGGCACCGGTCGGCGCCGTGGCAGGACCTGGAGGTGGACGCGATCCACTCGGTGCAGATCATTCTCAGAGATGCTGTTCACAGGATGCGCCTCGGTGTTCCCATCGGGGGAGGCGGAGGCGCTGCTGCTGAAATGGCGCTCTCTCCAGAGGTGAGCCTTTGTCCCGCCCTCCCGCCCTCCTTCTCCCTCTTGTCCCCGGTATTACGAGCACCCAACCCACCGGGAGGTGGTGAGGCACCGGTCGGCGCCGTGGCAGGACCTGGAGGTGGACGCGATCCACTCGGTGCAGATCATTCTCAGAGATGCCGTTCACAGGATGCGCCTTGGTGTGCCCGTCGGGGGAGGAGGGGGCGGTGCTGCTGAAATGGCACTCTCTCCAGAGGTAAGTCTTTGTCCTGCCCTTCTTCTTCTCCTCTCTTTCTTCTTCCCCTCTCGGGTTTTTCTAGAAAAGTCAAGCGCCCAACCCCACCTGGAAGCTGGAGGAGGTGAAGCTCCCAAGCCCACCGGGAGGTAGTAGTGAGGCATTGGTTGGCTCTGTGGCAGGACCTGGAGGTGGATGCGATCAACTCGGTGCAGATCATTCTTCGCGACGCTGTGCTCTGCATGCGCCTTGATGTGTCTTGGCAAGCTGTACGCAGCAACCTTCGATCAGCTCGTGCGTTTCATCTCGTATCAATCAGCTCTTGCACCTCCTTCGACCCAATTCCTCCCCTTCCAACCCCGTTTTCCCTTACCACTCCCCTCCGCCCTTTGCTCAACACCAGGAACCGGACAAGCTGTACGCAGCCACGCTCGATCACCTCGTTCACTTCACCGAGACGGCCTCTGCGTCTTCTCCCCTTCCATCACCCCCTCCCACCCCTCACTGCCCCGCCCCACCTCCTCCCTGTTTCCACTATACCAGGAGCTCGACAAGCTATACGCGGCCACGTTCAATCAGCTCGGGTTCAATCCTTCGTTCCAGCCACTCTCCCTCCTCCAACCAACCTTCCCACCCCTCCCCACTGCTTTCAACCTTCTCTCCCTCAACACCAGGAGCTGGACAAGCTGTACGCGGCAACCTTCGATCAGGTCGTGCACTTCATCGAGACGGCTTCTGCACCTTCTCCCCCCCCTCCATCAACCCATCTCCACCCCTCTCCACCGCACCCCACCTTCTCCCTTCTTTTACAAAACCCACAGGAGCTGGACAAGCTGTACGCGGCAACCTTTGATCAGCTCGTGCACTTCATCGAGACGGCGTCTGCGCCGATCCTGGCCGTAGATCGTGAGGGGTGCATCACGGGGTGGAACAACAAGGTGGCGATGCTCACAGGGCTGCCCTTCTCTGCCGCCATCGGGAAATCTCTGGTCGACGATCTAGCAGACGTGCAGTCCAAGACGCAGCTTCATGCTGCTCTCGACCTCGCCTTCCAAGGTAGGTTTGCCCCATGGCAAGCTCTGGTAAGGTAGCGCCTCGAGCCAAGTGGAGCTGGCGACGCTCGCAGGGCTGCCCTTCTCTGCCGCCATCGGGAAATCCCTCGTGGATGACCTAGCAGATGTGCAGTCCAAGACGCAGCTGCATGCCGCTCTTGACCTCGCCTTCCAAGGTGCGCTCTAGTGTTACACGGTTGGTGGGTTTAGTGTAAACAAGGTGGCGAAGACGCTCACAGGGCTGCCATCCAAGACGCACCTTCATGCTGCTCTCAACCTTGCCTTTCAAGGTGGCTGTGCTGTGCACTCTAATGTCACACGGTGGGTGGGGTGGGTGGGGTGGGTGGGGTGGGTGGGGTGGGTGGGAGGGTGGAACAACAAGGTGACGACGCTCACAGGGCTGCCATCCAAGACGCACCTTCATGCTGCTCTCAACCTTGCCTTTCAAGGTGGCTGTGCTGTGCACTCTAATGTCACACGGTGGGTGGGGTGGGTGGGGTGGGTGGGGTGGGTGGGGTGGGTGGGAGGGTGGAACAACAAGGTGACGACGCTCACAGGGCTGCCATCCAAGACGCACCTTCATGCTGCGCTAGACCTTGCCTTTCAAGGTGGGTGTGCCCTCTAATGTCACACGGTGGGTGGGGTGGGGGGGAGGGTGGAAGGGTGGAACAACAAGGTGGCGACGACGCTCACAGGGCTGCCCTTTCCCCTTTCCCCTTTCCCCTTTCCCCTTTCCCCTTCCTCAAGAGCAGGGGTATTGACAGGACCAGCCCTTTCCCTTTTCCCCTTCCCCAAATCTCTCCCACACAGGTCGCGAGGCACATAACATCCAGCTGCGCCTGCACTTGTGGGGAACGGAGCGCAGCCTCTCAGTGCAGCAGGGGTATTGACAGAACCAACCAGCCCTCTTCCCTCTCTCCCTTTCCCCAACTCCGCCCATCCCCCCCACTCTGGCAGGGCGCGAGGCACACAACATTCAGCTGCGCCTGCACTCGTGGGGAACAGAGCGCAGCCTCTCCGGGCCCTCAGCACGCACCGCCAGCACAGGCAGCGCCGCAGCCGCTGCAGCTGCTTCCGCCACAGCAGCAGCTGGCAGCACCGCCGGCGGCGCTACAGCCGGTGCCGAGGCCCTTGGGATTGACGTGGGGTCGTCTGTGATCCTATTGGCCAATACGTTTGTGAGCCGCGACGCGCAGCAGGAGGTGCAGGGGGTGTGCTTCGTGGGGCAGGATGTGACGGTGGAGAGGGTGGTGAATGACAAATTCAGGAAGGTCAAGGGGGATTATGAAGCGATTGTGCACGCGCACAGCTCGCTCATCCCCCCCATCTTCGGCTGCGATGGTGAGTGGCACACCCTGAGGCTGCGATGGTGAGTGGCACACCCTGAGGCTGGGCTGGTTGGAATGGGGAGTGGATGTGTGTGGGTGTGGCTGTGAGTAGCAGCAGTAGCAGCAGCAGCAGGAGGTGCAGGGGGTGTGCTTCGTGGGACAGGATGTGACGGTGGAGAGGGTGGTGAAGGACCGGTTCAGGAAGGTGAAGGGCGACTATGAAGCCATTGTGCACGCGCACAGCTCCCTCATCCCCCCCATCTTCGGCTGTGACGGTGAGCTGATTGAACGCTCTGGTGTTGTGGTGGTTGTGATGGTTGGGATGGGGAGTGTGGGTGTGGGGGAGTGTGGGGTTGGCGGGGAGTGAGCAGATTTTGAACTTTGCATGGAGTGGAATACGGCGATGGAGGGAGCGACCAGGTTCTACCTCCCCTCCTTTTTCCCCCTTTTCCCCTTCCCTTCTTCTCCCCCCCCTCCTGCCCCCGTGCCCCGATTCCCCTCTTGGGTGCACAGAGTTTGGGCTGTGCACGGAGTGGAACGCGGCGATGGAGAGGGTAACAGGGTTCACGCGCTTTGAGGTGTGGGAGCGCATGCTCATCGGGGACGTCTTTGGCTCCCTCTGCCGCATGGAGAGCGGCGACGCCATGACGAAGCTCATGATCGTCATCAGCAAGGCCATGGCCGGGCACGAGGCTGTGAAGGTTCCTTTCTCCTTCCTCAACCGCCAGGTGAGGGGTTTACAGGGATTGAGAAGTTCAGCAGGGTGAGGGATGAGGGCTCTAGTGGGGCCACGGTGGTGTAGATGGTACGGAGAGTGGCGATGCCATGACAAAGCTCTTGATTGTGATCAGCAAGGCCATGGCCGGGCACGAGGCTGTGAAGGTTCCCTTCTCCTTCCTCAACCGCCAGGTGAGGCTCTGGAGTTGAGAGGTTTGTCGTGACTCGAGATTGAGAGTCAAGGGGAGGTGGTGGGAGTATGGAGTGTGGTGATACCATGACGAAGCTCATGATCGTCATCAGGCAAGGCCATGGCTGGGCATGAGGCAGTCAAGGTCCCCTACTTCCTCAACCGCCAGGTGAGGGTTGTTAGGGGTTCAGAGGGGTTGAGAGCTGCTGCTATCCATGCATCCCAAGCACTCAGCAGACGGGAACTCAGTGGTCGGGGCCTTCTGCTTCCTTCACACCTCCTCTCTGGAACTCCTGACCCCTGGTTCCACGCTCCCAACCTCTTTCCACCGCAGAGAACCCTGATGGAGCTGCTGCTATCCGTGCATCCGCGGCACTCAGCAGACAGCAACTCAGTGGTCGGGGCGTTCTGCTTCCTCCACACGGCCTCTCTGGAACCCCTAACCTAACTCCTGCTTCCATGATCCCAACCCATTCCCACCACTCTCCACTTCCAGAGAGCCCTGATGGAGCTGCTGCTATCCGTGCACCCGCGGCACTCAGCAGACGGCAACTCAGTCGTTGGTGCCTTCTGCATCCTCTACACGGCCTCTCTGGAACTCCCACTAATCCTTGCTTCTGTTCTCCCAACCCCTTTCCACCGCAGAGAACTCTGATGGAGCTGCTGTTATCTGTCCATCCAAGGCATTCAGCAGATGGAAGCTCTGTCGTGGGCGCCTTCTGTTTCCTCCACACGGCCTCTCTGGAGCTCCGGCAAGCCGTCGACAAGCAGAAGATTGCGGAAAAGCTCGCCTCAGACAAGGCTAGGCAGGTGGCTTATGTGAGGGAGATGAGCCGAGGACCGTTGGATGGGCTGGCGTACTCGTTTGCGCGCATGGAGAAAATGGGCGTGGGGTTCTCGGGAAAGCAGCTGCCGTGGGTGCGCACGGGCGTGGCTCTGGAGACACAGCTGCGGAAGATTGTGAGCGACACTGACATGCTCGCCATTGAACAGGGGTGAGTTTTAAGGTCTTGTGCAAGGGTGCAAGTCTGAGGGAGTTAGTGAGGGAGGGAGGGAGGGAGGGAGTGAGAGAGTGAGGGAGCGAGCGAGGGAGTGGGTTTGTGAGTGGGTGAAAGAGTATGGGGAGTGAAGGGGGAAGCATTGGATGGGTAAAGCAGATGGGTGCGGGGTTCTCGGGAAAGCAGCTGCCGTGGGTGCGCACGGGCGTGGCTCTGGAGACTCAGCTGCGGAAGATTGTCAGCGACACTGACATGCTCGCGATCAAACAAGGGTGAGTGTGCGGGGGAGGGAGTGAGTGGGGGAGTGAGGGAGGGAGTGAATGGCCGGGTTGGGGGTCCTAGGGAAGAGGTGAATCGACTCAGCAGTCGTTGGAGACACAGTTGGGGAAGATTGTGAGCGACACTGACATGCTCGCCATCGAACAGGGGTGAGTGTGCAGAGGTGCGTGAGGGAGTGAGGCAGTGCGAGGGGCGGAGTGAGTGGGGGAGTGTGTGAGGGCAAGGGATCAGTCTGGCCTTGCTGAGGCCATGCTGGTTGCTCTTGAAAGTCCATTTCACATCCCTCCCTTACCCTTTGCTCCCTGTCCTCCCTTCCCCCCCACCCCTCCAGCCAAGCACCGCTTGCTACGCTGCCGTTCACCATGGAGACCGTGTGTGGGGCAGTCATCAGCCAGGCTACCCTGCTAGCCACGCGCAAGGGCGCCAAGCTCACTCTCGAGCTGAGCAGTGACGTCAAGACGCTGCCTCTGTGTGGGGATGCTCCGAGATTGCAGCAGGTGAGAGAATAGGAATGTGAGTAGAGGCAGGTGGTGGGGAAAAAAAATGGTTTTGCTTGAGCAAACTGCTGGCCGCGCTGCTGGTGATTCTGCTGCTGGCCACGCTGCTGGTGATTCTGCTGCTGGCCACGCTGCTGGCCTCGCTGCTGGCCACGCTGCTGGCCACGCGCAAGGGCGCCAAGCTCACCCTCGAGCTGGGCAGTGACGTGAAGACCCTGCCACTGTGTGGGGATGCTCCGAGATTGAGATTAGTTTTGAGAATTCTCAGAACTACCCTGCCACTGTGTGGGGATGCTCCAAGATTGCAGCAGGTGAGGTTTAGGGAGGGAATAAGGGACAGACGCTAGGGTGGGCTGAGCTGGCAGTGGGGGGGTCATCAGCCAACCAGCCAGCCCACACCGGTGGTCAACTGCAGGCGCTAGATTCAACCCTCTCTGCTTTCACACCCTTGCCGCTTGGGTCCTCATACCCCCTGTTGCTTTCCCTCTCAGATTCTGGGCGGGCTGCTGTGTGCGGCGGTGAGCCACACTCAGGTCACAGGGCTGGTGAAGCTGCCTGCTCTTATTCCTCTCTCCCTTCCCTCTGCCAACCTGTTACCATCCTCTCATTTCAACTCCCGCAGATTCTGGGCGGGCTGCTGTGTGCAGCAGTGAGCCACACGCAGGCCACGGGGCTGGTGAAGCTGGAGGTGACTCAAAAGGGGTCGCGACTCTTCCGAGGGACCACAACCATGGCAGAACTCGATATAAGGTACAGGACTCGATACAAAATACAGGACTCGATATGAGGTACAGAACTTGATCTAAGGTACAGAACGCGATGTAAGGTGTGTGATGGGTGGGTGCTATGAAAGGTGCACAATGGCCAAGTGTGTGTTAGAGTATGATGGGTCTTTGTAAGGTAAGTAACAACTTGATGTAAGTAAGGCACTTGACTCACCTCTTCAACCTGCTCTCATTCTCTCTCTTCCATTCCCAGAATCTCCCACATGGGTCGGGGTCTACCAACAGATATCATCCACCACGTGCTCACTTCCAACTTTCCCTCATCAACCTATTTTTGAGGCGCCTCAAAAGTCGTCTCATGTCTCGCGGTTTTGAGGCGCCTCAAAAGTCGTCTCATGTCTCGCGGTTTTGAGGCGCCTCAAATGTCGGGGTCTACCAACAGATATCATCCACCACGTGCTCAACTCCAACTTTCCCTCATCAACCTATTCTCATTCTCCCCCCCTTCTCTCCCTCTGCCAACCCCCCCCCCCCCCCCCCTTTCTCTCTCTTCCATTCTCAGAATCTCCCACACGGGTCGGGGCCTGCCAGAGGAGATAATCAACCAGATGTTTGACTCCAATGCTGCCACCACCTCTACCGCCACCGCCACCACCACCACCGCCACCACCCCAACTGCTGCCTCCTCTGCCGTTGCTTCCGGTGACAGAAGCTTCGGTCGCGCGAGCAGCGATGGTGGGGGCAGTGTCGGGGGGATGAGCGTGGGAGGCATGAGCACGGGGAGCGGTGCGTTAAGAAGTAATGCAGAGGGCGTGTCGCTGAGCCTTATAAGGAGGATGCTGAAGAGTATGAAGGGAGAGGTAGTGTATACGAGGGAGACCGGGCGCTGCTTCTTCTGGGTGCATGTGGACTTCCCCTTGTCCTCTGCTTTACGATGGGGCGGTGCTGCTGCTGCTGGCGGTGCTGCTGGTGGTGTTGCCGGTGTGCCTGCAGCTGGTGCTCCTGCTGCCCTTTAAGACGCCTCAACTTTTGAGGCGCCTCGAAGTCGTCTCCTGCTGCCGTTTGAGACGCCTCAAAGGCCGGCCGGTGCTTCTTCTGGGTGCATGTGGATATCAATTTGTCCTCCGCTTCATGGTGGATCGGTGCTGCTTGCCACACTGGTGGTGGTGCTGTTGGTTGTGTTTCCGGTGCCTGGCGGTGCTGTTGGTGGGGCTGCCGCTGGTGCTGCTGCGGATCGTTAAATTGATCCAAATCGTTTCGAAAGGTCGAGCTTGAGATATTTCAAAACTCTGCGATAGGAGGCGATAGAAACGTTAAGACTGTCGGCCTGTTGCCTGCAGAGTGTAGAAATGTTCTGATGCTCTGCCGCTGTTCTAAGTCGAATCACGGTTTTGTTGGCACCACTACCACTGCTGCTGTTGTCAATGGTGCTGTTGCTGCTGCTGTTGCAGTGTGGTCTGGTTGTCAGATGATGGTGGGGAGTGTTATGATATCTTAAATCATAGTGGAGGTGCGGAGGTATGGTGTGCTACATGTATAAGGGCGATAGTGGGGATTAGTATAACATAGGCCCTTTTTTCCTCACAAGCTTGTACCTATGCTGATCCAGCGATTTAGCGTCTGCTGCTACTGGTGCTGCTGCTGCCGAGCTATAAACACTGCTGAAGTTACCGTAGTAGTGAAAGTGTGTTGTAGAGTATGAAGGTCAGGAGGTTTGAGGGAGGGAGGTTATGCAACGGTAGCTCTGTATACGTTGGTTGCTGTTTTGACTTGGATGTGACTAGGGTTTTCCGTCTTCGAGTATCAGGTAGTTGTAGTTTGTTTATTGCTCGTGTGCAACTCCTGTGAGGTTGAAGTGAAGGTACTTCAAGAAGAGCTATGGTAATTGCAAAACAAACAGATTCATAAAAGGTACCCAGTACAGTATTCCAGCGTCAGCATACCGTACCCATCACAGTGTTTTCGTCCCATAACAGCTTTCCGGTAACAGTGTTACAGCTAGAGCTCGTCAGGAGCAGGAGAGGCCAGTGGTGGCACAGCAGCAGCCTCTGCCACAGTTTCAGATCCTACCACACTCCACCCCTCTGCATACCTGTAACCTTCCCCCCCAGAGACCAAGTCTTGCACCATCAGAGTAGACTGTGTGTCTTGCGCTGCTAGCAGCCGCCTTCGTGCGATTGCTCGTGTGTGCATTTCCTGCAAGTCAGGGCCTGTGTGTGTGGCAGTGTCAGCAGCACCAGAACCAGCATTACCAGTACTGCCAGAACCAGCATTACCAGCACTGCCAGAACCAGCATTACCAGCACTGCCAGAACCAGCATTACCAGCACTGCCAGAACCAGCATTACCAGCACTGCCAGAACCAGCATTACCAGCACTGCCAGAACCAGCATTACCAGCACTGCCAGAACCAGCATTACCAGCACTGCCAGAACCAGCATTACCAGCACTGCCAGAACCAGCATTACCAGCACTGCCAGAACCAGCATTACCAGCACTGCCAGAACCAGCATTACCGGCACTGCCAGAATCAGCATTACCAGCACTGCCAGAACCAGCATTACCAGCACTGCCAGAACCAGCATTACCAGCACTGCCAGAACTAGCATTACCAGCACTGCCAGAACCAGCATTACCAGCACTGCCAGAACCAGTGCCAACAGCAGCCGCACCTGTGCCTGCAGCAGCAGCAGCCCTCTCTGCTAGTCTTGCAGAATCGAGTGCGTCTCCTCTGAACAATCGACTGCCACCACCAGCACCACCACCACCAGCACCACCGCCACCCGCACCACCACTCCCACCTCCTCCTCCACTGATGCCACCACTGCCACCAGCACCACCACCAGCAGAAGCTGCCACACCATCACCACTCACACCAGTTTCCATACCTCCGCCTGTTCCTGCCGCCCCCGAACCACCGCCGAACCTTGCCATACCTGCACCCGTGCCAGCCTCTCCCAAACGTCCCCGGCCATTACTGACAGATGTAGAGTGAGTTTTCCCCCCTGCTGTTGCTGTTGCTGCTGCTGCTGCTGTTGCTGCTCGAGCGCCGTCAGAAATGAAGTGAGAGATTTTGTCGAGCGCAAGCCGCCGTTTCTGCTCCTCCTTCCGCTCCTCCATCCGCTCCTTTTCCACTGCCTGCTGCAGCAGCTGTGCTGCTGCCTTGCCTCCTCCCTCCCCTCCCCCATGCCCCGTCCCTGCCTGCTGCTGCCCGTCACTCTCCTGCTGCCCCTGCTGCTGATTCTTTTGCTGCTGCGCCTGCTCTTGCAGCTGTTCCTGAGACTGCTGCGGCTGCTGCAGCTGCTGTTGCTGCAGTCGCTCCCTCTGCTGCTGCTGCAGCTTCTGCTGTATCAGCTGCGGCTGAAGAATCTGCTGCTGCTGCCGTTGCTGCTGACGGTCCGACCACACCACGTGGTCCTTATACCTGAGGTTGTTTGAATACAAGTATTTGAGGAGAGGAGAAAGGTAGATCTGACACAGAACTCAGGAAATATGAGATGAAATTAGACGAGATAAGAGGAGGAACATAAGAGATGTAACATACGGGATGTGACAGAAGGGATGCAGCAGAAGATGCAACAGAACAGAAAACGATGTAATAGAAAAGAATATAGTAATGATCACAGCCTACCATTGAAACATCTGCTCCTCTGTCTGTGTGGATGCAATGATAAATGCCTGCATAGGGGGGGAAAGGGAGAGAGGAAGAGAAGGGAGAGTTGACTTGTGAGTCTGCAAAAACCACATCTGCTCCTCTGTCTGTGTGGATGCAATGATAAATGCCTGCACGGGAGCGGGGGGGGGGGGGGGGAGGAGGAGGGAGAGAAGTGGAGAAGGAAGAGGGGAAGGAATAAGAGAGGAGAGAAGAAGGGGTGAGGAAAGGGGAATTTACTCTTCGAAAGGTCCTTTCATTAATGTAGATAAACGCCTCCGTCTCTGTGAATGCTATGATAAACGCCTGCACAGGGGGGGGGGGTATCGGACAGGGGAAGGAACGAGAGATAGTGAAAACCGAGAAAGCGAGATGATCCGATCCTGACAGACATTGAGCGGACTCAATACTCACAGCCTTCACACACGATGACCCCATCTAGCTCTCACCAGGCGGTCAAAGCCAAGCATAAAGCATTTCTTCACGTCCTCCGAGTTGGGCTTGCATCCGGAGCAGCTGAGACATGCATATGTGAGCCAAAACACCCCTGAGGACTATGCTTTTCGAGAATTCTCAAGCCAAAACACCCCTGAGGACTATGCTTTTCGAGAATTCTCAAGCCAAAACACCCCTGAGGACTATGTTTGTCGAGAATTCTCAAGGCAAAACACCCCTGAGGACTATGTTTTCCGAGAATTCTCAAACCAAAACACCCCTGAGGACTATGTTTTTCGAGAATTCTCAAGCCAAAACACCCCTGAGGACTATGTTTTTCGAGAATTTTCAAGCCAAAACACCCCTGAGGACTCCGTACATGTGTGTTTTAGCTCACACGTGTGCTGCACAGCGCTCTCACATACCACAGAAAGAGCTCTCACCAGGCGATCAAAGTCGAGCATAAAGCATTTCTTCACGTCCTCTGAGTTGGGCTTGCACCCACAGCGGTCCCGCCGAGACGTGAGGTCGGAGAAGTGAGTGTAGGTGAAGTGCAGCACTGCCGCCTCCATCAGCTTCACCTCCCTGTGAGAGGGGAGAAACGACGCATGCTACATGATATCACAGGTGTAACAATGTTGCAGGGACACATGATCAGAGGCGTGAGATGGGAGAGAATTGTGTGTAGGTGAAGTGCAGCACTGCTGCTTCCATCAGCTTCACCTCGAATCACTCACACAGTTAGCCCACCAAGCAGGGCACTCACTTGGGCACCTTCATGTAGTGGTGCCATCCGTGCGCCCCATTGGGCCTCAGATGCATCTGCGCCTGCATCTCTAAATTACCACCAGGCCTGCCCCCATGCCATGCATGCAGCATGGAGGCATCTTGAATCACTAGTTAATCCACAAACCATCGCACTCACGTGGGCACCTTCATGTGGTTGTGCCATCGGTGCGCCCCATTGGGCCTCAAGAGTGCCTGCATCTTCACCCCTGACTTGGGCCCTGACTTGCACCACCTTTAACTCTGACATAAGACTGGCTTTCAACCACAACACTCCCAATCGTCACACTCCTAACAGTCACACCCCCAGCTTTCGCACTCACTAGGGCACCTTCATGTAATTGTGCCACCTGTGCGCCCCGTTCGGCCGCAGGTGAGCCTGCATCTTCGCCCCTAACTTGCCGTTGCCGTACGTGAGAAAGTAATTAGGGTTGCCGTGTGCCGCCTGCATGCGTGGATAGGGAGTGAGGGGGTCAGATGGCAAACGGGAAGAGAGACAGAGACAGTGAGAGGGTCAATTCGCCACTGACTTGCCATTGCCGTACGTGAGAAAGTAGTTGGGGTTGCCATGCGCTGCCTGCGAGTGGTGTGGGGCAGAGGAAGGGTTGAAAACAACTGAGTGAGAGTTCAGTACACCGTCACCCACCTCTGAGCACTTTTTGTAGGCACAGCGCATGGAAAACAACTGGTCCTTAAAGAACCTACAAAAAGTATTCTCCCACGCTGGTTAATGGCAAAAAGAAGCATGCTTACATCTCATCTCACTCACTAGTCTTATAGTCACATACCTGTACTCTTTTAGTCACATCCATCTAGTGAACGATTCGGTGACTGCCACGACTCATTAAAGCTCGCATGCATGAACTCACACCTCTGTAATGGGCGGAATAAGCTTCTCTTGTAACGTGGTCGTAATTCTTCTTGAACAATGAAACCTGCCGCAACAAAGGGGGATAACGCACACATACTTTATGGGAAAAAAGTCCCATTCTTTCGTTGTGCTCTTGAAAGCGAGAAAACAAGCGCAATTAGAAAACCAACGAACAGGTTTGCTGGTCAACATACATGCATAGATTGGGAGATAAAAAAAAAAGATAGGGGTATTATTATTACCTCAGTAAATGAGTCTCCCACATTTGCAGTTTCCACCACACTCTCCTGCATTACACACACACATGCACACACACACACACACACACACACACACACACACACACACACGCACGCACACACGCGTGCACACATGCGCGCGCGCGCACACACACACACAGGGAGAATGAGTGTATAGCATAAGGAATACATTGCAATGCACTGCACCGCACTGCACTAACGTGATTTGGAAAGGTCCACATCGCTGGGGAGGTCGTGGATGAGGCCTTGGAGGGAGAAGACATGAGGGGATGGTGGTGGGGGTGGTTGGAAAAGCACAGCACTGCACAGCACAACACCTCACTGCACTGCACCGCACTGCACCCACGTAGTTTGGAAACACAATGAGGTCCACGTCGCTGGGAGGTCGTGGATTAGGCGCTGGAGGGAGAAGCCATGCGGAGGGGGTGGTGGTGGCGGTTACGAAGCTTGCACCACACTTCAATGCACTGCACCGCACTGCACTCACGTAGTTTGGAAAGACAATGAGGTCCACATCGCTGGGAAGGTCGTGAATGAGGCGCTGGAGGGAGAAATCGGGCGTGCCTGCAGGATACAGCAGCTCGTCCTTATCCACATGGAATATCCAACTACGGCGGGGAACGGCGGAGCAGAGGAAAGCGCAGCACTCACCTCTTGGCCTGCTGATCTTCAAGCTCCTTGGTTCGCTGCACCACTGTCACACCCTGAGGGACGAGGGGGGGGAGGGAGAAGGGGTGGGGAGGATGGGAGAAGAAAGGAAAAGAGGGGGGGCAGGGACGTCGGGGGGAAGCGGTGGGACACGGTGAGAAGGGGGGAAAGTGGGTGGGAGGGGGGAAGTGAAGGACAGGGGTGATGAGAAAGGAATAAGGGCAGTATGAGGATGCATCCTCGCCCCTAGGGAAGCAAATGGGGAGAAAAGAGAAGCCAAGTGAGGAGTTTAGGGCAATTAAAAAAGAATCCGAACAATGAATTAAGAGGAATGCGGGAAGGGGGGAGGGAGGGGGGGAAGGGGGGAAGGGGAAGGGGGAACAAGGGGGAAGATGGAAGAGATTATCAACGATGGTGGAGCAATATGAAACGAATACGAGAAAATAACTTTTATACGAAGCAGCTTCTTTCTCGTGAGCGCAGAGTGAGAGGATATAAAAGGGGGTAGTAGGGGAGGAGAGAGGCGAAGAGCGGCGGAGAAAGAGAGAGGAAGGGTGGGGGGGGAGAAACTGACCTCCATGGACTCGAATATCGCCACGTTTTCCGGTGAAGAGGCCTAGTCCAAATCCACCGCGATTCCATCTGCAACTGAATGACAAAGCTGAAAGAAAGCTTGCTTACTTTGCTTTTTGAACGCCGCTATTTTCTCCTTCGTATCCGTCGCGGAAGGCGCAACTCCCTCCATCGTCTCCTCGTCGGGACGGTAGTACGGCAAGAGGTCCACCTCCTCTGCCCTTCGAATAGACTTCTTCCGCCACACGTTGTAGTTGCTTCCATTGAAGCGCTGGGCTTCACTGAGCCCGATCGTCGGTTTCGCCACCAATCGGCCAGTCGCAAGGGCCTCGAGAAGAGCCTTCAACTGCGGGTCTCCAAGACTCACACTGGAACCCAAACTCGCCTCGTCTCCCATAGCGTAGGCGTGAACGACTCCTCTTCTCTACTAATTTCACTTAGCGCACCAAGTGAATCTCACGACGACGGACGCACCCGTTCGCCAAGCTCTGATACCAGTTCTTAGGATCGTAAGCACCTTAGTCGGCAATAGTCTACTTGATATCGCCTATCGTGTTCTCCACGATCTCCCGAATCCAATGATATGTGCAGCTCTGCTTGAAGTTGTTAATACTATCAGAAGAGTGAACAGGAATGAATGAACTATGGAAGAGTTGGGTACAAATATGAAACCCAAGAAGGGGCTGTACCCCATATTGGCTACCCCACTACAGCCTAAACATATATGGCATATATACAATTTGACACACCCCCATAGGCAAAGTGGGGGAGAACAAGGGGTCACAAGACCAGTCAAGAAAAGCAAAGCAAGCTCAGGGTGGATCACAATGTCACCACACAATATGAGCATAAGCAAAGGGCCACAAGGCCAGTCCACATGCAGAGGTATATAAATGCAAAGGCAACAGCACAGTGATCACTACCTAACTAGTGCAGGTATACAATATAGATCACAGTACAGGCAAGGTCAAGAAGTAAGTGAGAAGACACAGGAACAAGGCCAAGTGCAGTACAGAAGCGCTGATGGTCACGAGGCGGAAGTGCCTTGGTGAACACATCAGCAATGTTGGCCTGAGAGGCCACGTACGCGAGACGAAGCTGACCACACTGCTGCAGCTCCCTAGCAAGGAAGTGGCGAAAGGCGATGTGCTTCGTTCTGTGCTCCAATCTCTGTTCGCGACACAAGGCCAGCATTGCCTTGTTATCGACGTACAGAACTGGAGGAGAACGAGGCGCCTCCCTCAGGTCGGTCAGCATGTAGGTGAGCCAATGCAGCTCCTGTGCAGCCATGGCCCCTGCGTAGATCTCAGCCTCACAACTTGAGCTGAGAACAGAAGAAGAGCGGGTAGACCGCCAAGAGACAGAACCGGAGCCAAGGCTGAAGGTGTAACCCTGTGACGACCGCTGCGTAGACAAGTCGTCACCCCAAGAAGCGTCTGCGTGACCAGTGAGGACAACTGGACCCCGTCCTCCAAGCACGAGCCCCATGCCTGACGTACTGCACAAGTAACGCATCACCCTCTTAGCTGCCTTCCAGTGCTCTGGAAGGTGTCTCCCGGGCGCAACGTAGCGTGCCAGGATGCTAAGAGGGTAAGCGAGGTCAGGGCGAGTGCAGGTCATCAGGTACATGAGGCAGCCCACAAGCTCTGGATACGGGCCACTCGGCTCTACGGACTCATCCGAAGGCAGAGCTGAGAGCGAGTGACCAGTAGGCAGAGGAGTGGACTGTGGCGAGGAGAACTGGAAGTTGAAGCGCTGAAGGACCTGCTGCACCATGTGTGACTGAGTCTGAGTGATGGTGCGGCGTGCTCTGTCCCGAGTGATCTTCAAGCCAAGATAGCTGCGCAGCTCACCCAGGTCTGTGCACGTGTGTCTCTTCTGCAGCTCCGACTTCACTAGAGTCAGTGCCTTAGTGTCAGCAGTAGCAAAGACCAAGTCGTCGACGTACACGAGGATGTAGAACGGCGGCAGCGAAGTGTCGGTGCGTAGAAACAGCGATGGGTCAGCAGTGGAAGGAGCAAACCCAAGAGCCGCAACTGTAGTCCTCATTGTGTCGTGCCACTCACGAGGTGCCTGGCGAAGACCGTAGACTGGCCGCCGGAGGCTCCACTGGGTACCAGGGGGAAACGACCCAGTGAAGCCAGGTGGGCGGCGCAGCCAGATCTCCTCGTGCAGGCTGCCCTGCAAGAAAGCTGTGCTGAAGTCAAGGGAGTGAAGCTCATAGTCACGCTGAGCAGCGATGTGCAGTAGTACCCGAAGAGTGGTCATCTTCGGGGTGGGAGAGAAGGTCTGAAAGTAGTCAACTCCCTGTCGCTAACTGAAACCACGAGCCACGTAACGCGCCTTGAAGACAGGCGGAGAGCCCGACGGCCGCTTCACCCTGAAGATCCACATGCCACTGACGATGTTCGCCCCAGGAGGGGGAACCTCGTCGACGTAGGTGCCTGTGGACTTCCAGGAAGCCATCTCTGTGTCCATGGCTGACTGCCACTGAGAGGAGTAGGGACCGGCCATCGCCTCTGCGTAAGAGCGTGGGGTCGGGATGTCTGGTGCATCCGGGTCTCCCTCAGGGGCAACAAGCATGGACACGAGATGGGGCAAAGCGGCAGCAAAGCACTCAAACACCTCCTGCCTGTCCTCAAGGACGTCAGTGCC